TGAGAGTTAATTATCAACGTTTTCTTGCCAAAGCGTTCTTTTAATGTTTCAATTGCTGATACATAATTATTATTTGTTAAACTGAATCCTTTAATCGCATCTGAAGCCGATCCCACTAAATATGTTTTCAAGTAATTAAACTTTTCAACATTCGACAAACCAGTGTTTTTATCTATGGCAGATTCGAACTGATCGTAAAATCTTTGCCAGTCTGCAGGATCGCCAGAAAATTTCTCTATAGTTAAAAGAGGCAGTTTCACAGAAGAAGTTTCATTTATTCTTATATTAGTGTTTATCTTCGGTTCGGAAATGTTCGAATTTAACTCAGGAGACACTATCGACAGTTTTTCTATTTTTCTGTTTAATCTGCTTTTACTTCGTACAATATTTGTCAAATATTCATCACACTTTATAATTTCTGTATCGATTTCATTTACATCCGTAATACCCTGCTGAATTTCGAGATCAATTTCTTTCAATTGTTCTTGTTTTAATATTAATTCAGACATTAACTCATCCAATTCATCTATTGTAACCTTATCGTCTTGATAAATGTTTTCGATTTTGGTTAATAACTTAGTTGTTAATGACCTTATCGTAGTACGCTTTTGTTTGGATTTCTCCATCTTAATTTATAAGCGAACTATTTATACACTTAAAGTCACTATTCTATGAAACTAAATTTCTAATCGAAAATAAACAAGAAATCTCTTAATGGCGGTCCCTGTTCGGGCGCCAGAAAATGTTCAATCTAAAATGAATTCCTGTTTTCAATATGAATTGTGGAAAATGTTCCACTTACCTTTAGACCGCCAATTTGATGATTCATAAACCTTTATTGGTTTTAATTACAAATAGATGAAGATGAATTTACATGAAATGGTAAATGATGATTATAAAGTGATGAAAACATGGAGTTAGATATTAGCGCTGCATGGCGCGTCTCTAGTTACATTACTTCTACTGTTTTTCAGTTTTTTGAAAAAAATAAAAGTTATTACTTCTGATGCGCCAGTGGCGCCATCTGGGGGTAGTTTCCTGGTATGAGGGGGATGAGGGCTCGTTACAATTCTATACATATGAAATTGACAGTGGGCGGGGCTACCCGACTCTCCCCTACTTGTGTATGTGTGTAAAAGAAAAGTAGTCAAAATTTCGATCCCTATTAAACTAGCCACAAAAATACAATCTCTACTGGAGACCTGGGCTTAATGACTATGGAAATTTCGATACTATCATAAACACAAACTATATCCGAAGAGGCTCTGCACTAGTTAACAACTAGTTAGTTTAAAAAAAAACTAGTTATTTCTTGAATACAAAATTTGTCTTCATTTTATGGCGTATCGAAGTCTTGATCTCTTTCCGACTTAAACAAAAAATGAAATAAAATAAAATTTTTAAACACTTAAGTTAAAAAAAAAGAAAAATACATTTTTGTCACACTTAAAACGAAATTCGTAATGCGCTTCAGTATTTTAATAAACTTCCATCACCATCAAAAATTGCCCCATTTTTTTTTAAAGTGATGCAACAACTATTGAAAGCACTTCACTTAAAATAATTAGGGTGTATTAAGATTTTGTTTTAAAAAACTGATATAATCAGTGTAGATATTGTAAGTTATGAAAAGAAATAAGGAATATTGTACAAATAATTAAAATTTCTTGACAGTATTTGTCAATTAATGAAAAAGAAAAACGCACGACTCCTGTGCATTTAATAAACAAAAAATTGTGTTTAGTAGAATAGTGTATAAATTACTTTCCGTAAGAAGTCCGGTCTTTTTTCAGATCTAAATACAGCATACTTACGAAATGTGAAATCAAATCAGACTTATAATATAGGTAGATAGGTCGGAAACTAGCAACCTCATCACGTGCCTTGTTCAATCTAAATGAATTCTTGTTTTCAATATGAATAGTGGAAAATGTTCCACTTACCTTTAGACCGCCAATTTGATGATTCATAAACCTTTATTGGTTTTAATTACAAATAGATGAAGATGAATTTACATGAAATGGTAAATGATGATTATAAAGTGATCAAAACATTGAGTTAGGTATTAGCGCTGCATGGCGCGTCTCTAGTTACATTACTTCTACTTCTACTGTTTTTAAGTTTTTGAAAAATAAAAAGTTATTACTTCTGATGCGCCAGTGGCGCCATCTGGGGATAGTTTTCTCGACTGAGGGGGGGATGACATCTGGGGGTGAGGGCTCGTTACATGCCTCGTTTACCGGCTCACTCCTTTTGAGGAACCACACAATATTTCTGTCAAAAAGTTCTTCAATTTTCATAATTTCCTTAATTTATGATTAGACAAGGAAACAAAAAGTTTTTACCTCTAAAATCAGTACAAATTATAAAATCCAAATATAATCATTTTTTTAGCCAAAGACTTATGTAAGTAATTCGATGGGGTCTGATTTGTTAGTGCTTATTTTATTTCAGTTTTTAAAGTTTGCAGTGGCAATTTGAATTTAAACAAAATCTGAACTCAAAAATTTTCATTATATTCCGTTTATGTTGTAACAGACTGATATAACTAATATTTCATTAGCTGCAATTACGACCAGAATGAATTTTTGATGAAAAAAATTTTCATTCAATTAAGAAATACAAATATATAATACAATATTACATTTATTTACTGAAACTACAAATTTATGGTTTTAATTCAATTGGACTTGTAATTTATGAACTGTTTAGGAAAATCATTATCTGAATTTATATTATTAAATAACTAAACATATTTTGCACGCACTTATTTGTAAGTAACAAATTCTTGAATTATGATAAGCAAAATAATTTCTCAATGAGAAAATTGTTGTAGAATTAAAAGATGCGAATTAAATCTAATCAAAGGATTCTACGAATTAAATCAAATCAAAGAATGAAAGATACATTCTAATCAAACGATGCCTGCCTTGAAAATTCTTCACTTTCTGAGCATAATGTAGCCTGGCGTTACCTATATATAGAAGATCTATATATAAATATATATATAAGAATGAATAAGTTCTCAGATATTGCTCCACAAGAAACCAAAAAATGGGTCTTAGGAAGCCTCTCTATATCGCTGAGCCATTAGTGTCTCATTATACTGATATTGTATAGGCTGGCACAGCTATATATTGGTATATTTGCCAGAATCGTCACTCTTAGCAAACTGGCTTAATGAAATTTAAAATGTTTCTTGGAGTTATTATTTTTTTTTTTTTTCGATTTGTTTGGTATAAAAGTTTTTACATAATTTTAAATAGCAAAATACAAATTTTGAACAACAAAAATTATAAAAAATTCGCAGTTTTATTAATTTTTTGTTTCTGAAGGACTTCGACTGATATAGTTAAATTTTTATATAGTTTACTTTTAAAGTTAAATAGTTTAAAATAAAGTAAAAATTTGTATGCCCAACATTTTTTCAGATTATTAGAAAATAATAAAAAATAGTAAATTATTAAAAATATTTTCCATGGAACCACTTTTGAGTAGCCGACCGGCCTGTGTAGGGGTTAGGAAACTGCCCTTGCATCAGAAAGGTTCCGGCACGGCAATGGATGTTCTTTCATTCTCTGCACTATCTGTCCTTACTGTGGGAGCAACGTTGGCCCACCTAATATGGTACCCCTGAAAGAGTGGCCAACAAATCTGCCCTTCAAATGTCTGTATTATGTCCAGGTGGATCATTCTAAAAAAGGTGGGCATTGGAAAAAAAAAAGAAAAGAAAAACTGGAGTAAATGAGTTTCATAAGTAAGATTGTTTTTTTTAATGCGCTTTTAGTTCTAGAGATGAATGAAAATGCGAAAAGTGAAATAAACATGAAACCCGAATTTTCCACAGACTATGTGACTAAAGTCATAAGACTATATTTTTCAGATTGCAGCTACCCCTCCCCCTAGAATTTAATTGTCAAACATCCAAATCCGACGGAAAAAGCAAGGTATATTTGTTCAAAGCAAATAAGTTTGTGTGTTTGATTCTAATAACTAACACTAATTAGCTTATTTGATGTTTAAACTTTCTGCAATTTAGAGCCTTATAATGAAGTAACTATAACAGAATGTTTTTCGCAGATCGGAAAAGGTTTTATTAGAGTTCTCGTAGCTGATATGAATTCTCGTTTTGACTTGGTACCAGTAGATATTGTGGCTAATGTTCATGTTGCAGCAGCCTGGAGCGTTGCTACAGAAAGGTATCCACGCAAGGGCGCCGGCAGGGGGGTGCAAAGAGGTGCACTTGCACCCCTCTGGCTTTTTTTCTAAACAATTAAGCAGATACAGAAAAACAATTTTGTTATAAAAAAATTTTATTAAAAGTATTTTTATTCAAAAACAAGTAATTAAATAATTATTGATACATAACAATTAAAAAATTGTTTAATCAAACAAGAATAGTAATCGTCTTGCTTGCTGTCCAAATCTGTTTATAACTTTTTCAATGAATTCTGAGTCATCTTTGAATCTTTTCTTATGCACATTGAGCATGTACAAATTACTTAATTTCTCGTGAGACATTGTAGACCGATTCCATGTTTTGATGCGTCGCATTGTACTAAAAGTGAGTTCAATAGTGCACGTAGTAGCTGGAGGAGTTAGGCCAATTTTGATAGCCTCCGCTACAGCTGGATAAAACGGTGTGCCCTCAATTACCAAATCGATGTATTCAAGGGATTCATAAGAATTTTCTCTATTCCACCACATTTCGTACCACGTTGTAGCTTCAGTGATGAATTTCGGTAAGAGCAGATCTTTACACATAGTATATATATATATATATATATAAAATCTTCTAAAGCTCAATAAATATCAACACAACAAATACAAATCTTAAGCGTGCACAAACACGTTAGTATACGAAACTACTGTTTGTAGTTATTTGTGTTTCAAAGTCAGTAGCTATGCCAGCGCCATCAATAGTTTCTCGTGGCAAAATTTGCAAGTACAAGAAATTCGCACTTTTTTTTAAATATCTTGTTAACAATGAAAAAATGTATGTTGAAAAAAATTAACAGATTGTAATAAGTAAGATTATATAAGTAATAACAAAACAGTAATAACAGAATATTTGTAAATTTTTTTTTGGGGGGGGCGGTTTGTTTGTTAGAGGGTTGCACCCCCTTTTTCATTATTCTGCCGGCGCCCTTGTATCCACGATTTATTTACTACATAGTAGATATTTAAACTTTATGAAAGTTATTCTCAATTATTTAACCCTCCTTTATTTTCAATGGAATATTTGAAATAACTTAGTTAAAGCCCGAATTTCGATGATTTTAATTTGTCTCCTCGAGATCTTATATTTTCGAGTTATTGATTTAAACTGAATTAAATGATTTGGTGGACCACGTGCTGATGACCCTTTAACGAGTCAAAAGACACCCCTGTCTAGGCGCCTTTTAATAGCAGATTCTTGAATTATAGTAAATATAGATCTAGGATTAGCAGGAAAAATGTGATTCTTATTGAATTATTTGAATAACCATTTTACTAAAATTCAAGAAATTGTGAAGAAATAAATGATTTTACGGACTATTTGTAAGTTCTTGTTCTGAATTCGCGTTAAATAAGAGCTTTTAAAAAATGTTCTGCAATAAATTTTCTAAAATGTTTCTAAATTCATTAAACCTTTATTCATAGCAAATTTTTCACGAAGCTTTTTAATTGTCAGTGTTCCTTATTAAAATCGACTTTGTATCAGTAAGACCGTAATTAAAATTTTCTTCGAATGATTTAGTTTCCATCCATTTGACTTTAAATGAAATTTCAATTAATTCGTTCAGAATTCGCGATTTCTACAAGAAAAAATAGTTAATATTTTTATTATGTGAAACAATGAATAAGAGATCCAAAGTATTTCTTGTCAGTTCCCCGAAAAGTTTATATACAATTTTGTTCATAACAAGTTTTCTATATTAATAATTTTAATTGTCTGTTGCTTAAATTAATCCCTAAAACTGTTTTTATTTAGACTACCATCCCTTTCAATCATCAATTGTACTGGAGGACCATGGAATGTAACATTTGAATTATTTTCCAAGACTTTGAAAGAAATGGCTTTTAAGCAGTTGATTCCGAAGTCTTTTCAAATGCCGTCGATCGTCTTTGTAAATAACGCATACTTGTATAAATTATTGGCACTCTATGAGCACTATCTCCCTGCTTATGTTTTTGACGCCATACTCTATCTCAAAGGAAGTAAATTCAGGTATTTTGTTATCCCTTTTATATTCTTGGTTCATAATATCATGCCCTTTGCTTTTAAGACACATAAATTATTTCAGGGGTCTCAGTAGTTTTCCTAAATACATTAGTTAAATATCGTTTTCAAATCTATTTCCATTCTAGGTTGGTTAAATTGTATAAGTTTCTGGATGGACTGGTGGACCAATTGATTTTCTTTCTCAGGAATGAAATTGATTTTAAACAAGAAAATTATATTGCACTTGCTGAACAAATGGATCCCCGAGATAAAGAAGTCAGTTATTTTATTTATTGTTATATATCCAAATATTTGTCGAATATTTTTTTGTTTTAAATATCAAACATATGGATAATTTTTTTAAAAACAAATTAAAGAAAACTGTTCGCTCGAGAATATTTTTTTTCTTTTTTACCCTTTCGAAGCAACGGAGAAACTAATAACTTCAGAATTATATTTTTCGTAATCATTTAGTACACTCTTATGTCTGTAGAAAATAAATATCCAAGTCATTTTTTTAAAAAATATTCGAATTAATATTATTGGGGTTATTTATATTTTATTGTTTGCTTCTCGGTGTTTTTTATGATGAAATTCATATAGATAATTTCAAAAGAATAACTAAAATTAATTTTTTTTTTCTGTTTTGAAAGATAAAATGGTTATATTTGATTTCATGAAAAAAATTCAACACTTTTTATTAAGAAGCTCAACATTAATATTTATGTAAAGAAATTTAGAGATTTTGAAAATACTCTAATTTTTCAATGTACATTAAAAACAATCTTCTATCCTTCTCAAAATGCCCACATCTAAATTTGAGAAGAAAAAAAAAGGTTTGAGATATAAAATTCAAATCAACAAGGCAATGTTAGTAACTCAACTTTTTTTTTTTTGTAGACTTTAATTTTGAAAGTTTAAATTTCGAAAAAAATTAACAATGTCAATCCACACAAGTATCTTCATTTTCGTCTCTTTATGGGTAATACCATTGCCGTTCGGATAGGTCAAATGAGAAAGAGAAGCAATGCAATGAAAACTGCGTTAGGCACATTGCGGTAGTTGATTAGAAATAAAATGAAGATCTCTAGAGAGAAATAAATTTTTTATAGAGCAATTGTATAAATAATTATATATTAAAGAAATATTTATTAAATATAATAAGTATTATTTAAAGCAAAAGAATAGTATAAAAATCCCGCAGAAGTGCTTACAATTGCAATAACTTTTGGACAAAGTGGAATTTTCAGGAAATTTTTTTCGTCAAGTTCATAAATTTTTTTTAACCTAGTTTTTCAACCTGTAAGTCTGCCTGCATGGTATATTTTACTACAATTTATTTCATAATTCCAAGTTTCTAAGTCTATCTTGATTATCGTATAACATGCTTAGACCGATATTATCGTCTATCGTTTTGTCGCACGGCAATTCGCCATTTAGCGTGTTACATTCCAATTTCTTATTTTTGATTCCACCTTCTATTAAATTTACAGTCTCAATATTACAATTTAATTCTTTTAGAGCACTTACGGATAATAACATCGCTTGACAAATTTGGTACCATGGCACAAGTAATGTAAATTGGTCCTTCAAATTATCTTCACATTTAGTTACTGGCAAGTTTATTAATGGAGCTTTTAAAGTTTGTCCGAAAGCACATGTTAATACTACACTTCCATGCGGTGTCCTGTATTTTTCTGGAACCAAACAGGTCTTGACTACAGATATTTGTGATCCTGTATCAGCTACCGCGTTCAAGATGTAAGAGTCTATTTTTAATTTTATTATAGGCAGTGCGTCAACATAATTATTTCCTTTATCGTTTTCTTCACCAATTAGAAATTTGACAGGAGCGGTTAAAATGTCATTTGAAGCATCCTTTTCTTTCTTCAGTTTAAATTAACATGTAAAAGTGTTCCATGAAAGGGAGAGTTGAAAATATTACAGCATAGATTACAAATTCCTACGACAATTTAATTCATAACAAACGAAACATCAGTTGAGCTCTTTTAATTTTTTTTTCTTTTCGACTGGCGTCAAATAACAATTTTCATATTCGTGTTAATCTTAACAAAAGTAATAAATGCGAAGAGGGGGAACTGCAGACGATATTTTGTTTATCTTTTTCATATTCCACTGCGGTTTGGCCTTGATCGGCGTGTCATATTTATTTCCGTCAGAATTCGTATTCTTTTCCAAAAGGTTGTCTTTCTTTTCTATTTTCGATTTCGGCCAGAGAAAAGTTCGTTCTTTTAAAACTTTCTTTAATACTTTCGTAATCATCTAGTTCGTATGGCGTCGTAAACTTAAGCCAATCTTCTAAATAATGATCTCTTGTTTCAGCAGGCACTCTAAATTTCAGTTGTTCCGTCACTATTAAATCTTTGAGTTGTTGGAATGTCTCTATTTTCAATTCTGTGATCCATTCGGTAAAATAACTAATCAGTTCTTGAGCATAATTTCTCCAAGATTTATCATTTGACTTGTGATGTCTGTAAAAACACTGTTTAAGCTTTTCACTATTTTACTTATATCGTTTTAGGATCAGACTTTTAACAAATTCATAATTATTAGCATCCTTAGGTTCTTCTCTTGCTAGCATATTTGACAGTTCTGCCGGTAAAACAGCTAAAAGGTACGCTACCCAATCCTTTTTAGGTACTTGAGCCATCTCTGCTCTTCTTTCAAAATTTATTAAATATAATCCCATTTCGTCGTGTTTTTCATCAAATTTAGGTGTTATTTGAGTTAGTTGAATTTTATGACTTACTTCAACTCAGTTTTCCGTTTCGTTTTCATGATTGAGATTTTCTGTAGACCGTTCTAATTTTTTAATTTCTAATTCGTACTGATGAGCTTCACGAATCATTCTTTCTTTTCTTTCCTCTTCTTCTCGTCTAATTTTTTCTTCTCTCTCTTGCTCTTCTCGTCGAATTTGTTCTATCTTGATTCTATCTTCCCTTTTACGTTCGTCTATAATAGTGTTTAAGAGTTCTTTACAAAAATCTTCATTCTTTAAGATGGCCTCTCTCAACTCAAACACTTTTAAATTACTAACATTTTCAACCCCCATTTCCGTAGCCATGAATTGAAAGTCTATTTTTAAGCCTTTTCCTAAAAACGCCATGATAACAACCACACTTCTGACACCAAACTGTAGGGTTCTTTTGATTCGAATAGGAAGAAATTATGGCGATTATAAGATAAAAATATTTATTAAAAAGAAATCAAGATTAAAAGTGCGTACAATACAATTAGCATAACATAACTGCAGAGGAGGGGGGTTTGCTATAGTTACCCGACAGTCTTATCCATAGTTTTTGCACAGCTGAACAAAATAAATCGTCAGGTTGAACAACCGAAACGGCTTTTCGGCTGCACTCGTGGTTTTTCGTATATAGTGACATACATGTCATATCTAATAATCACGGAAAAGAATTTGAGTTCAGATAGTTTTGAAAAACATTTCGTAGCAGGCAATAGACTATGTTTATAGATATTGAACTTCAGAAGGTAAATAAGCTGCGCCTCCTAGAAATCGATCGAAAAAAGCGTCGAAATTTTTAAATTCATCTTCCAATGGAAGATGAACATTCTATCAGTTATATACATCCACTATTTTTAATTTGATGCTAATATATAATGATAATTTAACGAGAATGTTGATTTAGCTCATTAAAACGCTGTGCAATTTTAAGCTGAAATTTAAAACAAAGATCTGGTCACTCGAATCTAAAAGCAAATTTTCAAATCTTGTGCTAAAATGAAATACGAACTTCAGAAAAAAACACAAAATAGTACTCTACATTTTAGATAATCCGTTTATCTTTATTAATTCTTAATAAAACAGAATGAAAATCGAATGGATAGTTTTTGAGGCAATAATAAGCAAAGAATGTTAGATATGTTTTTTTGAAAAAGCGATTCTTTTGAACTTTTTAAGACATAGCACAAAACACGTGCTTTTGAAAATGCGTGTTCTGTGCTATGTTTACAATGTATCTCGTTTAAAATTTGAGTTTAAAAAATGACAGCTAATTACGAAAATGGGCATAGCATTTGTTCGATTTTTTAAACTACAATCTAAATAAATGAAAGCATTTCTATTTCTGTTTAACATAAGTCTTCAAGCTTTGAGGGTCTGTTTGTTTCTTTTTATTTTCTTAGCATGGAAAGCATATATGTCAAGCCATATCCATTTTGAGATATATCTATTTTTTCTCTCCCCACATTACAAGCCCTGTTCATTTTCTTGTGCATGCATTTTGGGCTAATAATCACATAAAAAATTATTCGACGAATTTCAGTTCGAAGATTCATACACGTTGTTTGTTATAATACTTAACTCAGTAACCCAGCCAGAAATTATAATTTTGGATATTTTTTTTTTTTTTTTTTTTTNTTTTTTTTTTTTTTTTTTTTTTGTGTGCATAAGATAAAACTTACAATTTTACATACAGAACGGTCTAGAACTTTTTTTTTTTTTTATAAAAAGTGGCGACTTCTTCACCTTCAACATTCGATTATTTTCATAAATTTGATTTAGTATGAGCTTCTTTTAACAAAATAAGTAACATTTTGTAACGCAATTTTACCAAAAAAAGGATTGAACTTATGTAGTCATGATTGTAATTTATTTACCAGATATTTTCCATGTACCGAGATGATATAGATATAGTGAAAATGTTCGACGAAATTCCAAATGCAAACCCTTATTTTGATTGGAAAGTTACTGATAAGCTGACACCAAAAGAAAGAAGGGAACTAGTTATAAAGTAAGATTATTTTAAAAATATTTATATCAAAAGTAATTTTATTTTATGATTAGAATGCTTGTCTTCTTATAATTATCGATAATTTAATAAATGTGAAAATAGTTCGAATGAGTAAATGATGAAACAAATTTTATTATTTCATCAACATCATGAATTTTGAAGATTTGCGATATTTAGTTAACTGCATAGTTTCAATATAACTCTTAGTCTTAAGTCACAAACCTAGTTTTAGTACTAAGTACTTTTTTTTTCTCTATTAAAAAATAAAGAAAACACTGCCCTTTTTGTTCGTTTGAACTATGTTCACAACTGACGGGTTTGTAGCAAAAAGGTACATTTTTTTTTTCTTCATGAAATGCAAAAATATTGTTTGACTGAATCAAAAACTAGCCCCGGTATCTAAAGTGGTACAAAATGGTAACTGTCCCCTAGAGAAATATCTGAGTCAAATACCACAATTTCGCCTAATTCCTGTTAACTGTATCACACTATGTTTCGTTTAACTAGCCAAACTACATTAAAGTTTCTTAGATTATATGCTGAATTGGGTCTTTAATTATAAAAATATAACTTTATTTTAGCTCCTTTGCAAAAATTTCCACTTAAAATAATTTGACAAAAATAGTAACGGTTTGTCAAAAAATTTAAGAATTTATTTTAATACAAATACAGGGTTGGAACAGCTGTTCAAATTGCTCCAAAACGAAATTTCTGTTCTAGCTTGCTCCAAAATGCCATTTTCCCCTCAAAATGGCTCCGAGCTGCTCCAAATCTCTAACAATATTAATTGAACAAAAAACGTGTATTACAAAAATAAGTTTTGCTGCTCCAAAACGGCAAGTAATTTTCGTTTTTCACTTGAATGTCGATCAATATGTTTATTTAGGTGAATTTTTTACCCATCGAAATTACCGTATTATAAAGTTAATATTAGTAAATTAACTGAATTCACTTGTTATAAAAAGTGCGCATTAAGTAATTGGAAACGCCATCTGGAATTCAAAACGCCATGTTAGAAGGGTAGACAAAAAATCTAAATGATAGGTTTTACTATAGAATCGGCGCAAATAGATAACGTCCAAAAGTAATACCTTAAAATTTGACAAATGCGTGCTGTAATACCATATTTAAAATACCGAATCTTTCCTATTTTTGGAGAAATATATAAACTTCCATAATATTTTTAATGTCAATGATGCTTAATTTTGATAATAAGGCAGACCTGTATAATATATACGAACGGAAAATTTGTTATCATCGCGGTAATCTAAGAAAAAAATCTGTAAAGTGTGAAAAAAATTTATCTTTCAAATTCCCGAGAAAAGAAATCTTTAAGCTTTTTCCTGCCAAAGCAAACGAGATTTAACATGACATTCACATAATTTAAAATGAAACTTTGAGATTCGTATTTACGTGAATTTAAAATAGAATATCTGGATTCGTATTTGCTTGATTTAAAAATCACTCATTGAGATTTCTAATTACGCAATTTAAATAAAAGAAATCTCACATCGATATTTTTATTAAAACGCCGATAACATTCTGTGGAAAATGCTTTCTACATAAACTTTTATCTTGCTCAAAATTTTTTTTCTTTTCAATTAACGAAATCGCTTTGTACATAACATTATTGGATATCTATTTTCAGCTTTGCTGGCTTTTTACTAAATTCATCCCTGTTTTATAAATCAATTTAGAATTTTATAAAAATTTAACATTTAAAAAAAATCTGATTTTCATATAAGTTGAAAAATGTGAGCAGAAAGTTTTTTAATTCAGATTTTGTGCTCGCAGAAATTTTTTTTATCTAAGTCTGGTAATAGGTAATATAGAGGAAACGAAGGAAATAAAAATATGACCACCGAAGCCGACGTCTTCAGGGGGTACCGGCCCCATATTTCATGTTTTTTCCTGGACTTCTATACAAAACCATCGGGGTACTGAGGGAGTTAATTTAGGCATTTGCTTCTCCCTCAATTAGAAATGTTTTTATTTTTATTTTTTTTATGGCTACCGGGGCAGGTACCCCCTAAAGACGTCGGCTTCGGTGGTCATATTTTTAATTTTATTTCCTTCGTTTCCTTTATTGCTACTATATATGTACAAAAAAGCAAGGCAATGGTACTAATTCGTTTAGAAGAAATGTAAAAAGTCACCATGATATCGCCAATGCTGCTCGATTTTAGTAATACACCACTATTTGTATAAAGGTTATTGGTGCAGATTTAATGTGAAGCAAATCCATTAATACAGGCAAAAGTATTATATTTGTAACTGTAAAAAGTATTATATTTTGTAAGATTTTCAAGGGCTTTTAGAACTGAAAAATAACTTAAATATTCTAAAAGTTATAAAGCCTTTTTTAAATATTTGTGACATTTTCCCACTTAGATGAAAATCTCTACCTTATTCTTCTCAGTTTTTGTACATTTTTTTATGAGCTCTGATAATGCAGCATTCGAGTAAGTTATTAAATTAAAAAATTAGACCACAAACTGTTCAATTTCACAAAATTGTGGCTCTTCTACACTGACGTTTCGCGTCATTTTCAGATTAAGCATAGGCAAGGCTGGGCTTTAATGGGGCTAAACTTGTTTTGACAGTCATGAGTAACTGTCGCGAACTCAAAGCAGTTATAAAAATAGTATATTATCAACAACAAAAAATCTCTTTATATGACAATGGATCTTTTGGAAAAACAGCCGTTGTATCAGCGGTAAGAAAAAGGTTGAATGAGTTTTTTTTTTAATGATTATTTCTCTCTTTCAGACGTACCCTCGCTGCACACCTCGTCAAGGGCGTTACATTAATACTCTTGGGATATATTTTGTACAAATGTCTGTATCTAATATTTACACTGATTTTTTAGGTTGTTTTAGAAAGATTGCAAAAGGATTTTTGTTTAATTTATAAGTTATGAATTTACTGTTTTTATAAGAAAATAAAATAGTTTATTTATTATTATTTGTCTGTCTATTAAATTGTAATTACAAACCGCTGGAAAGCATTGATTGGTAAAAACTAAAAAAGACTATTTAAAACCATCAGCGTCGCTCTTAATGTTTGCAAAATATCGCTTGTACTTCGTGGGTTAAGGACTGGAAATGTAAATAAACTGAGTATTCCATAATTCTTTTACAAAACAAATAACGAAGCTTCAAAATAAAGGATTATTTCTCAGTTTTAAATTTTGAATGATGACTATTTTTTACTACAAATAAGAATGAGGGATTAAACTCATATAAACAAATCCTACCGGCACAGTTTTCTGATTGATCAAAAAAAAAAAAAAAAAAAAAAAAAAAAAAAAAAAAAAAAAAAAAAACAGTTTGGAATTGAAGTATAGTTTAGTATTTCAATTACATATTGCTTTCCTATGTGAAAGGATTTTTTGTTGTTGTTGATGGGTTAAGGTGGTAAGGAATGAATGACTGCATCATTTTCCAGAGATCGATCCGGTTGACACAATTCATTGTCGATTTTAGAATTCGGAAAAGTTTTAAACCACAAAACAGCGGTTTCGAATTTCACGCCCAGGATAGATAATAAAAAACTTTAATATTGGAAATACTTTGCAATGGCCACATACCCTAAAAAAATCAGTGCAGTGAATACTTGAACTACAGTAGGGAATTCCGTGCAAATGTAAATCTCATATTCCTGCTGGTTAATTACCATGGTTGAACCGGTAAGTATTAATGAAAACTACGTCTTTGGGTAAACGTGATAATAAAATAACATTAATCATATTGTTTGGTTAACATTTGTCCAGTATTTCCTACACTGATGTTTTTTAAGACTAAGGAAAAGATGCTAAAAATAGATTTTACAAATTTGGAAAACAAATGCAAATTTTGAATGCTGTGTCTTTCTCTGTTCTAAAAAATGTTTCCAAGAACTGAGAAAAAAAAAGGAAACAGTTTAAAATTGAATGTCTAGTCTAAAATGTTAATTTAGAGTTGCCTCTTTATCTGATGATGCAGTATCTTTGACCAACAGAGCTTTCCTTTTCCTTGTAGGTAGCTGGATGCCAATGGGATCCTATTATATGTGAGAAAAATACATGAAAAATATGTTTATTCAGAATCTACGACTAGGGCGAGATTTCTACAAGAACAAATAAGAGATAAATTTGGCTATAAATTTATATTGGTTTAAGAGAGTCATGTGATTTTTAGGAATTTCGATCAGTTTGTGAATTAGTCCCTACTTAGCTGATTTTTATGTACATAGATGAAATTCAAAAATAGTAATATTTCATAGCTATTAAAATTACAGAAAGAGTACAGTATTTACTTTAATTATCTTTATTCCAAGTACAACATAAAGCATAACTTGAAGGTTACTTTTATTACAATAATAGGTACATAAAGGATTTTGTTTAAACAATGAAAACTAGCCTCATTTTATTAATAAAAGCAGATAATATACCATATTATTCATAATTTAGTAAATAATTTCCATTTTGAAATTAATATTATTACCATATTATAAAAATACAAAGGGATTAAATGTTACTTTGAAACTAATTTCTCATAATGAACATTTGCTTATTTCAATTATATCAAACTGGAAAAACAAATTGAGCTAATATTTGAGCAATTGATGATTATTTGAATAGTAAAAAATATCAAACACAGTTATATTATATTAAACAAAAATTATAAACTACATATTGCTTTAAAGTAAACTAAGTGTATATCATCATACAATTGAAAAAACAAGGTAAGTGTATATCTTTTGTGGAGCACTTTACCTTTTATTTTTACAACTGCACAGCAGTACAAGTATTCAAGCTCGTGCAAATTCAAATTTTACAACATTCAATGAATTGCACTTAATATTGCATTGCTTGCAAAATATAGTTTATTTAAACAAATTTCATGCAATGACTATTCAGGCTGCAGTATATTGAATCTACACAGTAAAATAAGTTGAGTAGTAAGTTGGTACATTTAGAATAGTTATTTAAAATTTATAGCACACATATACCAGAAATAAATGTTAAAAGTAGAAAAAGAAAAATTTTGGCACTTTTTTTTAATTTTTCATAATTTAACTTGATACTCTTTATTTTGGTTTTTTAGTACTAAAAGTCAACATAAGAAATTGAGTAATTAAACACATTTGATGGTTTTAAAAATCAGAGAAAATAAAGAATGAAATAATTTAAACTAGTGAATTTCAGACAATGCACTACGATGTCATGAGGAGCCACCAACTCTCACAAGCAGGGTATAATACTTGAAAATATAAAAAGATTATTTAATAGCTACTTTTCTTAATATATATATTTAAAAAATTAAAGCACCAAGCATAAAGAAACATTCAAAAAGGATGGTTTTGATGTCAGTTTCTGTCATTTCAATTTTTTTACCAAACTGGCAATTGAAAACTGTCACAGAAACTTAAAAATTACGTATAAAAAAAGGTAGATAGATAACACAAATAAAAACTATGAACTCTGGAGAGGCTTAATATTTTCATCAACTGTATAGTGCAAGCATAAAAATCATTTTGGAAAAATTGCCATGTGTCTATAGGCAACTTCCTTTTTTTGTGTGCATAGATTTGAATGTTTATTTCATTATTCAACCAATTTTAAAAATTGCAACTTTCATTTATCTATTTTTAAAGGTAAAGCTTTCTCACAATTCATGAATGTCAGGAAAAAATTTACAAATTGGATATAAAAGGAAATAATTGAAACTGAGTCACAGTGTAACAGATAGTTTGTATTATTATTTTTTAGAAGGATTTTATTCTGACATGGGGCTAGAAATATCACCCCCCCCCCAATTGACTTAACTTTTAAAATGTAAACAACCATTGCAGACGTTTGGAACAATCCAGTACATAGTTTCTGTGTGACATAAGAACATTTTTACTAGCTCTGATTTGGCAAATCTGTATAATTTTCCCTTTCCAATGAATATTTTATATGAACCTTCAATTCAATGAAAAAAGTTACAGAAAAAATATTACAAAAATAATCTTTTCAGTTAAAAATAAATATAATTAAAAAGCTAATTTAACACAAAATCTTTGGTTAACAAAGAAAAAAAAAAGAAATCGGAAATTTTTCCAAGTCTAGGTTATCTTAAAACTAATTAGGACTCTTCAACTAACGACAGTGATTATGCAAAATACTGTGGCGATTTCAACTGATTACACAGTTCTGGAAAACCCTCCAGTAGCTGCATTTTAGGGGACTCACCCAATGTTAAATTTAGAGTATAAAAATTTACTTTCAAAGTGAAAAGAATTTGAATATCTAAATTTTTATAAGAAACAGCAAAACATCAATAAAAAATATCATACATGATTAGATACGACATAAACTTTATTTTTTAGTTCGCAGAAAAAGTAACACAACAAAATATTAATTTAGAAGTAACACAGATACTTGTAGCAGAGAATACTATATTACATTCGATCTGAGTATAAATAACAGATACTAATATAAGAATTAAAATTATTTTTCAGTTTTTAAAACATTGATTTATTCAGACATCCTGTACTAAATTATAATATCACGGGGAAAAAAACCCCTTTAATTTACAGATTTTTAAAATATTCATTACTAGGGCAGTTTTCAAAAGGTTGGGCGCAACACAGATTTGAACTTTAAGCTGAGATAATAATTAAATTTAAATTGCGGCAAATTTTGAGAGCAAATTTATAATTCTGTCTAGTGACAGGAATAAAAATTAATAACTGCACAAGTTTCTTATAAAAACCATAAAAGCTCTTTTTCTCTAAGAAAAAGGGCTAATTCTTGACATCCAAGTTGTAAAATTTGCCAATCTAACTATGAAAATTTTTAAAATTCTTTTTAGATGGTAAACAAGAAAAATATGAGAATAAAGTTTCATTCCGACAATCTCTTAATAACATTCACAACAAATGGCAGCACTAGATAAGTTATAACAATAATTTATTGTTTAGGATAATCTAATGTCCTAATATTAAATAAAAAAAATAGTACAAGGTAAATTTTCTTCTTGGTATTTGAATAAGGAGAGAATATTCAATGAAAATCAAAATTATCTATGTTCACCTTTTGAAAAGATCCCCGTATTAATAGAAACAAACTTACAATTGAGTAAAAGAAAAATATTATGGTTGCTTTCATTAATCTAGGTGTAAGCATCGTTTCAACTTGAATATAATTTCTAGATAATTTTTTTTTTAAAAATCTTTGTAATTAAATTATTTCACATTAAAAACTAAACTTGTACATCATTTTATCTAAGAAAAATTCTATACACATTGTTTCTTTTTTGTTTTGGAGGCTGCAAATGAATTATAGAGACTAACTGGGATATTAACTGAGCTATAGAATTCACCGATTAACAGTATAGTCAATAAACGTTCTTCTTAACTTCGAAAAAATAGAAGAAGAACAAATTCTTACAATTAAACAATTTGTATGATAGTCAAAAATAAAAAAATTGTACAAAGTATAATTGGAAATTGATTAGTCATTATTAGTTTATCATTAACAAAGATTAAATAAAGCTTTATTTAACAAATGAGCCTTTGAAAAGGCAGGAAGGCACAGATAATTCTTTAGGCAACTATATACATTTAAAATGCAGATGTTACCAGACATAAAAAAAATTACACATGGAAATTATTTTTTCATTCTTAACACCACTTAGATAAAAAGCACATGTTTATGTCATTCATAAAAACTTAAAATTTGTTTCCCATATGCAAATTAAACCTATTCATGCATTTGTTACAGTTTCGTTTTTGAATTTTTTTTTTGCATAGATGTTACGTGTTACGTCAATGATTAAAAGGCACAATCTTACCAATCCTAGATTGGATACTGTATCCCTCCTATTACTTCAGCTAAATCCTTAACTAAAAAGAGCTATCTGTCTAAGGAGACTTGCTTATAAAGTTCTAAAAATGCAATTAACACTTAATGCCAACAATAACAGCAACATCAATGTACAAACAGATCATGATTATTAAGCTTTTTAACACACACAAAATGCATCACAATAGTTTTAGTCTACATTTGTACAAAAGCTACAAGTCTATACACATTAACTACAAATTTACAATTTGTGATATACTTAGTTTAATGAGCAAAACATGATCAAGAGATGGGTCTTGTAAGTATGGTTAATAAACAAAAGTACTGGGTGTTGATAAAAAAACAACCTTTCCTTATCAAACCCTTAACGAATTAAAATTCAGATAGGAAATTTCAGATAGCATTATTTGAAAGGATATGCTCTAGATTATGAGAATTTATTGTAATATTCAATAATAACTCAAGGTCAAAGTTACGAAGCACAAATCTCAAAATTTTAGAAGGGTAATCTTTCTTCATCCAAATGTCATCCTCATAGTAAAAAAAACTAAAATGGTAAGAAACAATATTTGTAGCACAAACTTGAGCAGATGCCTCCAAAAATCATTATTTACATTTCAATTCAAAGCAGTTAGGATGTTAGGGGTTCATGCACAGAAAAAGTTTTTTATGACCACCCTGTGCATATCATAGCCTTGAACCATTTTTTTAAAAACAAAAATGTGAAATTTAATACACATTTTTGCTTGATTTAAAGTTATGATACAATTCTTTATCAACAATTATGTCAAAAACTAACTTTTATTACATTTCATAGCCTATTTTAGAAATCATGCCTTATTAAATACAAAATCATTTTTATTTTCGAAATAGGAAATTTATCTTAAAAAAAAACAAATACTAAACTAATTCAACTAAATAAGAAATTTAGAAGGGGATTTAGTTAACATTTGATATACATAGTCAAGAAAGTTTTTAAATAATAAATAAGATAAAATTAATATTATATAATAAATACATTTACTCAAATGATTTTACAGTGATCTAACTCTTACAAGCTACATTGATCTAACTCCTGGCATATCCTCTGATAATATAGATATTATTAATTTATTTGGTGTGTTATCTGTACACTCGACTAACAATAAAACAAGGTCAACAGTCAACAAAAGGTGCAAAAAGTGGTCTTAGGAAACATCTCCTTGATTTGAGTTATGATCCTTTATTTTCAACATGAATTATTATTAATTTGGAACACTGATGATGAAATTTGTGTTGATCAATTATTCAATAGTAACACTGATGAAGAAATTTGAACTGTTCAATTGAATATTTCAATGATTTTTTTAGTTCAAATATATTACTCTTACAAAAAAAGAAAACAGTAGTAATTATATTTCAGACTTATGAGCTGATAAGGGCACTATGATCACAGAAGGTTACATCAAAGAAAGCTTTAAAAAAAAAAAAAAAAAAAAAAAAAAAAAAAAAAAACTCATAGAATTTAAATAGTTTGTAACATTTGATTTATAACAGAAGCATGTGTTGCAAATAGAAAACAATGAAAAAGTACTTTATTTTTCATTTTATAAAATGTGTAAACATTCAACAATAAGAAAAATTACATTTATAAGTATTTTTGTTTCAAGTTTTAAAAGATTATTTAATTACTTTTATGTAATAGAATCTTAATCATCATATTTTATAAAAATGTGTGTTTGTGTAAACCATTCTGAAACAGAATTTATGTCTAGTGATAAATTCCACCTCAGAGAGAGTTTATTGCATATGATATCTAATAAAATGCAACACTTGAAAAAATGAAGAAATTTTTTTTGTGCAATTCAAATTTTCCTTTATGTTGGAAATGAGTTTGTCCATTATATAAAGCTGAAATATATTAATTTGACTTCAAAACATATGCAAAAATAAATTAATGAAAGAACTTTCAATGGAATTGAATCAGAAAAGTGAAAGAATATTGGGAATAGTAAAATTCCTACTATTTACACTATAAACATTCAGTTGATATTTACAAATACATGAAAATAAGGAAAACAATACATATAGCAATTTGATTTAAGATGTAGTGATAACTACACAAAGTTTGTTCAAGAAAAGGTATCACACTATTCTTTACTAATACTTTATTTTAAGAATAAATTAATAAATATGAACAGAGAAAATTAATAAACACCCCATTTTAAAAGGGATCTAAAACTTTACTTGAAAAATTTAGCTTTCATGGTTCAGTAAATAACGATTCCCTTTTTTTAAGTAGTATCAATTGGCAGCAGCAAGTTTTAAAGCTTCGTTGATCAAAGTTTTCATTTCTGTACGAGGTCTGTTTTCAAAAAGAGCTGCTCTATTCTGCATTTCTCCCTTCTTTACCCAATGACAGTACACTCTAAATGCACAACCATCAATTACCTATAAATAGGTCAAAAATATTTTCACTTATAGACCAAAGGATTTCACATTTATATTTACATAAAAAAGCAATAAAAATTTAGTCATTCATGAAATTTCAAAGCACTAAATTAAAAATGGCTGACAGTATTTTAGCTTATTTGAAGAAACTTTTAACTTAGCAAAAAGTAGACAAACATTCCGAGTTTGAGCAGTACATGGATATATTCTTCATGATTAAATAATAGATAGTTGCTGGAAATATTTTATATATTTTGCATAATTAATGCTTATGATTGATGTAAATCCTTCTATCAGTAATCACATATTCACTTGCTCCTGAGCAATACTCATATAATTGGTTAAGTGATGGAGAATAATCAGACTCAGTAAACACATCCAAGCATCCACGAAGACAAAAAAGTCAGTATAATCATGAACTACAAAAAACGTTTGGAAAATATAAAGAACATTATAGGTATTGAAAATTGCCCACTAGATGCCTTTCCTTCTGCTCGCCTGATTCTGGAAGCCTTAATGCCTTTCTTTGCAGATATCTTAAAGCTTTTAGGCGCTGTGAGCAAGCTTAGTTTGTAATAAACCTCATAGCAAGAATAGCTAAAAGCAAAGAAATTGGTGTGTTTGACTATGTCCGGCATGCATAGTCTTTATGCTACGGTGCAACCTTCGGGCATGTGTTGTAATATTACAAAACTACATTCACTTAGAATGCCATATGTATTACGATGACCAACATAAATTTTCAACTAATCATTCTATTGTCTGTTTTAATTATCTACTCCAGCTACCTTTTTCCTGATGCTTACAGTCATGGATCACTATGCAATCCCTAATCTCTACATGATGTACTCTATCTTAAAAATTTGTTGCAGCATTTTTTTTAATCACTTATGATTAGTAATAAAATTCATTTATATTCATTATAAAGTTATGTTTTTTTTAAAAAATTCTAAAAGAACGATTGAAAGTGAGGAGCAACAATATATACCTTGCGAAGTGTCTTCAATCGGTATGGATCACCTTTGGCAATATCTACAGATAGTGGTTCAGGAGTATATTTCAATCTCTTTAAACGTATCACAGCACGTACACAAAGAATTCCAAACTAAAAATATGAATAAGAAAATATTTCATTGTATTATGTATATTAAACTAAAGAAATAGTATAGTATAAAAGAAATAAACTAAATAAGACCAAAGAATTTTATGTTCAGTAAAAAAAAAAAAAAAAAAAAAACTTTTTTGGTGCACTTGATTAAAATAAATAAATATTTAATACGCACAGAAATTAAAGCTACAATTTCAAATTGTGGCTATCTTACCATAAAATAATACTTTGGAAGTTTTCTATGGTGACCAATAAGTTTTCAAATACAACACAACAAAATTAACACGAGAAGTCAATTTGAACACTATTTTGATCAATGACAAAATATTTGCATGGGACTAAATATGCGAACTCCTTCATCCCTTCCATTAAAAAAAAATTAAGTGTATTACATCATGCATAAAATAATAAGGATAAACCTCTAACTTTTGACATTTAACTCAATTTAGGAATAAGATATTTGGTTGCTTAAATGGAAAATAAACTGGAGTGCATTTTACTAAAAAGAAAAACTCTGTTCTGCAAGAAACTCCACGAAAAAATTTTGATCATTAAAGGATTAAGTAGGCAAATTAATACATCACAAAAAATATTTTTATCATTTGATTCTTTACATAAAATTCAAACTATTCAAATTAATAAAGTTGAACTTAATAAACAAGATTTATCGGACAAACTTCAGCCACTTTTTTTGGCATATGTAAAGTAGTTTTCCTTTTATGAGAGTAGAAATAATGAAGTAAAGAGTATATAATAAATAGAAATAATGATTTGCAGAATTTTATTTTATAGTACAAATAGCATAATAGTTCAAATAAGAGTGTAAGTAAGATGTTTTGATTAATAACTAAATGTTATGAGCTGAAGGCTAAGAGTTTTTAAATTGATAATCAAAATTCCTTTTTTAAAATTTGTCTGCAAATTTTTTTTTCTTAAATTTGTATTCAAAATAATTAAGGAAAATAAAATGATATATTCCATAATGGTTTATTTGAATAATAGCAGCCTTCATAATTTCTGGATTGTAAAGTCGAACAAAAATTTTTAAGATGTTAAAAAAAAGAGAAAAAAAGAAACAAAAAAACCAGAAAATTAACAAAATTAGTAAATGAACTTGTTTGAAAAATTTTTGAACAAGTAACTCATGAAATCCATATACAAATACAAATTTAAGATTATTATCGTTACTTATAGTTTATGTGAACAAAGCTGTTATTTTAAGTAAACATTTTGCAATCAAAATAACTTATGAATATCTGATTAATAAATTAACATTGATTTCAAACAATAATTCAAGACAGTCAACAGTAACATATTTAAACAGAAGAGCACTTTCACAACAATGTTATAAACGTATAATAAATATAGACGAAAACATTAGGCAAAAATAATATCAATATATCAAGTTTAGAAAAATTTCAAAATTTTTATATGCACTATTGAGACAAGTCAGTTTACAAAATACATGACTGAATGAAACTCTTATTTAAAAGTATATGAATGTGCCTAAATGAAGGGCAACGATTCATTTAAAGAAACATCAGGGGTGATTGTGAAGGGAAGTTAAAAACCCTGAAAATTTTATGAGCATAAACTTGATAAGAGGATATCAATTTATTTACTATTCATATTTAATATAATTTATGGAGCTGAGATTTATAATTAAATTACCTTTCAATAAAACAATCTTATAGTAACTAATTTAAGAAAAATTTAGATTGAATTTAGATTAAAATTGAAATATCAGATTTTTAACGCGTAAATACAAATCGGGAATATGATTTTTAGATCCTGTGAATACAACTACCGACATTGGATTTTAAATTTGTGTGAATACAAATTGCAATATTGATTTTAAAAACGTGTAAATACAAATTGCGATGTTGGATATTTAAATCCTGTGAATACAAATCGAGATGTAAGATTTTTCAATAGCCTGAATACGATTCACAATGAATAATTTAAATAAGGTGAACACGAAAATCGATGTTTGATATTAAGATTGCATGAATATGAATCACGATATTAGCGGATTCCAGCGTAGTTTCAAATATTAAAAACAATGAAAATCTGATAAACCAAAAAAAAAAAAAAAAATTGCGGAAGAGTCACTTGGTTTGTTAACGTGATTTAGCGAAGGTTTCAAAATTTAAATTTTAGGTTGCGGTGAAAATTTCGTTGGATTATAAGTTTTTATTTGCTGAAGTCCAAAACATTTTATTGTCTAATTTTTCTCTCTTAAAAGACAAAACAGTAAAAGGAAACACGAATATTATAGGAACTAATTTAAAATAAACTTCTTTAAATCTTTCTGCTCCACATTAAAACAAATATAAAGTAATTTCTGTCATAGGCAAAATATTTAAACTTGCATGAACTCTATTTGTTTAAACAAAAAGCTAGCCATGTAAAGCAAAAAGTTTTTTTTTTCATTTTTAATTTTACTATTTCTGCTTAATACAAAGCCACTAAACAATTTTCAATCGACAAAAATATCATTTATAGAAACAAGTATTTTAATTAGTTAATAAAACTTCCACTTATTTCAAATAAACTCTAAATTTTTAATTTCAATGTACTATTTATTGCTATTTTTAAGTCAAATAAAATACCATGCATACAAATGTTATGAATAAATTATTTTCAACAGAAAATTTTGAAACATTGGCTTAGTTTTACAAAATAAGGGGGCAGTAAAGTTTTGAATAAATGTACCCAAACCACAATATGTAATATTTACAAAAGAAAAAAAAAAAAGAACTTACTTGAAAAGTCTTTCTTGCATTGAATACTCTGCCTTTTGCAGTCTAAGAATAAAAGATTAATAGTTATGAAATAGAAAAGAATATATACAAAAAATAGTGAAAAAAATAAGATGCCTTCATAATTCAAAATAATACACAAAAAGTATTTAATTGGCTTTTACTTAATAATTATGGAATTTTATGTGATTTGTTAAAACACACATATATTTGAAGGTATAACCTAATTTACTGTCTCATATATTTGCAAAATAAGGTTAGAATTAAGAAGTGGAAAGTTTAGTGCCAAGATGACTTATGACTTAATTAGAGAAAGAATGATAAATTTAAAGGTTAATTTTATATCAATATAGCATTTTTAAAAAATATATCACCGAATGCAAAAATAGCTTCAGTAATGCATATTAATTTTTGAGAAAGCTAAAATGATATAGGGAGCATTTTTTGTGCCAAATGAAATCAAGTGTAGCTAAATTTTCATTTTGATGAGTTGAACTCTTAAAAGCGTGTTTTGTTTAATCTAATAATGCAAAAATATTGGGAAGTATAACTAATAAGTACAAAAAAAAAGGAAACCATCAAAACCTTTTTTTTGCTTTTCAGTTTTGTGCATGATTGTGTAGTGTTAATTCATAGAATTTCAATAATTATGAATAATTTTTTAATTTCCCCATGTGAAATAAGTATTTTCAGCTAGTATAAAATAACAACTAATACATTTACTCGCAATATCTAAGTGCATTATGCTATAGAGCAACTCTGAAAAAAAATTGCACAAACTGCTTTTGTTTGTTTACTAAAAAGTAGCATTACCTTTATTCTAGTAGAACAGCAATGTAAGAAAAAATAACATAAGTAAAAATATATAGGTATTTATATAAAAAAAAAAAATATTTTAGTAATCAATTAAGTAACTCTCATAATATTCTGTGGATCAATTAAATCAAAATTTTAAAATAGGCTGACACTATCCGGCAAATTAGAGTATGTTCACTTCAGACCTTATCTTTATTTACCATTTAGTGGTACTTCATGTTTGGTTAGATAACAAAGTGCAGCTATCTACTTGGTAGCTACTGCAATATAAAGTCTCACTTAGTTACACACATTTTATTTATAATTCTTCAACCATAAATTAAACTTGATTAACATTGAGTACATTGATATTGCTTGAGATATATCAAATCTGTATATCAGTACATGTAGCCAAAGACATTTTTTGAAACATCTTAGATACCAAACTACTTTTGAAAAAGGCAGATGATCAAGAAAAATAACATATAATTTGCATTGTTTAAGGTATAATTTAATCATATAAAGGGCAAATTTATCGTAAAAGAATACTACAAAATACTATTTACAATATCAAAATTACTGTTTCGAACAAAAAGTTTTAAAAGTTCCCAGTATAATTTTATCACTGAAGTACTAAACAACTGAGATTAGTTTGAAACTAAACACAATTTTTTAAAAAAAATATTTTTGCATTAAAAGAAAACAGTTAGTTAATATTCACTCAAACTAATATTTAATTAAAACTAGAAATCTGTCATCATTAAAATCAAATTTATAGAATTCACTATTTCATGAAATCAAATGAAACAGACACATTAATAATTGCTTGAAATAATAAATGAGCACACAGCTAAAGAATTCAATACCATAAAAATTATGAAAAATTGTTTATTGAGTTTCTTCTTCATAAAATGACTGAATTGTCAAAAAGTTGTGAAATAGTAAATCAGAGTCATATAAAGATTTAGGAGATAATTTTACATAGATCATTTCACAATTTACACACAATGCCAGAAAAGTCTTTTTTATATTTCAAACCCCTATTAGTACTAAAAATACAATTACTGTTTTTTTTTTTTTTTTTTTTTTTTTTTTTTTTTTTTNAAAGGCCATGTGTGTCCCTGCCTTTTTTTTTTTTTTTTTTTTTAACAAAAGTTATGCGGGTAGTTAATGAAAGTAAAAATTATTAATTCAGCTGCTTCTCTAATCAATTATTACCTTTTGTATTTTGTTTCCTTTATAACCAATTAATTTTGGTTTCTTCCGTTTGATATTTTTATATCGAATTTCAAAATAAAATTGAATAACTCAATTGCCAACCAAATGAATATTCTCATAGTGATGTACTTCCCACCACCAAATCAGGAATGAATGGGCTAATTTATTAAACTTAAAATAGTTACAAACTACAAGTGGTTGTCTGTCAGAATGACAGTGTCAAAAGGGCTCATTGTCACAAAAGTTTGCAAAACCCTGCTTTAGAATAATGAATAAATATAATCATTAAAATAACTATAATAATTTTTATAAGGAAATGAAAATATTTTTTTAAATTATAATAATGAATAAGGACTTACACTTACTACTATTTTGAAAAAGTCATGCATTAAAGCTTCAGAAGCTGTTATTCTTTTCTTTGGATCCAAGACTAAAAGTTTTTTGATCTGAAATTAATAAAGAAAAAGAAGCTCAAAAAATAAAAAAAATACACAAAAAATGAATTCAGAGGTAAATTAAAACTTACAGATTTACACAGAAAAAGCATTACAAAGGCATATAATTTAATTGATCAATTCTACATGAGATAGCGATAATAAGTAATAATTAGTAGTAACATAGTTGCGTCAAATCAAATCAAATAATATTTTGACAATGCCACACAACTCTAAGCCTACTGCAATTTTAGGTTTTGTGTTATTATTCAAAAACATGATGAATATACATTGCCTGTTTGATAAGTGATGAGATTGACAAAAAGGTATAATGCAACATAATAAAGATGTAAGCAAAAACACGAATATACATTGCCTGTTTGATAAGTGATGAGATTGACAAAAAGGTAAAAAAAAGCTGAAATTCTCAGTGGGTTATAATATAGGAGTAACAAACAAAATAAAGTTTAAAAAAAGAAATCTTAATTATATGTTACAACTTTGCATGAAAATAATAAATAATTATGAGCTATGTATATAAAAGAGAAATAAGTGATGCTAAAATACAAAAATAAAAACAAAAATTTTGTGTTGAAATTCACTGCACTAATACTGACTCTTAATAAAAATAAACATCTGTAACTCATTTTCTGTGAACTGGAATAAATGTTAACATTAGTCACATCAAGAACAATCCTTAGTATACCACTGTAAGCATTTACAAAACATTTCTCACCCTCTCTTCTTTTTAAAGAAAAAAGGTACAGAAAAAAAAACATATAGAAAATAAAGACTGATTTTTTTTTAAAATTTAATATAATAGTTATTTAAAGTCAACTACAAAAATTGCATTTTTAAAAACTTGAAAAATTTAAGTAGAATTTTTTTAAAGGAAAAGAGCAATAGAATATCTATTAACTTTTAGCAAAATTATTTATTTCAAAGAAAATCTCACCCACTCCCAATGAAAAAACTACTCATCCTTCCTCAAATGTTTAAATGTAGTTTTATATGTATTAACTAAGTAAAAAAATTTGTTTTATCAAAGAAATTTTTTTCATCGTCCAAAACCATTCTGGACAACAAAATTTATATTTTTTTATCCATGGTACTTAACATAATTAGCAAAAGTTTAATTCAAATATAGTAAAATTTTGGGGGAAGGATTCTTATGCAAGGTGGATTACAAGATTGCATTTTAGTAAACTAAAAAAATAAGAATAAAGTAGATAAATGTTAACCTTCAACAAAATATTATTTAGGTACAAAATTATTTTCATAAAAAATATAATCAATCTTTTTTTGTTTTAAAAATTTAAGTACAGTTTTCAACCTATTATAGTAACTGTCACACAATATATTACAATATTTGGAACAAAAATTGAAATAATGTTAATTATTACAATCAACTTACTAAATCCTTTGGTAAATTTGTAATGTCATCCCATTCCGGACTGCAGAATTCATACTTTCCATCCATAATATTTCTTAACATTATCATCTGTTTTTTATGCCAAAATGGTGGAAAACCAACAAGACTATAAAAATAACACATGCCTCAATAAAAAATAAATTATATTGATGGTAAAATGAAAAAGTGAAAATTGTGAATAAGTTTTAAAAAAAAAGGAATATGAGGGGAAAACATAACTAAAAACTATTTTAATTAACATAAAGAAACACACAACAACAAATTATTATAATGAAGAACATTTTAAAATAAAAATTATCTGTTCTTTTTAAAAATGGGTAAATGTTCTCAAGGAAATAATTTCAAACTGGTATCTCTAAATATTACATGGGAAAGATAGTACAGTAAAACCTTGATTACGCCAGTTTCCGTCTTAACTAAGCAATCAAATATTTCTTGAATTTTGTTTCTTTTTCTGTTCAACATTTATCTTTATTAAAACTCCCAAAAGAAATCTGAACTTTATTTCTTATTTATTAAAAAAAATCTAAAACTACCTTTCTTAACTTTTCCTTGTTTCACACAGTTCTCTTTCTCATCAAAGGGGAAAGATATAACATGATGAATTGCAAGTGTATAACTTTAGTACTTGTTAAAATGTACATTTGAACATGCACAATTTATTCAAATAAAACTTCTTGGTTATCTGAGTAAGTTTTGATTCATTTTAACTTAGATAATTACATCTCTACTGTAATTACACAGAGGTATTTAAACAGCACAAATGTTTAAAAACAAGGAATAATAGTATTAAACAAAAAAAAAAGAAAAAGAAAAAAAAAAGAAAGAAAGAATTCCAAATTGAACCATGCAGAAATTAAATAATTTATTTATAACAATAATTTTAATTGTTTTCCTTGTGTTCTTATAGTTTATATTCATAAAAGATCAATTTTTAACAATTGCTCATTATGATTTTACTAGGTAACTAAATAATTTACCTTAAATCAAACAATATTTACAGTCAAAACTGATCTAATGTTTCATGCAAGTAATTTTCTAACCAATATATTTCAACATAACCTGTATTTAAAATTCATTCATTTAAATTCAATGCCAAATTTCAATTGCATTATTTATTATTTTTAAAATAAAATATAACAAACATAAAATTCTGTATATTGATGTTCTAATGTTTTTGAGATTTAATATAGAAAATTCAAATGAAAGCATTTAGTGTTTAGAAAAGAGAAATAATGTTGGGAATTTACTTACAGAGTATACATGATGACACCACATGCCCATCTGTAAATAAATGCAAAGTTTTAAAGTGCAAGTATTTTTTTGTGCACAATCACAAAATTTAATAAATAAATCAAGAAAATTACCAATTATTTATTTAGACAAACTGCTTTTGAAAAGTTCCTTTTAAGTTATTATTTTTTTGATAAATAATTTCTAATTTTTTTAATAATGGACTTATAATATTTTAATTATAATCTAACAATAAAAAAAAATCAATAAAATTTATGCTGCCTTTCATAATTGTGTGTAAATATAGTATTGGGAGTATTTAACTTTTTTTCTGAATAAGCTTTGCTTTGGGGATAAATATATAATTTATATTGTTCATTAATGGTATTTTCCACTGCAAAAATCTCTACATTAGATAAGTTGATTTCATTATTCCAAGTTTGAATTTTTGCATATTTGGTAGTTGAAAAATTTTATGCATATTTGGTAAATAAGTGTACCTCCAACCTGGCACTTATTTAAAATAAAAAGTTATATACATTTGATATTTTGTCATATTTGTGAAGAATCCAAATGTGTCAAAAAAGGCATATTTATTAAAAGTATGGTTTTGTGTCTGCTTTCTTAATTTAATAGTTAACAGTAATCAATTAGTATACTTAAGGGTAGCTTTTTATACAGTTGTACGTGAAAATTCAATCCTTAAAATCGAAGCCATATTAAGTGTACTTTTTATTTTTATTTCATTGTACATGTCAAACAAAATAATATGTATGATCATGAGAACTAGCATTAAAATGAATAATTTATACTAATTTGTTTATGTTTTGTATCAGCATTATTAGAGATAAGTATTACTTTTTTTTCTTCACATATAAAATACTCACATGTCGATTTCCTTGCCATAGCCATCAGCATTTTCATACATGGAAGAGCGGAGTAATTCAGGTGCTAAATAGCCAGGTGTCCCGCATAGTTCTAAAGAATAAGAAAAATATTGTTTAAAAAATTACATAGTAAAATAAAATTATGCATTCATACAACAACAGTTTAAGAGTGCACTATAAAAATATAAAAAAAGCATAGTATAAATGAATAACAAAAAGCTTATTATTAATAAATAAACAATTGAGTTTATAGAGCTCCGAATCCTCTTAATTATACAGATCCAAACAAATATAAAACAGCAAAAACTAAATGCAATCGCTAAATTAAAAAAAAAGATAATATTAAATTAAATAGATATTATTTTATTTTAAAATAGATAGTTTATTTCTTCATATTTTGGCACAACTTTCTTCTTAAAATATAATAAAGGAATTATGTCAGTATGCAAAAAAAGATGGTCAGTTTAGTAAAAAAGGAGTTCATTTGTTTCGACTTACAAATACTTTGAAATAGATTTGCGAGACAGTTAGATGTTAGAGCGGTGAAAAAGTCAATAATTGAGATTAGTAGTCACAGAAAATTGTGGGATTAAAAATAAAATAAAAACCCATTCTTTGTTGTATGCCAAATTTTACACTTAGAAATGATTCACTAATTTTTATGACACATAAATATTAGCAGAATTAAAGTTCATGTCATTATGCTCTACAAGTAAATATTATCACAATTAGTTTTTGAAATAATTGTAGTATTTAACTTTATTAACTGCAATTAAAACTAACTTAAAGTGAATTTTTTTAAAAAAAATCGAATTTTTTTTTTATTACTAAATTGTGCCCAGCTTCGAAAAGAAATTAACTGAATCAAAACACTAAAGACTGCTATTGATTAATATTTTTCTACCATATTCAGATTTAAAATAAATAAGCTAAAATAATCATACCCAAAGTCTTAACTTTTAACACAATAGGGATCATTCTGTTGTTAAAAAAATATTTATCACTTACCATATAATCTTTCATCAGGAGATAGAACTTGTGCAAAGCCAAAGTCTGTCAACTTTACATTAAAAGAATCATCTAATAAAATGTTTTCAGGCTAAAATATAAACATATCAAAAAGATAATTATAATATTACACATAAGTATTAAGAAAATTGTAGAGATCCAGAAATTGTATAGTCATGGGCAGTTTGAGCACTTTTAAATGTAAAATATGTGCTACACCTGTATAATATGCATGCACATTGTGCAAAAAAAAAAAAAAAAAAAAAAAGACCACCCCAAATAACATTTGATCTAATGTTCTGGTCTTCACATTCTAGGACTCAATTTTAACAGCTCGAGAGAGAGAGACTGCAAATATGGCAATTAATAAGTGCAGATGATATTTTAAGTTAGAAAATCAGACACAAAAACGTACTTTTTCAGAATAAACAACCCATTTTTCCCCGACCCATTCGTATTTCTGACCCTCATAATATAGGGAGGGAGTAGCCACAATCTGGTAATTATGGTCCCAATAGTTTGAACAGGAGAGCGCCCCAAAATTTGGATCCTTTAATGTTAATTTTACTTTCTGTATATTTCGCTATATCTTAAGAACTTTGCAAGCAAATTGAAACATTTTTGCACACAATTATAAAATTCATTAAACCACACATAATTCAATGCAAAAAAAATTTTTTTTAAGTAAATATTTATTATTATTTAATTTAAATATTGTCTAAAAACTTTTGAATTGTAAGGTATACAATTTTTGTATTATTTTAAAGAATATAATTTTATACAGTACAAAATTTCAGCAAAATTAGTCGAATAGTTTCTGAGAAATCGAATTCTAAATATCTGACTTTTAATTCAATTTCAAGGGAACTTTTCAACCGATTTCGCTCAAAATTCCTATTGTGCACTCTCCAGATCAAACTATTGGGACCTTATTTTGAGAGTCAGAAGTCCGAATCCCTTGAAAAAAAATGTATGTTTATTCAGAGAAAGTATGTTTTTATGCTTGATTTCGTAACTTAAAATATCGTATGCACTTATTAATTAGCATATTTGAGGTTATCCCTTTGAGCTATTGAGTCCTAGAACGTGAAGATTTGATCATTAGAATAAAAGTTGTTCATTGTGGTCCGTTTTCTTTTTGGCACACTGTACATAATTATAATTCTTTACAGTACTGACTCATTATTTAACCTAATATAATTTTGCGACAAATTTAAAATTCTCTAAAATAATAATAATAATAATATTTTCAAACATTTTTCATATCTTTACTATTTTTTATCACAAAAATAAATAATGTTAACTGAGTATTCCTTTCATTTTTAGAAGAATAAACTTAGTTTACAGTCAGTTCAATTTTAATTTTTAAAGTACTTTTTAACTTTTCCTCAAATACTAAGGTCATGTGAGAAAAAAAATGAAACAGCTGGTTCAGATAATCAAAGTTTCAATTCAAATGATTTAAAATACATCTTTTGTAATAACTGAGAAATACCCAGACAACTTTTTAATATCTTTTAGAATTCTTAAGTTTTGTAATGAAATAATATGCCTTATTTTAAGATATTAAATTTTTTTTTTTATGTATATTAACTGAAAATTATAAAAATTTGCAATTTGGGATATAAAGTGTTCCATAACTGCTCTTTTATCTGGGAACAATACCTTGATTATTTTTTAATTTAAGTTTAAGCATAATATGATGTACAACATAATCCAACATACAACTATTTATAAAGCTGATAAAATATAAATGGGCAAAGGTAAATTACCTTTAAATCTCGATGAACAACATTTTTATCATGAATGAATTCGACTGCTTCAAAAAGCTGCTTCATAACAGTTCTGTAACGAAATTGATAATGTATAAAAACAAAATTTTACAATCATTACATTTTCATTAAATACAAATATATATGACTGTGGAAGAAATAAGAACAAATATAATCACAAATAAAAATTTGTAATCAGTAAACAACTATTGCAGACTTTAAAAAAGAGGAGGGAGTGAGTCAAAAATATTTTCAACTCTGCAATTTTTCTTTTTTTAATATTAAGAATTGTGAATTTTTTAATGTGACATTTTTTAAGGCTTAAGGCTAACAAATTTAAAAATATTATGAATTATTTGTATATAAAGTTTCATACTGAAAATATATATTAAAAACTTTCTTTTCATCAAAAACTTCAAAGTTTCCCCAAAGATAAACTGTAGAAACTACACATACATAACATAATTATACATAAAAGCTCATAAATTGTAGAAAACAAGATAAATATAACACTTTATCTTAATTTAGAAAGAAAATTATCTCAAATTATTAAAAAGTTTTATAGTACACTTTCTTGAGACCTATTTGTTGAAGAAGCATAATACTTTGCTACTAACTACTTTACAGAAAATATTATTCTTTAAAATATAACAATTCTATAATTATCTCTTTTTTGGTTTTATATAAGTTTGAAATGTAATTTGTTTCAATTTTGATCAGTAGAGAGCCGTATATCATTGATAATGTAAGATTTCAGAAAATTAGACCATTATAATTTTCCTTATTTGGTTTATTTAAGATTTTAAATTAGCTCATCAATAAATTTTTTTAATGCATATCAGATAAAAATTTCATTCAGGGTGGATTTTTTTCTATAAATCAAAATGATGACACAGTGAACAAAATGCTCAGTCTCAAAAACGGCAGTTGGCTTTTACCTGACTAAAAGCTATAAAAATCTTTCCTATAACAAAAACTAAATCTGTTATATATTTGCAAAATTTATTTCAAGTAAATGGGACTGTACTAAAATAGCAGCTATCCTTTATATGTTATAGTGTTTTGAGAAAAAGCATTTAAAATTAACAAATGCATATTGTATCCAAACTATAACGAATAAAAATTGCACAGAATCTTGGTAATTTCTAAATGAGCTGTTTAAATAAAAAAGCTGAAAAAAATATTTCTAAAAATGCATACTGTTGTATGTAGAGTAAAAAAATAATAATTTACATACTTAAGAGTGGAAGTTTTCTGATTTTTTAAAAATTAAATGAATCAGACCGTGCAGATAAATTTTATTTTCATTCAAAAGTATATATTTTAAAATATTCTATTATCTGAACATTTCTATTACAATTAAGCTTTGTACCAACAAGTATTATTTTCACAAATCCTTCCATGATAGATGCTGAGCCAATTAACACAAAACTATTAATAATAAACAACCAAGCATTTGCATCTTCATAAATCACATCTTAAGCTACCACAAATTAATTGTTTAAAGAAAAACAAACCTACAGTCACACTCAGGAGTGACAAATACTGTAGTTAGACATTCATAGCATGCTATTATACATTTATTCATAATCATAAATTAGTTGAATAGAGAGATTTTGCATATAATTAGTTTTATATTAAATACAGCACTTATCTTATTTTCTTCATTTTAAAAAATGACATTTTAGAGGAAAATATTCAACCAAGTGCTGTGAAGCTCAAATAGCATTAGCAAGAAACCGTAACCATAATGGAAAATTTCTCAATGCTTGAGAAAGAAATGAGGGAATTTTAAACAGAACAAATGCATGCAGTATTAGTTTATTAACTAATAATTACTTGGTCTTCTTTTCAGATAAGGCAACTACGTTAGTAAGGTAGTCAAAAAGCTCTCCATTTTTGCATCTAAAAAGAAACTAAATTTAATATCTTTCTCAAAATTATAAGTCAAATAATGTTAATAGTTTAGATTAGAGGTGCACAACTATTATTTTCAAAGTATGATCAATTTAGGCAAAGTCACAAAGTTCAATTTTCTGCCGTCATTTAATAATCATTTATTAATTTATTGCATTAATAAGAACATATCATTTTGATTATATGTTCTAAATGATTTTTGTTTCATTAAATGAACTATAGCCTATTTTTTTAATTTTTCTCAACACAAAAGTGAATGTATTTACTTAAATTTTAATTAAAAACCAATTTTCCTAAACTCTTTGGACAAGTAACTCCCTTAAAATGTTATAATTTAAAAGTCATAATGTATTATAATTAATAATATCTATTAGTTCTAATCTATCATTATCTATTCAATAACAACAATTCTATTCAATAAAAACTTTTGGTCTATGGGCTACAAGTTCTGCACCCCTACAATAGGCAGTTTAAAGTTAAAAACTTACATTTCAAAAACTAGGAAAATGAAAGTTGATGACTCAAATACATCATGTAGTTCAACTAAAAACAAAAGAAGAACAATAATATTTTAAATGCAAAAAATTCTAAACTAAATTAAAATGTAAAGTTAGCTAAATGTAAAGTCAATCTTAAGAAACTAACTTTTCCATACAATAGAAACAAAATTTCAAGACATATTTTTAGTTTCATATTTACTACTTTTTAAAATTTATCTTTTTAATCCTGTGTTATACGCTTTCCTAGTCCTTTTGTAAACTGAATAGAACTAATGTGTAAATTGTTAAATATTATTTACTAAAAAAGTATTATTTTCACTTAAAAAAAAAGATATGATCATGTAAATTTGATTTTTGCTGAAAATGACCAGTCTTGTATTGCTAGTTTTTTTTAAAAAAAAATAAAAGTAATTAAAAATGCTATTTCAATAAAAAAATGAATAATTATAAATATTTTACTTATGTAAGGATGTCCAGCTACTAATTTTAAAACTGATATTTCTCTAAGAGTCGCTTCTTTTAAACTACCAGAAGAATCATCCATATCTGCGCTGATGTCAATAATTTTAGCCGCAAATTCTCGTCCAGTATCTTTTTCCACACATCTTCTTACTGTGCTACTCACGCCTCTGCAAGAAAATATCTTCAATTGAAACCTCATTTGCAGTTCAAAATTACAATAAATTGATTCTGACACAAAATAACAAATAACTGCACTTAAAATATCCAGGGTTGAGAGTTCTTTCAGAAAAAAAGAAACTACGGGGTACGTTAGTANGGGGGGGGGGGGGGACTAAAAATGACAATTAATAAATTTAATTTATCTTTTTTCTTTTAAAAAAGCTGATTTTATTTAAGTTTTGTAAAGAATTTAAAAATCTAACACCCTTTAGGTTTATGCATAAAATATGTCAGATTTTAAATTAATACATAAAATTGCGTATATTTTTTCAAAAGCAGTTCATATAATCGAAATATGCTCCATTTGCTTAAATACACTGTACCCTGTGAGATTTTAATGCATAGATGGCTTCAAACCCAATAATAAAGTCAGCTTCACCAACAAGAAATGTAACTGAGAAGACAGCTCTTCTAGCATATATAATTTATCATTATATATCCATTTAAAGCATAGGTAAATATGATAAATTAAAAACAAAAAATATTTTTTCAGGTTAAATACTAAACAATAAAAAAACATACCTTCCAAGAACTTCTTTGGGTTCATATTTTGCATAGAAATCTCTAGCAACATTCTTGTCCGGCAACTCATCATCTTCTTTGTGTGAAGAAACCATGTTGAAAAACTGATTATTGTATTTTTCTCAGTGCCCAAAGAAGCTCCCTAACTGATGGTGTTATCTGCAAAATTATTAAAAGAAATTTTCTTATTTCTGTTTCTCTTTTGACTTTTATTTATTAACTTTTCTTTTTATCAGTGAATTTTAACCAATTCTGTCTGTATCTATTATGACAGAATTTTTTAAAGAGCATTTCTAATAAATCATTTCAGACATGAAAAACACAGTTAAAATTTTAATGTTTTATCAACGTATCTGTAATTAAAAAAAAAAAAAAAATTATATAACTTACTGTTTATCACAGCCAGCACATTTTCTGATAATTTCAAAACTGAAAAAAGAAAAATATAAATTAGTGATCAAACAAAATTATTAAAATGATTATCAGCAATTAATCAAGAGTAGCATCTAAGTTATTTTATGGTAAACCAAGGAAAATACAATTTGTTTATACCTCTACCTAAAATCAATTTAAGAAATATAGAGAATTCTGGCAGAAATTAATCATTAATCTAAAAATAATTAAAATAAAAAGATGTTCAGCACAAATAATAATCTAAATCTGACTAATAATCTGAAGGAAAAAAAATTAAAAATAAAAATCAAATTTGCAATATACCCTTTAATAATAGACTAATTCCTTATCACAGTAATACTTAGAAAATTTTAGCAAGAAATTTGGAAAAGAATGAACCTTAGAGCATAGATTTTATCTTCGTAAAAATTTTTTGAAAAGGCAAAATAAGTGAGAGATTTTTTATCTTTATATTATGTTATTACATTTAATATCATGAGAAACCTAGTTTTGCACTTTGTGGAGAAAAAATGCAGTTCAAAATAAGACTTTCAATAAGTAGAATTGTCAGAGGGTTAATTTACTACAAGTGTACACAACAAATAATAGACCGATAATTAATAATTTTCCTCAATGTTAACTTTTTAATATTATTTATAAAAACTCAAGATGCAACATTGAATTACTTGACTCCCAAAATACTTCAAATGCAGAATCTTCAATTCACTAACCTATTTTTTCTTCTTTTTAACTGATCAGCATGAAAGAGGCTGTTAGTGGTAATTTATACTTGTACAATTGATGTGAAAATAAAAACTAGTAAAATAAAGAAAGAGATTGATTGATAGAATCATGCAAAAAGGTGAACAAATGATGTTGCAATGTTGAAACTGAAGGAACAAAATAGAAAATCTTATTTTATCTGCTGCAAGGTTCAACTGCCCATTCACTGGAATAAAAATCTTTCTTAGCAGTTTGCTTTGGACTCTAAGTGTGAATTTCGAGCAACAGGGCTGAAACTGTCCAATTTTTACTGAGCCTTAATAGCCATGTGTGTTTTGTCTTCATATAAATTTTTGTAACATTAGAATTATTCTTCTCTGAATGTTTTATTCATCTAATGTTTTATCTACTAAACTAAAACACACTTTTAGTTATTACTGCAATTATGAACTATTCAAAAGTTGATAGACAAAATAACCTCTCTCTATAGCGTTTTTATCTACCGTATTATCACAGCTCAGGATATCATGAAGTTTTAAAATATAATTTCCTAAATGCTTGTTAAAAGTATAACTTTTAGGTTTTTTAACAGTTAATTTGAATGTTTAGAGATTACTTATTATTGCAGCCTAATTTGCTTTCCATTTATACTGTTAAAATATTAAACATGTTAACTTCTAATAAACTTCCTTTTTTACTATAACCTCATAGATATCAACTCTTTGATGTTTTTTTATTAATGTAGGATCAGTTTATTTATTGTACCTTTTGTCCTGAATGAGTTTTCATTTCAATTAGAAACTACCAGGCCTAATTAATCATATGCATAATTAAAGGGCAAAATTAGCAGTGACCACTCACCAACTAAATAAAATAAAGTGGCAACCAAATAAATTATCATCACACACTCACTCGACACCGCCTCTTTTATTCATTTGACATTCCATCCTCACTACTCCTTAGTTCCAGGAAATTCACCCAAAAACGTTTATTTTTATTAACATCTATTTATTTTTTAATTAAATGTTTGACAAGTTGCAATGAATTTTATTTAAGAAATATTCAAATAGGCTAAATTTAAGCACAATAAAGTTTTAACTTTCATTTCAACTTTCAATCAATTCAACTTCCATTAATTCTAACTTTAATTTTAATATATTTGAATGAAAGGATTTTATTTTTTCATTGTCGTCTAATATGATGTTCTTTAATGATCTTTTCTACCCTTTTCTATTGACAGTTTGTATCCATATATTTTCAAAACTGGCTAACTTTATTTTTTATTGAGGTCATAAAGTAGAAATAATCACTGATGAAAAGAAACTCCTCAAAGAGTAGGCTGATATTTTATTTTGTTTCTTTGCTGAAAAATAAAATATTAAAAAAAAAGGTAGGTACTATATTTTGTCTAAAACCCAAACAAAATGACAATAAGGTGGGAAGAGAAATGGCAAAAATAGTTAATACAGTCAATTCGCTATAACTCGAAGTACGATGACTCGAATATTACTATAACTCGATTTTTTTTATGTGGTCCCACCCTTTTATCTTCAATTCCATGTTAATTATTCTCGATTACTCGAATTTTACTCCCTTTAACTCGATTTTTTTTGGATCTTTTAAACAAAGAAAAGAAACCTAGGAGCTGATATCTTGCTCCTTCCCTTGCAACACACACACAATGTCTTTCGCACTCTTCATGGAGAAGCTAAAGCTGTCCCTCTTGAAGTATGTGAACAGTGGTTAAATGAAACGTTACCAAATTTATTTCAAGGATACAGTTAAAATGATGTTTTCAATATTGATGAAATGGGTTTATTTTTTAAATGTCTTCCAAATAAGACTATGATGTTTTAGGATGAAAACTGCTCAGGGGGTAAAATGAGCAAGGAACGTTTGACTGTCCTAGTTAGAGGACAGTCAAGGAACCTAGGATGACATCAGTTTTATTTCAAGACTATGTAAGAAAATTGGATCGGAAATTCTTCGCCAAAAAAAGAAAAGTGATACTCTTTATGGATAAATGCACAGCGTATAGTGATCTACCGAATTTGAAAGCAGTAAACTTGCAATTTCTCCCGCCAAACACAACAGCAAAGTTGCAGCCGATGGACCAGGATATTAGAAAGTGCTTCAAACAGTCTTATCGTAAATGACTTGTCAGAAAAATGATCTTAAATATTGTAAGCATTTAGAAGATTTGTAATTAATAAGAAATAATTAAATAATCCGACAATATTTTGAAAGTCCAAAACCAAAACTAACGGTAAGTCGAACTTCCAATATGTCGAAGTTTTTCGTCAGTCCAGATTCGAGTTATTGCGAATTCACTGTATAAACCACTAAAAGTAATATTTCCAAAAAAAAAAAAGGTTTAAAAATAAAATTAAAAAAAAAAAACAAAACATGACAATAACTGAAGGAGAAGATTAATCTGAAAAGAAAATAGAAATTGAAAAAGGTAAAAAAAAAAAACAAATGCAAAAGAAAGAAATTAAAGATAAAATGAAAGAAACAATGAAAGAATACAGAAATGAAAATGACAGCAGCAGTTGCCGAAAATTTATTCTTAATAATCAAGGTTTAATTGGCCTAATTTCAAGAGCTAGTTATTATATTTATTTTGATACAAAAATTTAAAATTAATTATGAAAAAAAAAGTCTAAAATCGAGTCTACTTTATATTCTTCTTCTTAAAATTAATATTTTTCTTTGAAACATATATTATAAATACAATAAATAATATTCCGTGGAAATGATATCATATAATATTAATAAAGTTTTTTAAATGAAGCATGCGATAATAACTGATACTTACCGCAAAGCACGCGGTAAGCAGAGTTCATTCTAGGCAGGGTAAACAGGGCGCAGCACCCTGCTGCCCTTTCAGTCAAAAGAATCCACCCTGTTGCGCCCCTGAAGTAAATTAGTGCCCTGATATAATAGACTCCATACCCTTTTTTTCCTCAACCCTTCTCTGTTTTTTCCCCAAACTCTACTATGGATTTCTTAAATTTTTGTTATTTTCAACTCTTTTTATTTAGTTTGTCATTGCTGTCAATACATAGATTTACATTGGAAAGGAAAAATAGCCATCACACCCCCTTGTTGCACTTGTCTTTGAAAGTTTGCAGTTACTTCCACTATCATTAAATCATAATTATTTAGAATGTGTAAAGACCATAGAAAGAAATTGCCTTTTTAGAATAATAATGCCCTTTTTTTAAACTTCTGCACCCTGCCCTTTTTTCTGCCTAGAATGAGCTCTGTGGTAAGTATCAGTTATTATAAATTGTTTACCATTTCTTTGAAAGAAAAAAAAAACTTTCCTGAAGTAATTTTTATTTTTATCAGTAGGTATCAATAAAAAGTTAAAATTTTTCATACTAGTTCTCCCTCCCCATATTTTTTAAGATCTTCTATTGTCAACTTCTTTAAGTACATGTTCTCTTTTTTTGTTTTAAATATTCCTTTCTGATCTTTTGACTTATAACTTTATTTTCTCAATACTTTGGGCCATTTGACCTTCTGCAAGAAGTACAATATTTAAAAATGCTATTTTTATTCTAAAGATGAATTTGGCACAATGCATAAATAATCTCATTGATACATGCTTTTTCAAAGATTATTTTGTAACATAACAAAAAGTATTTAAGGTATAACATAATCACAATTTGAAGAAAGCGGAATCTTTGACACCTATGTAGTAACATAGTATGAATAATATTAGTTTGCATACTATATAATGTTACATATTATTTTTTTAATATTAAGATTTTAAAAAAATATAATGAGCTTATATATATTTGTGCTTAATAATTTATCATTTCTGAAGCACATGTAGTACTAAGACGTTTTTACACATATATAATTTATGTTTATGTGATTTATTACACATATTTATAGTCTTAACTGTTCAAAAAGTTATATTAACTTATCTTTAAGACAAATGAAGTTTTCTTTTTTAGTTTCAGATGATGCTTGTGAAATATTGAATTGGAATTGAAAATAATTATAAAATTATGGCTTTGCTCTTTAGAAGTTATTATAGAATAATCGCTAAATTCTACCAAAATGTATGTGCTATTAGATAATAGCTAATTCATATTATTTTTAAAAACTACTAGTAAAAAGTTATTACAAATTTGTATTGTTTGAGAAAAAACTCGAAAATGTCAACTTATCGACATACGTATATTTTTAAACCATAAGTAAAAACAAGATTCAAAGCATTTTAAATGTTAATTTGATGAATATCTCAAAAACTACATTAACAAAGATCTCAAAATACATGCTACAAATATAAACACATTCAGTTCTGTTCAATGAGTAAGAAATTTTTGATCACAATTAGCAATAAATGTACCTGTACAAAACAGGTCAAAATAAAAGTTAAATACAGTAATGGCTTTCTTACGGAAATTGAATTGTAAGTAATTACTTCAGTCTTTTCATATTTGTAGTGAACTACTTTCCTCAATTTAATACGATTAAAAAATAGAATTAAATGTGGTTATAACTACTGAACACTATAAATACATTTGACTTTGAATGTTTTGTTTGTTTATTTCATACGGAACGTTTATGGCTGTCTGTTTCTGTTTGTTTGAAACCTTTTCAACTAACAGCGATTTATAAAATTCTGCACTGGATCAGTTTGCGATGACAGTGACATATACGGAGTATTTTCAAACATAAATTTATTCTTCTTGTATGTCAAATGTTATGTGTTTTTATAGATCTAATACACTATAAACAAAAATTTGACAGTCACACCTGTTTGCGCTTCCGGTTATGACTAATATTAAAGGATGAATTTATAATAATATGACTATTTATGTTTACATGATCGTTATATAACTTTTTCTGTAGTCTCTTCTAGTGATGATATTATAATCTCGTTTTTAATTAGTTCCTTTCATCATTTTTTTAAACAATAATGGCTACTTTGTTATCACAATTAGGTGTGGGAGTTAATCCTTTTAGTACTGCAGTTGGACAGAGAATTGGTAAATTTTTGATTTGGAAATCTGATTTGTTTCAATTATATGTTTTTAGGACCTACTAACGTACTCATGATCTGCCGTTTTATACTCTGCTAGGAAACCAATTTTAACTTAAATAATTAGTATCATTTTATGTATACACCTATATATATCTATTACCTATTTATAGTATCTATAGGTTCTCTTTTTGAAACAAAAATTAGCTATATGGAAATATTATCTACACTATATTATTAATTCATTATCGATTTCATTCTACCTAAAAGGTTTAATTGGAGATAAGTTTATGTACAAGAATTATGATGAAAAGTACAATGTTTAACGTTTGCATAGTTTATTAAAGTGCTAAAATACTGTCTACAATTAAATATGATTAATAGTAGAGCACATGCATTATGTCTAATCTTTTTGCTGTATAAAATTAGGAGAATGCTTCCTTGTTTTTAACTTTTTCTTCCTTGATCCTATTTTTTAAATATTATATTTTCATTTTTGAAATATCAAAAAGTTAATACTCTTATCTCTCACTTGCATGAGTTTATGTTAGTTTCTTTGCAAGTTTTAAGTTTATATGACACCTTGGTTGTACCTGGTGTTCAAAATAAGATGTATGTTGAAAATAAAATGAGTGCATCTACAGTGGGGAGGATATCCTATTCTATTATCAGGGGTCTGTCCAGACCAGGGTTGGCAGGTTTTTGACATGTGACAGTTTTTGACAGTTTAAACCATGGTTTAAACCGTCATGTCAAAAACCTCACTGTCAAAAATGTCGAAAATGTCAAAAACCTATATTCATATGTGAAATTTAATTAATACATAAAATTTATATATTTTTTATAAAGGATAGTGTTTCTAAATATGTTCTAGAAAAAATAAATTTAAAATTTTGAAGAAACACTTATATTTTGAATAGTAACCAAAATCTTGTACTTTTGAAAGCTCACATCTTTTGTAATATTATGTATTCATTTTCATGTGTTATTGAAAATCTGCAGTGATATTATTAAGAAATTTATTTATAACCAAATTTAGTGTATAGTATAGATTATACTAAAAATTAGACATTTTTAAAGATAAACATTAGCAGTTTTGTACATTAGACATCTTTTAAAGAAAAATCTTTTTAATATTCTTTTAAATCTTCTTAATAATCTTTTTAACATAAGACAATACAAATTTAAGTGCTTTCTGTTAAATACACAGAGTAGTTAGTGTCGATTTACAGTATATTCAGCCTATTCATTTACTATGCTGAAAATTTAGTTTATCCAAATACTTGTGAATTTCATTTTGCTGAATACTATATAGTTTTGTTGAATATCTAAATATTCAGCTGTTGAATAATTACTTCTTGCTTTCAAGATATGCATTATTTGTATTCTTAATACAAGTGGAGAAAAAAAAATTAAGAGATAAAAATTGTTTTAAAATGATAAGTGTAATAATTATAAATAAATATAATAAACAATATGAATTATATTTATCATTATTCACAAATATAACTACTTTTAAATTCAAATTAACATACTGGATAATAAAGATATTCGGTATAACATTAAAAAAAATTTTTTATACACTTGTATCTTATATCAAGTTTGTATTTATACAACATAACTTGTAAGTTCCTTATAAATATTAGTTATATGTTCCTTATATGTCAAAAATGCATAGTAATAAACTTTTAATTTTCTTAAGTATCAAAAAAAAAATTTTTTTTTTCAAAATATAAATATTTAAAAAAAATTTGTGCAAAATTTTTCTGCACATGCATTTGAATATAAATTTCTGAGATTTTAAATCTGTTATTTTACCTTAATTTTAATTAAAAAATATTTTAAAACCTGCTGATTACCTATAGTATAATTAAATTTCAATATAATGCATGGCAACTGTTGGTAGTTTTGAAGTTTATATATTTTCTTGGCAAACTTTAGTTTTTGACATTTTTGACGGGTTTTTGACGGTTTAAACCATTATTATACCCTTGTCATGTCAAAAACCCAACCCTGGTCCAGACATTTTGTAAAAGGTCCGTTTTTGTAAAATTGTGAAAAAATTACTCATAATTTGTGAATATAAAATAAACGTTTAATCACATTTTTTCAACCAGGGTCTGCTTTTGTGAATTTATGCAAATGGGGTCCATTATTTCAAAAAAACTTTTTTAATGAGTTTTTAAATTGTAAAGACATACAAGATTATGCTCAACACTGTAAAATTATAATTATAAAAGTTAAATTTTAAAAAATAATCAGCAATTGCAGCCAGAGCTCATTCTAGGCAGAAAAAAGGGCCGAGTCCAAAAGTTTAAAAAAAGGGCATTATTATTCTAAAAAGGCAATAATTTCTTTCTATGGGCTTTACACATTCTATTAAAAAACATTGTCAATTAGTAAAAGAATTTTTTGTACTTTACTAAAAGTAGCAAAGCAATCATACTAATTACTAATTTTTATAAATAAATTAACTTATATATCGAGTTAATGAGCTAATTAGCTTTTTAATTTGTTTAAAATGCATGCATATATTAATAAAATAATAAATGTATGTTTTTAAGTGTCTGTAGTTATGATTTAATAATTAAAATGATTAATAATAATTATGATTTAATGATAGTGGAAGTAACTGCAAGCTTTCAAAGACAAGTGCAACAGGGGAGTGTGATGGCTATTTTTCCTTTCCCATATAAATCTATGTATTGACAGCAATGACAAACTAAATAAAAAGAGTTGAAAATAACAAAAATTTAAGAAATCCATTGTAGAGTTTGAGGGAAAAATAAAGAAGGGTTGAGGAAAGGAAGGGCAAAAAGGCTATGGAGTGGGAGTCTGTTAAATCAGGGCACTAATTTACTTCAGGGACAACAGGGTCTATTCTTTTGACTAAAAGGGCAGCAGGGTGCTGAGCCCTGTTTACCCTGCCTGGAATGAGCTCTGATTGCAGCTACTAAATTAGCGATGCAACATATAAATATTTGGTATTTAGCCAAAATTAGCAATTATCTGAACGCAGAATATTCATTTCGGATGAATAAAGGAAGAAGCGTCTACCAGAGGCAAAATTTAGTTCGTTTTCATCTGTCTTTCTTCCCCCCCTTCCTGGGAAGGGTTTATTCGATTAATAAAACAATAATGAAGATAAACAAATTTGTGAAGGGTCCGATTAAAAGATATATTGTTTTGCGAAGGGTCCATTTTTAAGTTAAAATATTTTGTGAAGGGTCCGTTTTTGTGAAAAGATATTTTGTGAAGGGTCCGTTAACAGACCCAATTTCTCCTAAACAGACCCCTGATTATGTAATTTAAGAAGTTCATTGTATTAAAAGAGGTATATACACATTTTGGAACAGAGCCTTGCGAAATTTAATATTGTCACTATCCTGTTGTAGAACATAAACAATAATATAATAAAAATTTAATTTAAATAATCTTTATTTTTATAATCATTTAAGTGATAACTCTAATAGCTCTCAATATAAATCCTATTTGTTTGTTTTTAGAGCAAGCCACTGATGCCTCACTTGCTTCAGAAAATTGGGCACTAAATATGGAAATATGTGATATCATCAATGAGACTGATGAAGGGTGAGTATTATTTCATTTATAACTTGTATAAAGTTTATTTCTTTTACATTGAGGTTAGTACCTTTTAAAATTTTATTGAAATTATATTTTTATATATAGTCATTTTAGATCCATACCTTCATAAGTTATGGTCTTTGAATTTATCTATCATAACTAATTTCACATTATGTAATAAAAAACTTACTTTTTTAAAATCATATTAGAAATAATTACAAAAAAAAATAAAGTTAAAAGAAATTAATCTTAAGTGTTAGTGCATTTCATGTTTTTCTTACTTATTTCAAATTTTTTTTATCAGTCTGAAGTAGACTTCTTACTTTTGCCAGTTCCGCAAAGTCAGGATGTTACTATAATGCAGAGTTGTATTTGGATTGTGACTAATTTTAACCATTCAATGCTAGATCAATTTCAACCATTGAAATTCACTATATAATTTATTGGATAGTATACAAATTTGATCTGCATTTAGTCTTTAGGAATTTAAAAATTAGGTATGTAAAGAATATTTGACCACTATTCTGTATTCAGCCTTTTTGCCGAATATTTGACCAAATATTCGGCTGAGTATTAATCGGATAAGTATTTTTGACAACATTTTTCGGGGGGGGAGTCAACTTGAATAGATTTAACTAAGGATAATCTATAAGCTTTAACATATATTTGTTAAGGTCTAAAATTTGTTAATTTATGTTATGTGAGACAAATTGAGAAGAGAAAGTTGACGAATTGTAACTAGATTACTTAACACTGAACTATGAGTTTTGTAATGCTCTTATATTTAGATAAGTCAATTTCGTCTATTTTTCAACACTTTAAGTTTTAAAAATTGAGAATTGTTTTAAAATGTTATTTTCTTATTTTTGCTCGTGTTTCTGTTTTAACTATAGCAAAGCATTTTAACAGAGCATCTATAATAGACTTTATTCTTTTATTGTCACTTTTTTCTTGTATGGTAAGGCAGATAATTAGTAACAGAGAAAACTGTGATTTTCAATGGAGTTATATTTTAGAACTAAGAACAATTTTTTATTCTGTTTTTTTTTTTTAAAAAATTATCTTTCCTATCTATCAGTGTTTTTACTATGACAGCATTTTTTAAAGAGTGTTTCTAAGAAATTTAATTCTTTTATGAACTTTTCTTTTTATATTTTTTCTTCAAAAATTTATGGAAATATATTTTTATTTCATTTATTAGGCCTAAAGATGCATTGAGAGCTATACGAAAACGACTATTGCAAAATGCTGGCAAAAACTACACAGTAGTGATGTATACACTTACAGTAAGTGTTTAAAAATATGGTTGTTACATGTATTCTTTCCGCCAAATCTGCATCATATTCTGAGTTAATGTTTGGCGTGATAAAATAGAAAGAAAAATAACAGTATTTTCTTCCCAAAAAATTAATCTATGCCTTATTATCTTTCAATCATTTTGTAATAGTAAATATCATTTTTACTCAATATTTATGCACGGCCTATTTTATTACCATATTTTTAGGTGTACAAATTGACTTTTTGGACCCCTAAATTGCAATGAAATTTGGGGGAGGGGTCTTACACATTAGTAAAACTTTTGGTTTCTAAGATTTTTATCCAAAAAGTAAACCCAATCTATAGGTTATACACAAATATAATAAAGTAATATAACATAATCAACCTTTTTAGATAAACTTTTCAAAACTTTTTTTTTAAGAATTTTATTTTACCTGTATAACTTCATCTTTCTTTCCTAGTCTTGAGTACCACAAAATATTATTTTAGTTACCAACCAACGGATTGTAAATAGCAAATTTCTTATAAAAGAATTCGTTATTGTGTTTTCGTCATAATTTTTCCATGCGCCCAGAAAGATTTGGCATGAAGTGTCAATCTTTTGAAATTGCGTTAAATATGAATCTGAAGAATTCGTCAGAATAGAAAAGATCAGGGCATCAAAAGATGAGACATCATTATTTGAGTGTGAAAGAGCAAAACTTAATGGGCATTCTTAGGGATACATACCTATTATTCACTCTTTTGTATTGAGATATTTTGCTTTGGCTATATTTATACAATATTAGAAAGCATTCTAATTGGAGGTATAATTATGTGATGAGATTGTATTTTTTCGTTATTTAAGTTTTTGGCTTTTTAATTTTTTTTAAAAAATTTAAAAAAAGGAATTATTTTCTTTTTAAAAAAAAAATTTTTTTTTTTGTATTTTTATCTTATTTTACAGGTTCTATGTACTTGCAGATTATGTGTAGTTAATAAAACATTTTTTTCCTTCTTAATTTTCATTATTAATTTCTCTTTTCTCTACTTTTTTTTTTTTTGCCTCCTTATTTTGTGATATATATATGTATGTATATTTTTTAGGTACTAGAAACTTGTGTTAAAAATTGTGGAAAAAGATTTCAACTGCAAGCTACTCAGAAAGATTTTATTCAAGATTTGGTTAAATTAATTGGACCAAAGAATGATCCTCCTACAGCTGTGCAAGAAAAAGTTCTTAGTCTGATACAGGTTTTACCATTAAAATACCTTTTATTTCATTCACTATTTATGTGCTAATAATTTATGTTTACATCATAATAAATTCTTTGTAGTTTTTTTCAATACTGCGGCTGTCACTACTTTATCTGCATCTCTCTTTAAATTTAACTTTGATTTTTTTTTCTGTCCTCCAATACAAATCATTCAATTTCAGAGATATACAGGAAAAGAAGTGTTTGAGGGCCTTTGGCAAACTCCATAATTAGATGCTCATAAAAAATTAGCATATTCCCGACTTGGGAAAAAAATCAATTAAAAAAAAAAGTAGCATTTAAGGCAAAATTATAAATCTATATTTTGAGTTTCTCTTTTTATAACATAAAGGAAAGTTATACTGAGGTTAAAATGTTTATTAATTCTGATATGTTTTGTTTTTAATAAGGTAGCAAAGTTTTAAGGATTGTTTTTATAAATAATAAATTATATAGTGACAGTGGTATTAAACACTCGAACAACCAGCTTTTTTAACTACCTAGAGCTTGCAGTCATTTTGACATCAATAAGAAAACAAAAATAAATATTTGATTTTTTTTAAATTCAATTATCAATATAAGAAGTTAAAAAAAGTCATTTACTAACTTTATCACTTTGCTGTAGGTATTTTTATTATCTAAAATATTTTTTTTTGTCTTCATGAAAAATAATAGAAATGAAAATTTCTTAACATTTTCCACAAATAAGTTTTAGGTATACCAATATAAATTTAAAAAATATCTATACCCATCTGCATCTTCAGTGTTATACGTAATTAGGGAAATGTCAACATAGTTTATAATTCTTATAATCTCCCTAAAATTGTAAATAAATTGAAATTATTATAGTATTTTTCAAAGAAAGAACCTGCATGCCCTGCTGACTTTTCTGAAATTACAACTAATAAATGATGCCAATACTCTTTCGATTGAAATGAAACATAATTATTCAACATAATAGTTACTGTGAATTCAAGAGCAGCTACAATCTTGGCCACCTTTGTGTTGTCCATGGCCTAAAAGCTACTATACTTTTCTTACCCTATTCCTTATAAATTATTTACATAAAATTAAACATATTTTATATAAGATAAAATAACAAAAATTTCATCAAATTTTTCAAAAGTTACTTATTGCAAATCCCAAAATTAAATTAAGGTCATTGACTGTTCTGAAACGGTCTACTTTCATTATTCAAATGAAAAAATTCTAAATCAAATTTAAAGTATACTGTACTTATTACGATATTTCAATTATGTTAATTGTACCAAAAGTTATGTGGGCTTGAATTTGGATTAAAACGTGTGTGAGATTATAGTGAAATAAATCGGAACTTATCAATAATGTACCATATTTTTAGGAATGTACCATATTATGGATATGAATTTAATGTACCATATTATGGAACTAGCTGGTTTAAGTTCATTTTTTTATTTATTTCATAGTATGAACTTGTTTGTTTCAATCAAGTTCATCTTTATGTAAAAAGTTTTCCAGGTACTTTGAAAATATTCTGCTTTAACCTTTTGCTTACAGTTCTTAGCCTGAGATAATGCCTGTTACTTTGGTCTATCAGTTGTACCAGCTGTAAATAAAAAGTTAAAGAAATAAGTTATTATAATAATAAGAATGATTTTGTTATAAATTGTTTTGTCATACCTTGGAGATTATTTCTCCTTTTAAGATACTGTTATAAGTATATATATTTGTAATTTTTACTTTAGATTGTTATTCTTCAGCTGAATATATGCTGAGGTATTTACATATTTTTATATTTTATTGTCTTGTGATTTTCAGAATTGGGCTGAAGTTTTTAAATCAAACCCTGAAATGCAGGGAGTTGTGCAAGTTTTTGTGGATTTGAAACAGAAGGGTATTGAATTCCCTTCTCCTGATTTGGATACTGCTGCTCCAATCCACACACCTGCAAGAGTAAGTATAGAAAAACTTAAAGGTTGAAAACCACTTTTCTTTGTATATTTAGCTAATATAAAAAAAATATGTATATAAATTTCAACTTAAATTGTTTTTGTTCTAATAATCGGATTTTTGCATATTGGACTTAAATCTTTATGGTTTGAATTGTTTCCTTCAAACCATAATGATTTGAGTCGAATCTGCAAAATTGCTAATTAGTTTGTCTGAACTATTAATTAAGTTATTATATCAGGTCTAAAAAGGAAAATGCTTTCATAATATGTACTAATAAAAATTTTCTTGATACTGCATATTCAAAGATCCCTAAAATTGTATAAAACTAGGTGTATGTGTAAACAAGAAATCATTATAATAATTATGCCCGTTTGAAAAGCTTTTCAGCAATTATAAACTACAAACATAATCTCACTCATTAAACAAACCTAATGTCCGGCTATCACATGAACTCTTCTAGACGTCAGACTCACATGCTGGCAGTTACTTTAGGTATGAGAATTTTAACTTTTAATATGAAGGAGGATTAGTTTTTTTTGCTTAAGATTAGGTTGGCACAGCCAATAAAAGGAAATAAGCCTTTAATTAAAGAGTCCAAAAAACAGTGCCGAAAAGAAATTGAACAAATATTTTTGTATTGATAGATGATTTTTCAATTCTTTTATTGTGATATATTATCATGAAATATCATTATATCACAATATAATGCAGACGTTTTCCTGATATATCTAATTTACGTATATAAATATTTTTATTACCTAAGTGAAGTTTATCAATACTCCAGATAAAGTTGTTGTCAATAAATTCTATTATCTGTATTTGCAATATTATTGTTAATAATGGTCGCTATCAGGGCCTGATCTAGAAATAAGGGGCCCCCCGGTCGTTACTTTAAGCCAAATTTACATGTTGTTGAATTAAGTGTTTTTAAATTATTTATAACATTAGTAAATTACAATATATCTTTAAATATGAGCATTTATTTATTTAAATGTTTGTAAACTCAGAATTCTTGTAGACAATTCTTAAGGAAAAATGCAAAAAGAAATTATTTGTAACATTTAGTGGGCCCTAGGCTTAGGCCTGTCAAGCGTTATGATAAATCAGGTACTATGTTATCATATCTGATGATAATGATGAATATGTATCATAATTGATGATACTGATATATTATCATATTCAATATAATATCCACGACAATGTCAATGTTTAATATTTATCATAAAAAATGGCATTCATAATGCGTTGTGAAAGTAAATTTTCAAATGTTGTTATTTTAATATTTAAGAAATATCAATATGTCATGATATTATTATTCAACTAAATAACCTATCTCGGTTGTTTCTTTATTTCTCCATCATTACAAAAAAGTTTACTCTTTCTTCATTACAAACAGACAATTTCAGATCTTCTATCTGGAGATGTTCTTGTGAGGGTCGAATAGTACATCACTCTAAATCAAGGGTTGACAAGTAAATTTAAACAGGAGTCTGTATACTTTTGAAAATGTTTGTTTTGGGAAGGAAAAAAATAATCCCTACTATTTTTTACTCATTGCTATTGGCAGCAAAATATTTTCAAATAATTTGAGTACAAATAACTTTTGGTAGTCCAATTTTTGACTTTCTACAGCTTGCCAGTTGCTGAAAAATAATGAGTATATCTATCTTTCCTTTTTTTTTTTTTTTAGTTGGTTTGATTAATATAGTTAAAAAATTCCTTTTTTTCTCTTTTGTTTTCAAATATTGACTCTCTGTTACATGAATGTAAAATCTTTTATTTTTCAGTGTTTTTAAAATTAAATAAATAAATTAATTTCATGGAATAATAAATTGTAATTTAAATTTTAAGCATGTACATTGAAAGATTTAAAAATTTATTGAGTTGTATTAGTTTGTTTTAATATTAACTTATTCTATGAAAATCATTTTTTAAGCTTGTTAACACAAATTTTATATTTAATTTTTGTTTGTAGACTGTACCAGTGCAACCTCCGGCTCAACATCAAGTTCAAAATACTATACCCCAAGTAAATATATAATGTTTTTTGTAATTGAGTATTGACTTAACTCTTTCGTTACATTTATCCGAAGTCAGTGTAGAAACAGTTTGATAACCAACCCAATCTGCTTTGAATTGCCACTGGCTACTATTCCATTGTCCTATATTGAATTAATACTACTGAAGGTATATTGTGAATGTGCTTAATACATTTTGTAAATCGAAACAAGTTTCCGTGTTTTAAATTTTGTTAAGTAAAGAAGTTAATATAGCAAGAAATCTATCCTGAAGCATCACAAGATGTTGGTGAACAGTTATTATTTTTCGAGGTTTGCAATATTTAATTAAAAATTCTATTTGAACTTTATTTAGTTTGTTCTATAAAGTATTTTTACATCCTTATCAGAATGCTACAGGGAAGTTCAAAAATAATTATATTTTCCTTCTAAGAATATTTTGAATTATCCTAAATTGCATTTTTGTTTGAAATACTTACAAAATATCCAAATATATTGTTATGTAACTCTTAAATAAGAAAATCCGAAACTCGGTTTACTAACATTCAATGTGCACACTTTGTTCAGTGGCGTCGCTTCAGTTATACTTCAGTTCGCTTCAGTTACATATTAAATTCAAGCAGATTAACTGTTTACTCCAACTTGCAAATTTGCTAATATATTTCTTTGTGGAGCAATGTTTCTTAATTGATTAACCCTCAAATATTTTAACAACTGGGCCAGTTATGGGGACTTTGCTCTTTCCTTAACTATTTTGCTATTGAATAAAATGAAGAGTGCTGATTTGCTGCATAATTCAGGATAAAACATGACTTTCTCTGTCAAAAATATCATTTACATGTAGTGCGCCATCAAATGAGCAGGTTATGCTTTATTTAAGTTGTTAATAAATATATTTGTATACATAGATCTCTTGCTCTCGTTTCTTTCTTTTTTTTTGTTTATTTATATACCGTATATTCCGGCGCATAACGCGCCCCCGTAATTTCTAATAACTTTTCTTAAATTTTAAGATATACTCTTCGTATAACGCGCATGAAAATTTGGATTGTACATGTGCAATATCTCGTCTAGTGTCTATAGAAAACCAGAAAGCCTTTTAGTGTGGGACATGTTTAGGTCCCACCTTACAGATAATGCAGAAAAAATTGTTGAAAGAATGTAACACCGATGTGGCAGTTATTACGGGCGGATTGACACCATTAGTTCAGCCATTGGACTTCTGCTTTTAAAGCCAATTTAAAAAAACAGTGGAACACTTGGATGTTGGAGGGTGAGAAAACCTTTACGAAAGGAAGACATATGCGTCATGCAAGTTTGGAAACAGTGTGCGAATGGATATTAAAAGCATGAGATGAAATTAAGCCTGAGATGGTTAGAAAATAATTATGTAATAAAGAAAATCAATAAAGTATATAGGTATGTTATTTCTTTAAAATAAAAGTATTTTTCTATATTAAAATTTTTTTAATCTATAATTTTTTATATTCGGCATATACCGCGCACCCGTAAATTCCAATGTTATTTTTTGCATTAAAAGTGCGTGTTATACGCCGGAATATACAGTATATATATTTGAAATAATATTTTTTTATTTTATTTACTTTTTAGTAGAGTACATGAAATGTTTTGTTCCAAAAACTTATTATTTGCTTAATAATTTGCATTTATTCAGGAGAGTTCCTCTGCATCTTCCCTTGAGCCACATCAAGTGGAGAAATTGAAGAATGAGCTTGAAATTGTTCAGGGCAACATGCGTGTATTTGGGGAAATGCTAACAGAGCTTACTCCTGGAAAGGAACATCAGAGTGATTTGGAACTTCTCCGGGTACTCATCATTAATTCACATATCCAAATAAAAAAAATCTTGTTTAAAAATATACAGTAGGGAACCGATTATCCAGAACGATCGGGACCATCGCTATTCCGGATAACTGATTTTTCCGGTTTTCTGAATCGCTACAAAAAGCCATTTTTTTAATGTTAAACCCAACTAAAAAAAAAAAAAAATATTTGGAAATAATCTTAAAAAGAGGAAAAAACGATGAAGTAATATACTTATGATTATTTCCAAAATGATGGTAAGGTAAACATCTTTAAACAAAGAAAGAAAAATCGTAAAATCTTTTGAGGAAATTTTTTTTTTTTTTTTAAAAATGGCGAGAAAATGTATTGAATTTTGTTCCGGTTTTTTGGTTTTCCGGTTTTCTGATTTCCGGATAACGGGTTCTGTACTGTACTATTTTTTAGATTGAGATTAAATTTTTTTTTAAATGCTCGCAATTTTAGATTTAAAGGAACTTTTTATTAGAAGAAAATTTCAAAATGCTATTATTTTATTAAATTTTATTCATACATATCTTTACCTCTAGTATTTTAACTTATTATAAATGTATACTTACACAGATTATAGTAGTTTAAAAAAGTAAAATGATTATCTTTTCAAGTAATCTAAATCTTATTAAAGTGTAAGAAAATAGATTTTATTCAGATTTCATCTTTTTTGTGCATAATATGTTTTCTTTTTTTTTGTAATTTGACAATAATTTTAAATATACATATGTACACATTGCATTATAACATCTAAGAAGCAACAGCCCAAGTTAAAAACTAATGAATTTCTAATATCATGTTAAAAATGTTGCCACTGTAACATTTGATTTATTAACTGTTATTTATCACTTCTGAATCAGAGTTAATATTTTTCAAACTAAAAAAAGTTAATTAAAAGTACTAATACTTAAAATTTTTAATAACAGTGAAATATACTATATCAAACCTAACAGAAAAACTATACGCCAGTACTATGACGTAGCGTGCCACAATTTGGTGACAAGAGTCATCCTGGCATGTAATGACATGTGTCAATGTAGAGAATGCTCTAAATTTCTTCAAGATGTAAACAATTGTTTGAATGCCAACTTTTCTAACAATCTAGTTTGAAATTTTTGTGTACCATAATTCTATTTGTAAGAATAATTCTTTTATAGTTATTTCAAATACTTCTGCAAAAAAAAAGCTATTACTAAAATTATTAAAATTTTAGTGAATAATAATATATTCTAATAATAATTCTTCATTTTCAGAAACTTACAGGAAAATTATTACAGGATCTGGTGTGACAAATTAGTCTAAATTCAACCAATCAGATTATCAATTTCACAGTGCACATTTAAAAAGTAAAGTTAGAAAAAACAGTGGGTACAATGCTAGAAAACATTCCCAATTTGAAATTAATATTGGTTATTGAAATAATTTATGTAACATTAAATTGTTTGTTTTCACAAAAAAAGAAAAGAAAAAAATATCTCAACTCAGTTGTCTAAAGTGTACAACAATTGAATTTTTACAACTTTTTAACTGAGGCAATGATCTTGAAATTTCACAATATTACTACATTTTATTAAATACTTTATATTATGTGCTTATAATTGAATCTCAACAAAAACAAAATGTTTATTTTGTTTGTATGCACATGGAAATGACTGGGGTATTTTTCTTAGGATCTTTGTAAAACTTGTCAAAACATGCAAGGCAGACTTGTAGAGTTATTGGATAAAGTTGGAAATGAAAAAATTACAGGTATTACATTTTATTTACTATAAGCTTTATGATTTAAAATATATTTTTTAACTTGCTGCTTTATTTTATTTAGCATTTTTTTAAAAAAAAAATATTGATAGTGCTTTTTTTTTTTGGAATAATAATTTTGAGCTTATGAGTACTTTTAATTTAACATATGGATAGGATGCAAATCAATATTATTTGCATAAGAAAAAGGAATTTTAGACTGAAAAAATTAAGTTTAAAAATCTTCAACTAATGCGTACAAATTTATTTTATGCTGTACAGCAGTGGTCACCAACCCCTGCGAATCTAATGGTGCCATGCCGCCGAGGGAACATTAAATTATTTCCATTTTATTTACTGTGGTGTATTTCTGCCGAGTTTGTGCGGCATGATGAAATGGATGAAAGAAGAAATTTATAGGGCTCGCCAGAGCAATAAAGGAGAATGCAATGAAAGCATATTAAGTGGCTAACCGTATTACTAATGCTAGCTAACAGTATTCCTAAGGCTAAAGGCAAATCACTACAAAAATTGATTTTGCTCCACACTGGCCATGCATGACCTTATATGCGAGGCTGCTGTGGAAAAAGATAGCTCATGTACCTTTGTGGGCTAGCACTGTGACTAGGCATATTGAAAAAAATTGCCAATATCATTCAGACACAATTGTTAGAAAGAATCAATACATCAAAGTGGTACAAACTTCAGATTAACGAAGCTTCAGATATCAACAACAAATAGTTAAAACAATATAACAATATAAGTAAGACATGTAAGTGACTACAGAACCGAATATGTATTATAAAGGAAAAAAGTACAGACTAGAGAAAAAGAGCTGATTGATTAACACAACAAACAGGTTGGAGAGCCCCTTTACTTTGAATATATATATATATATATATATATATATATCTAAATATATATATACACACACACATATGTATGTATGTATGTATTGTATTGTATTGTAAAAAATGTACAGAAAAAGCACTTTTTCTTCTTCTTTTGCTTAGCTTTTTATTCAGTTAATTAAAAAAAAAAAAAAGCAATTGTCATAGAAAAATAATTCAGATTTAACCTTGGTTTCACTTATATATACATTTAGCTTTTTGTATCTTTTTTTCAGAGGATTTACTTCTTGTAAATGATGAGCTTAATAATTTATTCATGCGTTATGATAGATTTGAAAAAAAGCGTGCTGCCATGAGCAAAGCTAATTCTCAAGAAGCTCCTTCTAATGTATGTATGCTTGTTTTAAGCATTTCATGCTGTATTTCTTAATGACATTGTTTGATTCTTTTTTTAAATATTTCTTTCTACCAGTATTCCCAAGTATTTTATTATTGCTTACAATAATTTTATATCTGTTTGAAACCTTAAAGAAATTATCTTAATTTAAAATTTATTTCAATTTGAAACAGAGTTGACATTTTCAAATATAAGAATTTTCTTCTTCTTTTAAACAATTGCATTTTTGTAATGTAAAACAATTCTTACTATATTTTAAAAATTAAAGGCCCATCCAATAGAAATATAATGAATAAAACCACATTTAAGGATTTGACGGTCAGATGACTGAGCGGTCAGATTTTTTAAACTTTTTTGCAAACATCAGTAATTTTCTGTGGCTACTCATCTCAAACTATTAAAAAAACTTTTTTTGAGCACAATTTTGACAATTTATGCAGTTATATTTAGATTCAATTAAATAATTCGGCATTTGCCTTGTTATATTTTTGATTTTTTGTAGTGGCCAATGTTATGTGATATTCTTATTGCTAATTTTTTCAATCACTTGTTCTCCCATAGTATCATTAAAAAAACTGTTTCAATTACAATAGTAGAACATTAACTCATTTTGTCAGTGCTAAATTACTGTGCTTAAAGAAATGTTTGATAGATTTGAATGTGAAATTAAGACTAGTATTTTCAAAATTTTTTATTCTTCCAAATATTTATGGAAAAATTTGTAAGTATTAAATAAAACAAAAGAAAAAAATCAACAGAAATTCTGTTTATGTTTACAAAGCTATCAAGTTCTTTTTTTTTTGTATATTTTCCCATGATTTTACTATTTTATTTTATGTAATTACTATCATTAATATTTTGCAATTTATTTTATCAATATTTAGATTTCTATTGAAAATAAACCATTGATTGATTTGGAGGAAAGTGCATCGGCAGTTGCAGCTACTAGTGATCAGCTTAAGGATTTAAGTATGAAATTTGTTATATTTCTGCTATGAAATTTCAATTATGGTCAGCAAATGACTCCTAACAACTTTTGATCTAATGATCTTATTTTCATGCATTGGATTCAGACTTATTAATTTATAAATCAGCTTATAGGGGAGAGAGATGCCAGTGTAGACAGGCTAAAGTGAAAATCTTAAATAACTTCTTTATTTATAGGTCAAATCTTCTCGGTGAGATATCATAAATTGGCAATACTCGTCTACATTTTCATGTGTAGTTGCATAATCACACTGTGAATGCTTAATTAAAAATTTGAAAAGAATGGTTTTAAGGTGCGGAAGTAATTTTTAAATGTTCTCTTTATGCTTTTATGAAAATATTTTCCGAATTTCATCTGAAGTTGATAATGTTATAAGCATTACTTTTATTTTATTATTAACTTTTGCTTTATATAGTTTCAATTAATCAGCATTTCGCTATGTCTTTGTGGGGTTGGTGTGCTATTTAATGTAAACACATGGTGGTGGGGTTAGTGTGTACATACTTTTAGTGGATTTTTTTATATTTTAGGTCAGCAAATTTATATATTTATTATATATTTTATACATATAAATATGTGAATAAATTGAAACTTCTCGACTACACTGACTAAAAACAAGTGAAAGACTTATGAAATAAAAAATGTGATCTGCATTATGTTGGTAGAGTGAAGATAATGATTTTAAATTAAGAAAAGAAAGATGGATGTAGTTCTTCGAATCACAAATCAATTTTTCATTCAATCAATTTTGATTTTCATTTCAATTTTTTGATAAAAAAAAAAGCAATTTCAAAATATTTATCAAATGAATTCAAATATGAAATCGTTCAAAATCTCTTTTTTTAGTATGATGAAATGCTCTGTTACAAATTAGTATTTTAATTAAAACATGTCAATATTCATTCTCTAATAAGACCTAGATTAAAATTAATTTCATTCTGACTTTAGATGTATCTTTGTGAGTTTTAATAAAGGACAATTTAACAAGTTATTCTGATTATCCACACTAGCTTTGTGGAGTAAAGCTAGTGAAGACAAAAAGCCTATTTTTTGAAAAAAAAATTGTTATAGAAATACTAAATAACTTTTTAGGCCATTCATTTACCAGAATGCAATAAAACATCCAAATTTTTGCTAGGTTGACAAGTTAAAAATTATATTTAATAAGGTTATTTGGTAAATTTGTAAAAATTCTGTATAATTGAAAATCTTGTGGTCAGTTGCTAAGTAGTGTCATGGATACTGGTATTGAAGAAAACGTCCTTCCGCTTTCGATTTATGTCTGAATTGTGTTAGTAATTGTGTAAAGTGCTGCCATGTATCCTGAGAGTTCTGATCTAAGTCCTAAATTGCACTTTTATCCTAGCATTGCTCTCTTATGAAACAAAAGACGCTCTTTCCTGACTTAATTTGCAAGGCCAAGAGCTGACGAGCTTTGCTTGTCATTAGAAACAACCTACATAAAACAATTATTTCAAATTATTTTCAAAATGAAATTTTCTTCAGGTAAGCTAATTTTGAAATTACCTGGAAAAATTTATTTTTATTATTACTTTCAGAGATTTAGCCAAAACAAATGAATTAATGAAAATAAAATTGACCTTAATGTGCCTGAACGTAGGTGTTCTCCTAACTCAACTATTGGGACTTTATTGCAACTATTTTACACATGAATCCAATTTAATCAAAGCAAGATATGTTTATTCAGAAGAAGCACATTTTCATGTTTAATTTTATTACTTTAAGTATTGTCTACAAGTTTTAGTTGCCATTGTGTCTGAAAAGTAGCGTATGTTCAATATTTAAGTAAAATCCAATTTGTTTTTTCTTAAAAGACCCTTTAATTCAGACTATTTTCTAAGAAAAAAAGATGTTTCTAAACATTTATTAAAATAAAAGATACATTTAAATATTATTGAGGTATGTTATTAGCTTATATAACCCCATCTATACATTGAATTTGAATGCTATGTGTATGACACATTTATTTATTTCTAAATTATAATACATTAAAAATTATAATTGTCTGCCTATAATTTCATCAAAGTAAAAATTTATTAACTACTTTTCAAACCCTTAATAGTTTATCTATCCCTAGTCTACACTAATTAATTAAATTTTTATCTTTTTAAATCATTTAGACTGCTTCAGAAAATAGGATAATTAGGTCTAAAGTTATTTGTGAGATTTGTTTTTACATTGTTAAAATTATTTTATCGAAAATTATTTAATATATAAGTAGTTTTTAAATTTTTTTTTATCTTGATGTCTTTTAGAGCTCAGTGGAAATGCTCCAGTTGAAGGCGGTGATGGTTTTGATGAATTTGATATGTTAGCCCAATCAAGGAAAACAGAAACTTTACCAAAACTGTAATTTCTTATATTATATTGTATACAATAATTTTATTAAGTGTTTATTTATTTCTGTTTAAATTTACATAAATTATGTTAGTTGTTAGCTTTTAAAATTAAAGCTCCTTAATTTTTTCTTAATTCTGCTATATTTAAACTTTGTAATTATTGCAATCTATAATTTGTCATTATTTATTTACTGAATTAGAATCAAGACTTAACATCATTATAAATTTTGAAAGACATGTGAGTTTAATATAGATGTCTTAATTTAATTTAAAAAAGCTTCACATTTAGTCCTTATTTTTATGATTCTTCATAAGTCTTATTTTCTCTCTTTAGAAACACTTCTTTGAATCAAAACACTTCTTCAGTTACTGAATCATTTCAAGAACAGGAAGTAAGCCCTATTTTCTGAAGTCATTCTAAGCCTTAAAGAAGCTTGCTTTCAATAATTAAATGTTAGCTTAGTTAGTGCATTGATTACTCTCTCTTCTATGGTTTGTAACAGGCATTATAATTCATTATAATTGTTCTCACTTCATTCTACACCAGTTCAATATTGTATTGTTTTTTACTTAAGTAATAATAATGGTGCATTTTGTAATAAAGTTAGGTGATTGAAGATGAGTTTTATAATTGTTAGTAATAGTAGTAGTTAGTTGGAAAAAAAGTTTTTGGGAATTCCTTTCTAATTTTTATTGTAGCTGTGGGGGAATGCTATAGAGAATTCCCTATGGCATGCTTTTTTGAGTCATTCACCACATTATATTCTCATTGAATAATGGTAATATTGAATAATGATATATATTCATTGAATAATGATAATTTTTACACATTCATATTTAAATGGCTATGTGTTTATATATTTATTTTTAAAAATAAAGGGGTTAGGAAAATTTTTATTTATTTTACCTCATACTGCATGTATTTATATACTCAACACTCAATATAACGTCCCTGCAGCCAAAAGAAAAATTATGTAATAATGTGAGTACTCAAAACTACTTTAAATATTTAAGTAATAATGGACTAATTTTGATAGAATCCACTACCAATCCATTAAATACTTCTTTCAAAATTTTTAATAATTCAATTTTTAATTCAATGAAGTCTTCGAATCATATGGCGTTATGCTGTTTACAAGCAACCATTTTCTCTAAATAACATGCTGAAAAAACTGAAAAGTCTAAGTAAAAATAAAATCAGGAAGAATATGAATACTGCATGTTTTATCTCCAAAATTAATTACTATTACATCACTTCTTGAAAAGGGGAAGATAGTTTTTAGACGAGAAAAATATGATTAATCAATCTATTGAAACCTTTGAAAATAAATTTACAGAGGCTACGAATGCATACCCGAGACTCCATCTTCCTGGCAAGGATTCATTATACACCTCTAATTCTCAATGATGAAAGTAATCTATATTTCACTAGTTTTTTGATCATGGATAATGACGAAGACTGCCTAGTATAAAAATGGGAGGTCCTGACACTATTTCTTCATTCATACAAAATTAAGTGTTTCGCCTGTATTGAGTGGTAACATCAAAGGCATAGCTGCCAACTGTTCAGAATTTTTCGGATTTGTACCAAATTTTTAAATCAAATCTGATATTTTTATAAAAAAAATCCGAATTTTTGTACAATTGCAGTATTTTTGCTTCTAAACCAATCCCTTGCTCTGATTGCTGCAATCGCGATTCCTGTGATTATTGTGCAGAAGTAATTTTTAGTAGCTTTTTTATTGCAAAATACTATTCCAATAGCTGTTGCTGATCATTTCACTAAATTGAGTCTTAAACAACTATTATTATTTTTTTAAAAATTCAGAAATATTTGTTTATGATTTAGTTTAATTTTTACCTGTGTTTTATAATTTGGAGAAGAAAAATTATATATTAATAGGTAATGGTTGTTTTCTTAAACTATTATACCGGTATTCCTAATTATAAAATATTAATATTATAAATTTTCCTCAAAAGATAGTGTTTATAATTTTTTTTACTAATTTTCATAAGGTATTTAAATATATGTCTATTAATGTTATTATTTAATAGTTAAATGTTTGTCTTACTCTCGTAATTGGTGCGTATAATTTTGTCGCATATAGTGCTCCTAATTTTTTATTCTTAAGGTTGGCAGCTATGTCAAAGGAAATAATAGCTTAAATGCTTTCCTGGAGACTTTTTACTCATTGATTCATTGTCAATATAAATTTTTTTTTATTTATGAAGCTCAAAAATTTTTAACACTGTTTTTTGGGGGGGATTTAAAAAATGTCTTTTGTAGTAATTAAATTATTAGATCAGATGCATGCAGTTTGATTTTGAATCTTTAGTTTAATTTCAGACATTTGATGGGTGTAAAAACAAGTATGACTTTAACTCTTTTATGTTCTACCTTATTAAAATCAACAGATAAAAAACTGAATGTCTTTTATATTAAATTTTTGTATTGAAAATTGTTGATAGTATGTGTATTAAAATTATGTATTAATCTATGTTTTTTTTTATCATGCTTTAAAGTTTACACGAGAGCAAGAATTTAAGGAAATGGAGAGGTGGCTAGAAGAGCAGGTAATTTATTTATTTTTTTGTTTCAAGATATGACATTACAAAACGTTCACCTTCGCGAGATAAATTGTTCCCATTTTTTTCATTCTTTAACAAACTGAGCTGCGGTGGATCAGGAGATAGAACATTAGCCTCCCACTTCGGTAACAGAGGTTCGAATCACAGTAATGACTGGTTGATTCAAATTCTGCTCTCCACTTGCACCAACCACAGTGCTGACATCCTCAGGGGAAGATGAATCAGCAGTTTGAGTCCCCTCGTGGTATAGAGCAAAATAAATGGTCACTCTGGGCCGCAGTGCCATTATATATAACAAATAGCGATTAAAATGTTGTCTCAAAATCTGCACTTTTCTTGTCAAAAATGCATTTTATTGTTTTTTTAATAAATATGGAATTATGAATATTTTATGATATTCTTAATATTACTTTGTCATGTTTGTTTCTTAAAACGTTTCTTCATTTTGTCAATGAATCTTGTAATTTTTTTAATATTTTGAGAAATGCTTCAATTGATACGGCTTACATTATAAATATCAACTGTTTTTTTGTTTTTGTAATTCTATAAATTTTTAATTTTTGAAAAAGTGACCACACTCTATAAGTGGAAACTTTAAAAATGCTGCCAATAGCTTCTGGTCAGTAGCAAAATTTCGTAGTTTTGCAAGATACCTTACCTTTGCACTAACTGTGAAAGGTTTACCTGGTTTTTTTTTCTCTATAGATATGTGTTAGTTACATCAAAATTGCTCCATGGAAAGCTAGTTTGCACCAGTGCTTGCCCCAGAAATTCTCTTGTCTTCTGGGTTAGGTTTAAAGTTACAACGCTTTGAAGTTGAACATTGATAATCCTAAACACAAAAAAATGAGCAGGTTATAAAATAAGCAGAGGAAGAAATGAAAAAAATTAGGACACTGGTTCTAAGGAAGAGTAACTAAAATTATTACTAGTCAGTACGCATTTATTACTGGTTTGTTTACATGTTTTGATTATACGCAAAGATACTTGACTTATACTTCTTAAGCAAAGTTTAAAAAGTAACTTTAAATAAATTTAAAAAAATTAATCGAGTGTTCTCATCTATGATAAAATATGCTGCTTAAGGCAAATATTTTTAAATATAATTTTAAAAATTATTTAGCCCTTTGACGGTTAGAGAAATGAGCAGTTTTCACTTACTTAATTCGTGCAGTGTGACGAGTAAACAGTATTCAAAAGTGGCAGCTGTTTTCCCCCGCCATTCTTCTGAAAATGTCACCCTTCTCCGGCAATGCAGTAGATAGCTTGCCTCACGTGTTTTAAAAATTTCTTACAGTATTTGTAGTACATAAATAACAGTTTTTACGCACTTTGAAATAATTAATAAATGATAATTATTAAATAATAAATTGTAAATGATTATAATCAATTATATAAATAATAATAGTTAATTAGAAATATAAAGCAAATATTAAATTGAAAGGACTAAGTAAATACAACTGATGTAAAACTTTATGAAGCATTTAAATACAATAATTACCTAAATACTGTGAACGAAGTCTTCATCAGACTCAAAACTTAATAAATTTTCTGTATCATAATCATCATCATAATTATCTAACTTTCGCTTTTGAGTCATTTTATTTTACAAACACCCTAAAAAACGCTCCAAAATACGCATAAAAAGAACAAAATAAAAAAAAAAAAATTCTCCCCTCATTATGAAAAGAAATTCATGGAACCCATACTGCCATCTGTAGACAGTAAAACTAACTAACTTTTACAAGTAGGATTCGTTTGTAACATAATCAATGCAGAATAATAATGGCGAACGAGCTCGGCTCGTCAGCACGTTTTTGGGGAAAATTTCACTAGGCGAGTAGTGCTCATTTCTAACCAATTCGGTCTAAATCTTGCTCCCGAGTGGAACTCTTTTGCGCTTAGTATGAAGCGCGATTCGATTGCGAGCTGGACCTGTTCATAACCATCAAAGGGTTAATTTTATTATAACCTTTTTTGTGTACAATATAGTCCATTTTGAATTTTCATTTGTTCAAAGTAATTTGTAAGATGAAAAAGACTCACTATTCTAAGCATAAGAGATATTTTTTATACTCACATTTTGAAGAATAATAACAGTGATAGACTGTGCTTCTCATTGAGTGCATAAATCAGTTAATTTTTATTTAAGTTTTAGAAAATAAAGTGTTTTAAATTATTTTATTATTTACATTAATGTTATTTTTATTTGTTTGCTACTTATGTTTTAGTTGGTTTTTCGCATGCTACATTATTTATTTGTTTCTTTGTTTTTAGCCTGAAAATGCTCCTTCAATTGAACCCGGTGCAAATTCAGGTATCATTCTTATTTTTAGATCAATATAATACTAAATGTACTTATTTAAATTTAAAATAATATTTATAATATTTGTTGCAAAATACTTGATCTTTTCTCTCTCCTTTTTACGTGCTTTACAAGCTTATTTATAAGTTGTAATTTTTACCTATGAAATGATTTTTTTTTACATATTAAATTATTTATACATAATGTATGTATAGCTTGTTGAACCCTAACCTTCTAGTCATTTCATAAGCTTCATATAAAATGGCAGCTTATGAGACCTCAACAGGCTGTTTTGCAAGTTACATGAATTATAAACGAATGTTTTTAAAAACACTTCTAAATGATTCTCAAATAATTTTTTTCACACTTCCTCAACATCTGGAACAGCAAATAAAAAGATTTCTTACTATTTATAAGCATAGCTTTCAAATTATTGCAAGCATTCTATGAATGTTTAACAACTTAAAAATTTTCTGGCACTTTCTTAGTCAATCAGAAAAGCATGAATATCATAAAAGTTAACAAACCTAACAAGCATCTTCAGCACAGGACAAGAGTTTAAAGTTTTAATTTGTAACAGTAAAATTTTACTTTTTTTGTGAAAACATTTGTTCCATAATAGTAAAGAGAATATAAATAATGTAATATCTATCATATTTTTTAAAATTTATCATTAACTTTTTTTATTACATTTCAACAAAAATTGTCAAATTTAAGAACTGGAACAAACTTGATCCATAAAAAAAAAAATCTATATTCTTTGACAACATATACAGCTTTAAAACATTGCATAGTCCTTGATAAACTATTTGAGGTACTAGAATAGGAAAGATCCAGACATCATTTTATAGGAAAGTGTGCTGAAAAAGAATTAATACAAACAAAAAGGGTTTCCATTTTTTCCCTCTACAAAATTGATTTTCATAAATATATTAATACATTTACAACCATGTTACTTAGTTACACAAGAAGAATAAGTGCAAAATTAAACGATGTATTTAAGTATAATAGCTAATAAAAAATATTCTTATTAATATGTTTTTGCTAGAAGTGTTCCGAAAAATGAGTATATAATGAAGCATTTGGTAGCTAAAAGCAGACAAGATATTAAAATATTTCACAGTATTATATAGATTTTATTAGATCTCTGTAAAATAATATTTCCATGCATTTTGCTCTTAATTACTTATAAATATAAACAGGGGTAGACTTCATAGAAGATCAAATGATAAATTCAAAAGTGTGAAATGTTTAATACCTATTGTTTTAGATCTACCTAATATAATTTTTAGCTACTTCTCTTGTAGTTATTTAAGTCTTTAATTCGGTAATATACTTTTCAGTTGAGAATGTTTTTTAAAAGTTGTTTCCTGGGATGTAAAATAAATCTTGGAGATGTTTTATGAAATTCGATTGAGTTTTACAGCAACTAGGCTCTAAACAAATAGGTTTTTTTAATAATCGCATAATATATTATTTTAATATAACCGTGACACAAAGAATTTTTTTAATTATAAATACAAGATTATGTAAAATTATCCAACTTTGACATGGAACAGCAGATGTAAGTTTTAAGTTTTGCTGCTTGTTCATATGGGGACAGAAAAAAAAACTAACACATTTTTTATATTATTCATGCAGAAGAATTTGATCGTTTTCTTGCCACAAGAGCTGCTGCTGCCGAAAGATTACCAACCATTAATCCATCTGCTGCTGCATTAAATACGGAGACACAAGATGCTAAACCAGCACTTTTTAAGAGGTATTGAAAGGTTTTAAATGAATAATTTTCTATTTATTAATTAATCTTGAGAAAATGAAAACATTTAATTTTAATGTAATTAGTTTTGTTTCCAGTATTTCTTATGAATTGTTGTTATTTGTAGTTATACAAAACTGATTTGTTCTGTTCATTTTACTTAGAAATAATTTTAAGTTAAGAAGAATGTGATGTTAGGAAATATTTGTTAAATTCTTGCTGTGTAGTGAGCAGAAGTGAGCGTTCAAAACTACACCATAAAGTAGGGTTGATTGTCTTTTGAGTTTTTTATATCCTTCCATGTCTAAAACTAAGAATAGGGCTTGTGATTTTTCTATGAATCAAAAGCTTATGCTTAGAGGAAATTTTCCCGGAGTTGCTCAATCCAAAATGTGAATTTTGAAACTTTTTCTAAATTTCATTTACGAGACGTTTACAGGCATGCGATTTTTCGACCATTTGGCGATACTTCAACGATTTAATTAGTTTGGTTTAGCTAGTTTTTGCCATCTTGAATATTTGGAACTGCAATGAGATGCTCTAATATCGCGGTTCTAATTCGCGAAATTTTAATATCAAACATCGATTTTCTTTTAATTCCCTGATTTTAAAGTTATACCTTGAGATTCTTATTCAGGCAATCAAAAAACCATGCATTGCAATTTGTATATTGTAAAATCTATTATCGTAAATAATATTTGTGCAATTTTAAAATCTAATGTCTCAATTCTTGTAAGAACTAAGTTTCTTCTTAAATTAGTTTATAGTTACAATAAACATATCTTCATGGATAGGTATTTTTCATTGGTAAGTAATTTAATTATAAATCTTAGTTCAAAACATTATGTTGAATATGAAACATGTATGGTATGTAAATCAGTATCAATTTTTTGTACATAAAATGTTTGTCATAATCACCCCTGATAAGATTACGAAAATGCTGGAATTGCTGTAAATTGACTATGATGTTTTGATTAATAGCTGAGGTTAGTTCTCTAAGCTTACATCGATTACAGTTAGGATTGCGTATATGCAATCTAACCCAGTTATCCGGATCTGTTGGCATAAGTTCAGCAAGGTTGTGAGAATCGTATGATATGTAAATCAGTATAAATTTTTTGCACATAAAATTTTTGTCATAATCACCCCTGATAAGATTACAAAAATGCTGGAATTGCTGTAAATTGACTGTGATGTTTTGATTAATATCTGAAGTTAGTTTCGTAATAATTAAACTTTATAAAACAGCTGTAACAATGTTTTTAGGTAACTTCCCTTCACTCTTATATAAAACTTCTGGCTATTACGAAAATGCATATTTTAGCATATTTCAAATTGTGTGTTTAAAAAATAATTTAACTTATTTTTCAATATAGTATAATATTTTCTACAAAATTGTTTTGGTACAGGTAATATCTTGAAGATCACATAAAAATTATTATCTGTATATACTCTATACAGTTCCTATTGAAATAATTTATTGGGATAGGGCAAAGATTTTTTTATTGCATTCTGCCTCGCAGTTTTAAATTTTTTTTAAAAAATCTTTGCACCTATATCCCTTAATATTTTTGAATCTGGGAATTAAACAGAATTGATTAAATCTTGCGGCTGTAGTCATTCCATTGCGACTATTGTGCACATTTGTTTTCCACAATATTGACCATACAGGATAAGAGTAATAAAGCAAATGAAATTGGAGACCTAGTAAATACAAAAGGATTGCACACAGGGTTGACTTGATTCAAATCATGATTAAAATCGCAGTTGAAATCATTTGATTTTTTAAAATTGATTTAAACAACTCTGATTTTTTCTAAGAAAATCATCAATTTAAGCCAATAGATTTTTTATAATAAATCTAAAATTAAAATAGTCTTATGCATTATTATTTATATACATATATATATNATATATATATATATATATTCTTTAGGATGATTATTTTTAAAGCCTTATTTCAATGATAATGACAGTTTTATCCAAGGAAATAATGAAAAGAAAATGTGTGTAAATAATATGTCAAAATAGACTAATAAGTAAATAAGAATGATGTGTAATTGTTACATTATAATGCCCCATTAACTCAATTTAAAATAATTTGCTTTTAAGAAACATAAATTCAATTATACCCATTTAGTGTTTTGTTTATTTCAATACAAGTGCTAATAAAACTTATGAATTTCGTAGTTATAGTATATCAATAATGAAAAAGACTTATTCTTCCCAGAGAATCTTAAATTTTTTTTAACGGTTTCAGATCAAAGCTGAGTAACTTTTCATTGGAAATTTAATGGACGAATTGCCTCCATGTCTTTAAAATTTAGGATGCTTAGCTTCATCAAACATAACTATGATTTTATTTTTCCGTGATTTGTTTGTAATAATTAAGTAATTTTGTTAACATTAGAAAACATGGTTGAAATTTTTAAGAATTCATGATTTTTGCCAACCTTGATTGCACAAGGATTTTGTGTTTTTTCTTCCTTTCTTTATTTGGTCGTTGTGCAATGTTTAGAAACAATGAGCATTATCGTTGCTTACAATCCATTATTGAAAATCTGTTATAAAGTTTTCTCAGTGAGTTTCTCTATCGCCCTCTTGCATGGATACCCAAATTAAAAATATTTTTTCAGGATATTTTTATGATAGAAAGTTTTACTAGATTTCAAGCATCATGCAACATTCTTTCGAATCAGTTTGCTTTGTGTTAAGAGTTATCATCATTGTCCTCTAAAGCCTTCACTGATTCCTTTATAACCTGGTTTCTAGTTGTTGTTACTTGTTCTTTTACTGAAGAAAACTGATTCTTGCATTTTAGCTTTTACACCCTTATTCAAACTGTGCAAAATAAGCACAAATGGTGAAGGGATCTCTTTTTTCAAAGACGTAAAAATTTTTTGACTCCCTTCAAAGAATCTGAAGGTTAAGATAGAATTTTATGACTGAAGAAAATAATATATAATGAAGGTGGGGTGGGGGAATGCATATTAATTGACCTATTAAGATAATTGGACAATTCTGCAAATTGGCATGGCATCCAGGTAAACTGTGCTGTACTGTATTTGCTAATTTGTAAAGCAGGGGGAAATGAGGGGTCTTTGATTGATTGGATTAATTAGACAATTCTATCAATCAGCGTCCAGATATACCACTCTGCTGTATTTGCAAATCAGTTTCCCTAATCTTATTGCACTTAAAAATGTGGAGTTTTTGTTTGTAAAGTTAAATATTAAGTCAAATGTCTTAATCAAATTTTCCAAATTACTGTTTCGTGTGCATATTAAGCTTAAGCTTTAATCAAATATTGAACAAAAATTTTTTTAAACAAGATTTTAATGGGAAAGTATTTTTCATACACATTCTAAATCTCATTTTTATTAAATATTGAATTCTCACTTTTTGTTGCCATTCATATTTTTTTCTAACTTAATTTATTTATTTATTATTTTTTTTACAGCTAACATCTTGAAACCAAAAAAATATATATTTTTCATTGGACCAGTTTATGAGTATATTTCCTTTGTTCTGTAGATTTGTGATTTGAAGATTTGTAAATAAGACAGTGCAACTCATTTGTTTATATTTTGAATTTGTTTTATTTCTATTCTTTTAAATTTTATAGTGTTTTAAATAAACTTTATATTTAAGAGAAATTTAATTCTGAGCTTTGCAATTTTATTTTTCGATAATGTGATATTTCATGCATTGATGAATTGTTCAGAAAATATATCCCAGTGAAATGGTTAGGGTTTATATATAGTGCATAATCCAAGGTTTTCTGTATGTGTAAAATTTGTATGTGAACATATGTTTGTAGTGATCAAAATAGAATATGGTGGCCAATTTTTTGCAGTCATTATTTGTTCTTTAGTTAATTTATCACAGTTTAGAAAATTATGTCATTAATTAAGTTTTTGGCTTTGAACTTTATTTTTTAATTTTAATATTTGAAATATGTTGAATAGGCTTTAACAAGAATAAGTATAACATATAAAATTACTTATAGGCGAGTTAAGAGTATAAAAAATGATATATCATTGTTAGGACAACCACACAAATCTATGATTATGTGTTGATGATTATATGTCACATATGATACAAAAACAACCATCTTTATTCCGTTAAATACACTATTTATATTATAGCAACACCAAATTTTGAATTCAAGCAATAAAATGCCCTACAGATTTAATTACTCCAGACAGCAAAAATTAGAGTCAAGAATCTTTTGAATTCAGTGACTCTGGAAAATTTTATATTGAATTCTTCAGCAATCTTAATTTTGCTCAATATAGAAAAAAAAAATTGCCAAATTATGAATAACATCATGTAAAAAGTGAATTGCTACTAGGAAATTAAGATTATCTATTTGGAAAATCACACTTCAAGTTTTATTTCGATTTGTTTTACACTTTTTTCTCTAAATTTTATTACTTAAAATTTTAGTCAGTAATCTAGTTATTATTTTATTCTTATACTTATTGCATTTATGAATTTAAAAAAGTAGTTATAATGGTATTATGTATAATGGTGTATTGTCTCAGCCCTTATCTTTTCAATTTTTTCAATATTTTTCTTTCCACCTCTATATATTTAAAATGATTCAAGAACAAAAATATTCTCTTCTTAATTGATGTTATGTTACAATATGTTGTGTTGTTGAAAAATGATTATTACCATTTTTTCATGATTTCTATAAAATATTAAAAAATTAATTTTTCCTGAATCATACAAGTTAGGAGGGTGGTTTTTAATTGAGAATTTTGTCAAAAAATTATCTATAATTAATTATTCATTAGGATTAAATGAATTTTTCTAACCCTAATTTTTGTTGGCATTACTACCTTTTATATTTACCCTAATATCTATTATTATATGTATTAAACCTATTGTCATTCTGCATTACAACCTATTAAAGAGCAGTGATCTTATGTATAGTTGAAACTTTTAAAGCAATTTTTTCTCTTAATTTTACTTAAAGGACTTGAGTGTTGTTTGATCTGATTTTAAAATGTTGTGTTATAGAAAATGTTTATTTATAAAATTATGCTCAGTTTTAAAAGATGTTAATATAGTTGGTAATAAATTTTTAAAAAAAATTATTAAAGAGGTTCTAGATCTGAATAGAAAAAAACCTGGAGAATTGAACAATATATATTTGAGGTTGTCAAATATTATTTTATGGTTGAACCACAAATGAGTCTCTAATCAGAGAATTAGCTGGAATAGAGCGTAGCTGTTTGCTTCTTCAATACTTTGATTTTTTAAACATAAAATTTAACTGTTTTGAAACATATTGTAATATTGACTGAAAGTTTTTACGAATTCTTTCGGTGATAAAAAAACTCACTTCTTAAATTTAATATATGATTATTTTTAAAGCCTTANAAACACGAAGAAAGTTAAGAAAAACAATAAGTTTCAATAACAAGAAAGTTAAGTTAAAACAATAAGGGGGGAAACTTATTATTCCCCCCCCCTTTTTTTTCCATATGTCTATAATTTTTCTTTGTTTAATCTTCATTTTGAACTTATATATATATATATATATATATATATGTATATATATAAAGTTTTAAAGAATTTTTTCTGTATTTCAAATGCTGACAAAAGTACAAAGGAAAATTATTAGAGTGTTTTTATTTAAGATTATTTTTCAACTGAATTGGTTGATAAGAAAAATGCTAAAAATAATTTTGAACTAAATTTATATGTTCTGAGTTTTGGTGCTAAAATATGTTTAAGAAACATACTACATTTGCATGCTAATTTTTTGAAGATATGTACAGTGCGTTGTAAATTAGAGTGTATCCCCACAAAAAATTTAAATCAATAAAAAGTCATATGTATATAAAAAATAAATAAATAAAAGAAATCTTTTAATTAAATCAAAAAATATTTAATGTTCTAAAAGTGACCTGAAATTTTCTTTATTGGGTCAAAAATGCATTTTCCATTTTTTGTTTAAAAAAAAGAATAACTGTAATATAAATTTTAGGTTTTAATTTTAAAATGTCGAATAACAGTTAAAAGAATGTAATAAATATTCTAGCATATGTCTCTTGTAATCTATGTGGAAACCTTAATCAAGTTTAGGAATTTAAATAATAACTTAACCTTAAGAAGAAGTGAAAAGTTGAAATATGCATATTAGTTAATGAAAATTAAGGTACTTGTGTAGTACATTTCATATATAATTTTTTTACTGTTACTTTAACTTTTTGATTTTAAAAACTAACATTTTTTTTATGTTTAAGCTTCAAAAAATTTATGGTTTTCACCCACACAGAGGAAATTTATTACCCTATTTTGAAGACCAAAAATTTTTTTAATTTTTGATAGATATGTGAAATTTTTAATGAATTATAATTTTGAATTTCAAATTTTTTTTCGTTGTATAACCTTTTGAATATGTATGAAATAATTATTCAATATTAAATATCAGTGCTTTGAAAACTGTATGATTTCTATAAAGTAATATGAGCATTTTTTTTTATGCATTTTTCTTTTTAATACTTAGACACTACAAGTATAATCAAATCTTTGATTCAATAATGCATTTTAAATCTTGCAAAAATGATGAAGTTTGTAAAGTCAGATTCTGAAATTGAATTCAATATACTATTAGTTGTTGTTATGCATTTCTGTTGGAAAAATTTAATGTTTGCTGTATTAAACCCTGTATAAATAAATTAAATTTGTACTTTGACACCCTTACAAAATAAAAATAAATTTCTTGTTTGCATTTCAATATTTCGTACCAGCCCCGTTTCAAACATATCCTTTAAAACTTTGCTTAAGTTTATAATAGTAGCCTGTTTTGTTTAATTCTTATTATTCAGATATTGTAAATTTTATCTTTTGTACATAGTCGATAAAATCCTAATTTTATTCCTTCATTTTGAATCATTTTTCAGCTAGTCATATTGTATATTAACTTGAGTTTTAAAGAGAAAATATATATTACTGCGATCAAAAAGCGCTTAAAATAGTGTCATAAAACAAAAGGTATAAGAATCATATTCATAATTGGGTGTCATTTGCTTTCCATATGGAAAGTATTTTTTTAAAAGTTCTAAGATACTTTAAATGATTTTTCTTTGTGTCATATTAATTAGCAGACAGTTTCTTGTACAGGAAGTATGTTTTAGGGCCTTAATTCAGAAATAATAATATTTTTAGGTCATTAAATGAAAGGAAAATGAAAATGCTGCTGTCCAAAACATTAAAATTTTATTACAAGAATTACATTTCAATGACTATACTTTCCACTCTGTCATACATTGCAATCGTGTAAAATTGCTAAAATTAGATTCTAATAAGATTATAAATAAGTAAATAATGAATATTTAATATTAATAAAACACAACTATCCAGAAATTAATGTCATCTCTGCTACTATACATATATTTCTATTTTTCTAATTATGCAATTGGAATGTCTTAAAGATAACACTTGTATACCAGTGAGGAACCTGTAGGTAAGAAATAGTAACAGCCATTTTGTAAGTTCTGTGTTTTTTAAAGAAACAGAAGCCTTTTTGTAATAAGTATTTTTTTTTATTATGTCATGTTGTCTGTTACATTTATTAGTTGTATAAAATAAATTTATTTCTTAATTCTTTCAGCAAGATAATTTAATTTTGCGAGATTTTATTCTAAATTAAGTATAATATTTAACATTTTATAGAACTATTTAGCCACAAGAATTTTTTTTCCTTTGAAAGGTCATTTCTGTTACCATATTTAGTAACAGACATGACAAATACAATTTTATTTTTTTTAAAAAATCAAAATGATTTTTAAATTTAGTAATCTTCATTTATGTACAGTAGGCTTCAAAAGTTGCAAAAAATTCCAATATTTATTATTGTGTGCTGAAGTTTGAGTGGTTTAATTTTATTAAATATATCTGGTGACAAAATTGACAATTTTTAGCATGCCTGACCAAAAATATATCAAGTAAAATATAAAAGTACAAAATAAGAAACGTCAAAATAACATGTAAAATTTATGTATGTTAAGTTATTTTTAAAAATTATACTTGTTTAAAATTTTTTTATTTATATTTCAATTTCTCAAATGGCACTCCATTTTCAAAAGTATCATATAAACGTATTAGTTAATATTTAATTTATTCTCTTCAAGATACTCTCCATGACTTCAATGTTTTCCTTCTAAAGCTTTTTCGATCATCAAAACATGCCTTAAAATCGTTATTATATATGCTTTTCAGAGTTCATAGCGAAATTTTCTGTAATGGACTCAAAATGGAGACATTTGTCAATTTCGACTATATAAATAAGAAAAACACAGTGTTGTATTAGAAAAAAAATGGTGCTTGTGGGTCATATTTGTTGAGTATTTTTCAAAAAATTTAAAAAAGCATGAGAAAGTGTGTTATCGTGGTGCTAAGCCTAAGAGTTTTCTTCAAATTTCATTTTTTGATGAATTGTTTCATGCAAATGCTGCAAAGCACTTAAAGATTGTTATTGACTATTTGGCCTGTCAATAAATATTTATAATGTTCAAAAATTGCAACAATGACAGTGAACATTCTGCATTAATTTGATTTTTGAGCAACTTTGACTTGGTCATCTTCACCATTCAGTTGATTGCTGAGTTGTTTCTTTGTCAAAAGCTTAAGTTTTTGTAACAATTAGATGTATTATGACTCATAACCTTAAATCGTTCTTTTAAAATTACTTGACATGAATCAAATGTTATAGGAACTTGTTCAATGGTGTGTCTTATTGTCAGAGGACGATCTCTAATTTGATTGATCATTAATCGAAGCAGCCGCTGTTCATTTTTAACAGATTCTCTACCATCTTTAAACTTTTTAATACCTATCAAACACTGTTGTTTTAGATAAACAGTCGTCTTTAATTGTATTTGCAACATTTTAAAAACTTGTAAAGCTAAAATTTCATTGCAAAATTAAAATTTAAAATTATTATAAAATTTATTTAATTTTAATTTTTATTAATAATTTTTCTCCTTTCGTAACAACGATAAAATGAAAATTCTTTTTTATTTAAAGCTAATTAATTTTTAGTCTATTAAATTAAATATCTTTCTGACTGTTCCCAATTGTTTATAGATGCCTTAAAAATATTTAATAAATAAAAGTGCTGTCTATATCTATGAATTATAAAGGACTTTTGAACAAAGCATTCTGTGTACTTTTTGATCACAGTAAAATTTTTAAAAACTGAGATAATTGCAATTCTTTTTTAATACTTTTGTTAGAAAAAAGTCTACTTCATGTTCTGTCCCTTGGTCTTACAATTTTAATTTGATTATGTTTTTGAATTGAGATCTGGAAGTCCATCAATTCTCCCTGTCTTGGTCATCCCTAAATTGACCTTTCCACTCAATTGTGCTAGTCAATAAACTGCTTCTGCTTTTTACAGTTTATTTGTGTAACAAGATTTTCTTTCAAGTAATCTGTTTTTTTTTTGTTTTTTTTTGTACCAAGTGAGAAAAGTAAGTACTGCTACGATTCTATGTTATCTTTTTTATGTTTAGCTGTTAAAATGTCTATACCCTACTTGGTACATTTCATTGACCAATATTAATAAAAAACTGTTCTTGTAATTTTAGGCAAGACAAGATTCGTTCTAAAGGTCAGCTTGAATGTTAATATTACTTTTACATCTGATCTAAAATATACATTAGCTGATTCTCGTTGATCTAAAACTTTGTGGGCTTCAAGCCACCACATGAGATCCAACCTCCGTTCTTTACAATGACAGTTCAGTGCCTTAACTACTGTCCTTAACCATCGTGGCTTACGTTATCTATCTATAAACATCAATGAGGTGGGTATTTTTGTTGCATTCAGAAAGTTGTTAGGTTCGTTAATTTTGTCACGAGCTTTGTTGCACAAATAAACAGCAAATGACTGTAGCGGCTCGTAATTAGAATTAGACTAACGTGAACAATTGAGAATGTCAATGACAAAGCATTAAGCAGTGTTCTCCCTAAGCATTTTCAAAAAGGGCGGTCCGCCTTGACAGCCCTTTGATCCCTATAAATTCGCCCTCTTTGTCCTTTTTGTAAAAATAAGCCTCCCATCCATCAAAAACACTGCCTTTTTTTCATATTCCTTTATTTTAAAAATTAATTCTGTTTAAATAATAATTACATACTGGTAAAATTATCTGTGTTTATGAATTTATTTCTGATTACCATTACAAATATTTATTTTGTTAGGATTATTCTCAACTAGTTAGATTTTTATAAGTATCTCGTTTTCCAGGGGGGGGGGGATATTAATAAATTTTTTAAATATTTTAATTTTAAAAACTATTTTTTAAAAATTTTTTTTAACAAAAGAAATGCAACTTAAAATTTTTTTTTCTTCATAATTTTCAGTATAAATTATGTAACTATCTTTCAAGTTGTTTGTCAATTAATACTTTTTTTAATTAGTTTACTTTTTTTTAAGAAAAATGATGCCCGTAGATTATCTAATAGCATGCCTTTAATCATTTTTATAAACTGCAAATACTTCTCTTATTCTGATAATGATTTTTTGAAATATACACGTAAAATAGTGTAAGAGGGTAATATAAAAATTGTTGAAGATCATATTCAGAATATTATACATTTTGAAAAATGTTTACGATGTCGAATGAGTGCCCTTTTAAAACTTTTTTGAGAGGCAGCCTTTGCCCTTTTTTATTCCTAGGGAGAACTATAGAATTTTAAGAATTTTGGAGCATTTGCATTGTCTGGATAGATTTTTTTGCATTTAGATTTACCCTTTTATGACCAAGATTTTCAATGCCTAATTTTCATTAAGTAAGATCAATTTAATAGCTTAGAAAGAAATTATTTCAAAGTTAAATATGTAATGCTTATTTACTCATGCACAATCGATTAGAAATTTATTAGTGCTTTACTTATTTAAATAGTTTTTGCTTTGTAGGGGCAGTTAATATTTTCTATTCAGAAGCTAAAACTGTTGAAAAATTCTTTTGTAGCATTAAGATATATTATATGTAAATCAAATTTGAATAGTTTTTAATTCTTAAAATGAGTTGTTCATGAGTACCATATTTAAATAGATGAATGAATAATACATGTGACAAATATATGTTAAAAATATATAAAATATAGTTATTTGTAACATGTTGTGTTGGTAATTTAGAATATTTGTAACAAGTCACGTTATTAAAATATAAATAAATATTTCCATACAAACAATTGGAAATGCTTGATTTTATTACGGATATTTTGTTGGATCAAAATATTAAGCTGATGGTTGATTAAATTTGTAGTGGAAATTAATTGCTGATTAAATTTCATGTAAGGTGTACAGTGCTCGAAAAAAATAAAAACGGACCAGCCTGAATAACTTTGAATCTAACGATCGGATCTTTACGTTCTAAGACTCAATCTTAATGGCTCGAGGGGTTGACCTCAAATATGCTGATCAATAAATGCAGACGATATTTTAAGTTACGAATTCAGACGAATTCAGACACAAAAATGTACTTTCTCTGAATAAGCATACCTTTTTTTCGACGGATTCGGATTTCTGACTTCTAAGATGTAGGGGGCAGTCGCAATCTGGGAAATATGGTTCCAATAGTTGGAACCCTTAATGTTAATTTTACTTTTTGCGTATTTCGCTATATCTCGGGAACTTTTTAAGCGAATTGAAAAAGTTTTGCACACAATTAAAAGATTCCTGTATCCAAAGATAATCCATTGCAAATAATAACTTTTAGTAAATATTTATTATTTTATTTAATAATGAATGAAAAATTTTTTAATTGTAAGGTATACAATTTTGGTATCATTTTAAAGCATATAATTTTACATGGTAAAATACAAAATTTGAGCAAAATCGGTCCTGAGAAATTGGAATTTCAAAAAAGTCGAATTTTTAACCAACCGATTTCGCTCAAATTTTGTATTATGCCATGTAAAATTATATATTTTTCAAAATGATGCAAAAAATTATACACCTAACAGTTCAAAATTTTTTCGACCATTATTAAAAAAGTAATAAATATTTACTAAAAGTTATTTTCTGCATGACATCTTTGGATAAACGAATTTTATAACTCGGGGCAAAATTTTTTCAATTCTCTTGAAAAAAAAATCAATGTGGTTCGTTTTTTATTTTGCACACTGTAAATGAAATATGCTATGATTTAATAGAGTTCCGTAGTGCGGATTGTTAGGAAAAAGTAGCTCCAGCTGTTTGCCAGCTGCCTGGTTATCCCTAAAGATTTCACTGTATTTAACAAAAAGCAAGATAAAAATTGTATAGTCCCTTTCTTTAAAATTGAAACAAATCAGTAAATCTGTTTCATATTTTAAGTCTTATATGAAAATTGTTTCTGGTTCATAAATAATAACAAAAAATTCTTAAAATTTATTGGGGGAAATTACTTAACTCATTAATTTTTGTTGCCATTAATTTACATTGGAAGCTAAAGATTAAAATCACGTTTTATGTGTATCCTATTTGCCTCTCGTACACAAGGTAGTCACTCGTCTAAATTAAATTTATTTGTTATGGAATTTGAATATGCCACGTATATGTGATTCATTTTTGTGGCATAATCTATAAAATATTTTAATTAAATATGCCTGGGTAATTTAGTGTATTTTATTAAAAAGTTCATAGGGCATTCATAGACTACAATTAAAATTAGATAAACATTGAAAGTAATTTATTTTCAAACACAAAAAACTGACAATTAAAAAAATAGTTTGGAAATGAGAAAATAAATGAGAAGGATGAATAACAGAAGGGTGAATCTTTTGGTAAATGTGACCAGCATGGTGCGCCTGAAATATAAAAACGATTTTAATATATTTGTATTATATTTCTCACGATAATAATATAAATCTATGTTAACTTTTTGAAATATTATGAACATAATTGGAGCCGTGGTGGCTCACGGGATTGAGCCTTTGCCTTCTAATGAGGTGAACCGGGTTTAACCGCACCCAGCTCGCACCGGACACAGTGCTGACCTAAAATATCCTCAGTGGTAGACGGATCATGGGTTAGAGTGCCTTGCCGTCAGGCTAACCGTGGAAGGTTTTCTTTTCCATGTAACACAAGTGTGGGTTAGTTTCATCAAAAAGTCCTCACGAAAGCAAACCTTCTCCCAATACTTGATCCAGAAGTTTCCTTATCTTCTGAATTGGGTTCTACATTACAAGGCTACGGAGTTGAACATGGGCAGTCGGAAACCCAAAATTGAGTCTGTTGTAACACCTAAAATCTTTTCCCCGCACCATCTTGAATTAGGTGATAATTTTTTCTCTCTCGTTATCTCGTGTTATTAAAAAACTGTTTAAAATAGAATAGCATTCAACAGCATGGTTTTATATTTAAACAAAGTGGAAAATAAAATCGCTGCTTTATTATATTAGGAGAAATAAGAGTTCGATAACTTTTAGAAATCCTATGAATTTTTTTCAAGTAAAGCTATAGAATGAATCGATTAGTGGTTTTGGTTATATAACTTACAGCTGTGCATATATATATGCATATATATATTCTGAAAAATTAACTTTTATTTATTTTACTGGCATAAATAATGCAAAACAACATCGATAAAAATCTGAAAATAGACAAATTTTAATGCTAAATTAAATTTTTATTTCAGCTGATGGCATTGGCATAATAAAATTGGAAATATCTGTTAAAAGTTTCATGTAAACGCCTAGCTATTTTCTCATATGAAATTGCGACTGGGTAATGTTTTTACTTGTTTCAAAAACTAATGCGAAGTGGGGAAAATATCTAGCATTATTTTATTTCTGAAAATAAAATAAAGGGGATTAAAAACATAGGGGAATTTCCCACTTCGCTAACACGCCTTTAGCAAATGCAAAGAGTGACTTTAAAAGAGATTTAAATAAGCAAATTTTCATAGTACATATTGTTTTCCATTTAATTGAAAGTGAATACAAAGAATGATTTTGCTTTCAATATGAATAATTTGAAATGTAAGTCATAGTGGTAATAGCGATTTAATAATTAAAGAGATAATAAATGAATAAAAATGTATTGCTTTTCTACCACTTTTTTTCAATTTCAGTCGCCTATATCATCCTTGTTGCGTGGTTTTCTCTTGCATCTTTAAATAGGGTAGTTTTCAATGGAAAAACAAGTTTTGCAAGTAGCTTCTTGTTATTTTTTATACATTCCAATGTAAATTATCTCAAACTCACTAATACGTACACCGAAGAGCCATTACATTATGACCACCCTCCATCTATAACAATGGGCTCGCCCAGGAACAATGTTTTCATGGGGCACATTAGGACCCACAATCCTCATAGAACAATCCCTGACGTCTGTAAGCTACTTGAACATAGTAGGAGACCAGGTTCATCCATTCATGGCAACAGTTTTTCCTGAGGGGGATGGCGTTTACCAACAGGATAATGCACCATGTCATAAGGGTCGAATCGTCGAGGAACATTCCAGTGACTTTGAAGTCATGTCTTGGCCCCCAAATTCACTTGACCTTAATCCAATAGAGCATTTATGGTCCTATTTGGAAAACCAAATTCGTGCTGCTACGCTACCCCCTCGAAATGTGAGGGAATTGCAGGACCAGTTGGTGAGCGCTTGGTACCAGATACCTCAGACTACCTATCAGCACCTTGTGGAATCAATGCCACGGCGGGTGCTAGCAGTTTTGAGAGCTAAAGGTGGTCCTACATGTTATTAGCAGGGTGGTCATAATGTAATGGCTCTTCGGTGTATATGATCGCTCTTTAATTCTCTTCTATAAACTAAACTAGGACAAAATTTAAAATGAAATAAAACTTTGAGTACTTACTGTAAAACAACTTCCCTCCTCCTATTTGTAGTCAAATTGTCCAATTCCCAGTCAAATATTTCAGATCCTTTTGGTACATTTTCGGCTAACTCATCAAATGTACACGTAAGGTCTGTATAAATTATCTATAAAAATTAAAAACATTCGAAAATTACTATCAAAAAGAGTTACTGTTTAAAAATGTATTACTCTTAGAAAGAAATCAATATTTCAATAAGAGTTATTATAAAATTTATTATTATAAACATAATAGTTATTGAAACAGAATTGCAGAGGTGATTCTTAGTAAAAATCGGGTCTTTATTTTTAAGTATTGATATTTATCCTTTTCTGATTTTTCGGATACTTATTAAAAAAATAAAGAATAAAACAAGCTTTATTAGTGTTATTTTTATTTTTAAGTATTGATATTTATCCTTTTCTGATTTTTCGGATACTTATTAAAAAAATAAAGAATAAAACAAGCTTTATTAGTGTTTTTTTAATCAATATTAGGTCCCATCAAAGCATTAACATCTCAAGCTTACTGTGTTACAGAAATTGAATGTATAGATACAAAAATAACGTTTTAAAAATTAAAATTAAAAATGTTTGAACAAAAATAATAAAATAATGTTTAAACAAAAATACTAAGTTCTCTTAATCTAAGATGTGGAAATTTCATCGAATCATTTTATATTCAATGAACATGCCTTAGGAGGGATAAGCATATTTCTGTGCTTTTATTTATTTTTTTGAGTAGTTAGTAACTGGCATTTTAAGTTTAGGAAGCAATCGAAAATCAAGTTAATTTAAAATGTATTATTTTGTTAAATTAAGTTTAAGAATAGAAACTCCGTATTCCTACATTATTGAGATTGCTGTCACAAGAGAGCTGCAGTTACCAAGACGGTGGCGTATCACTACTTAATCTACATATCTTTAGGCTATCTTAATCTTTAGGTGAGATCACTGCGACAATTATCTGTCTCATTGTGGGCTTGTGTTCACGTCTGGGTAACTGCATTTCACTGCATTATTAATTTAAAAAGAAAAAAATGTGTCTTGTCTGTTTTCTTATTATATGAGTATGTTTGTATGGAAAGACCTTATAAAAATTATTACATATTAGAAAATATTAACTTTTTTATGAATAAATGCAATCGATTTAATTTATTGCCCTATTCGGAACCTATTGTGAACCTATAGTGTGTTTATGGTATACCTCTCTTTCCTCTGGATTTAGCAGCTTAGAAAGACCATGAAAATTATCAGTTTGAAATGTAAAGGATGTGGACAAAAATGGATGTAATTCCTTCATCATGCGGTCGAAAAATCGATACAGCTTCATCAACCTATAAAAAATACATATTTTTTTTTTTAAATGTGATTTGATTTGCAGATTAACAATGGAATCTAGTCAGTATGAGCATTATTATTCTTTTTTTTTCTATACACAAGTTTCAAAGTTCTGTTACATTGATTGATGTTTCACTTAATTTAAAGTATTACGTTATGCCTATCATTTAAATAAAGATTTAGAAACTAAAAATAGCAAAACGAAAAGATATGTATGTTAACAAAGTTTTCAAGTTTTTTTTAAAGGGGTTTGCACTATATTTTTTAAATTTGTAAAGATCTGGCAATATATTTTATTTGGTTATTCTAACTGTAATATTTCATATGAGAAAACGTGACCTTATTAATGTGTTCTCAGTGTACTTTTGACTTGTGTTTTTTGTGTATCATTGGATTTTCATCTTTATTTCGATACTTGAATTTTTGAGGTATCGCATTTTCTTATTTAGTTTTTCCATTATGGGGCCTAGGGGCACAGTCTGCTTTTGGTTTGACCACTGACTAGGGAAAGGCTCCTGCGTGTTAACAGACAGTGTGTCCCCTGATGAAGTACCGTTTTTGTTGCAAAAATTGAATATGTATGCATCCTGATGAAAACTGAATATGTATCTGCATTGGTCCCACCAAAGCTGCAATGCAGCTTAGTAAGAAGACAATTACATTCAAAGCTTAACAAAGGTTTTACGTGCCCCTCCTTCAAAACACAAAAATCCTTATTTTTATATTTTGTAGAAATTTTGAAAACCCTTTATTCAAAATCATAGTTTTTATATAGATATAAAGAAACTCTAATTAATGTTCACTATATTTTTTGTAATCAATTTTGGTTGGGTCCTCAGTAGTCCGTGAACAGTTGTCCCTCTCTCTGCCCTCTTCAGTACGGCCTTGACTACATCACATGAACTACACACACTTTTTTACTGAAATTCTGGTATTTCTAAATTTCCTAAAGAGTTAACTTCTGTACCCGGTTTTATCCCACTAGTAGGGTAATAAGACCTGGTGATTTGACTTTTTCGGGAGAAAAAAAATAATTTAAAAAAAAGAAATATACTTTTTTGACTTTTCATGAATGATATATTGCACACTACTCAGCAATGAATATCTGGATTAAATCTGACAATTTTTAGTTAGGCTTCAACGAGCCTTCGAATCTTACCCTACTTTTCCATACTACTTTTACCTACTTTTTCGGTATTACCCTACTTTTCCATAGATATTTTTTATTTACATATTTTATTTGCGTAACTTTTAATTTATTTTACACAATTTTTTTAGTATTTAACTATCATTGAATAACTTCGACGTAAGGGGGTGGAGAGATTCTTATTAATAACAATTACAATTAAATTGTGAACAATAGTAATTTCACTTAAATGAAATTGTTGTAAGATTTTTGTAAACAAATATCATAGTATATTAGAAGGGAATATTTCAATTTAAAGAGCCATAAAAACAGAAGCATTTTAATTACAATAGAAAATTAAAAAATTGGAAAAATTTGCCTTTGCTGATATGGAAAGGCCGTCCTTGAATAGTCTCTATACTTTGTCAGAATCTTTTTTGATTGCTATGAACGCTACGTAATCTGATAGCTTAGGAATAATGCTCCATTACTCCTATCATCGAAACAATACTTTATTTTTCCTAAGAAGCAAGCGCGCTAATTTTTCTAAGGAGCATGGCAGCGCAATTGGAAGAGATTGCGCAGCGTTTCATTTAGACATGACCACTTCTTTCGAAAGGACTATCGGTATTTGCAGTGCTAGCCGAAATCCACATACTATGAGAGATCGTTTAATTTTAAAATATTTTATATTAGTGGCATTCTACAGAAAATTCAGTGGAGGAGCTATGAAAATTCAGGTTAATTTGGGAAACGAATTAGCTATGTTTTGACCTTGTAACAATAAGTTCCTCTTTGAAGTACACGTACACACTGCAGTACAAAATACTTATAATAGCAGCGAAGATACTTTACTCTTCCTCCATACATTCGTCGTGTGTAACCTCTTATATGTATATGGTTGGATCACTTATAGTATAAAGTATTTTTCGAAATCGCTACAAAAATGTACGATGAAATATCTTACCTGAGTTTACTTCCCTTGGAACGCAAGTATATATCTAGTATTACTGCTGGTATATAATGATGATAAGTTGAAAGTATAGTATACATTAGTTTGCTCTTCACCGTTCTTACATCTGCCTCTTGAAACGTTTTTGGAAGAGGATTTTCCATAGTGACTTTAAACATGACATCCAAGTACTTTCCGAACTTAAGCTTCAGAGTGTCGCCGCTAGTGCAGTTGACAATAAACATCGAAGGACTTCTAAAGAAATTGAGCAATATATACATGGCTAATTTTCTGAAAACGTGTACATTTGATGTCCCATTATATATAATTTTAATTACTTAAATAAAATTCCAAATAAAACTTTTAAGCATTCAATTTAATTTACTATGTGATTTTAGTAAATGTAGATGCATGGAAATTAGTATTTATAAATAATGGAGGTGTAATACTGTTTCGTCAAATACAACTAAATTACTATCGTCCTTCGAGCCTTCTTTGCCGATTATTTAATTGCAATTAAATGTTAATTGAAAATCATTTTAATTTTTCTAGTTGTCACGTTGTGTTACATGCAATATACTATATGACTTATCTAATATACAGTTTTAAAACTATTTTGAATAAAAATCAAACCCAAGATAATCCTAGGATTTTTTCGCACTCTGTTACCATAATTATTGTATTAAATTATATCTGTTGAGATGGCAAAATGGGTCCCAAAGCTCCTGGGTGTATTATTTTTATAAAAATAACCCATTTAAAAATTTTTATTATATTTTCTCTATTCTAACAAAATAAATTTTAAAGAACCAAAGCATTTTTATTAACTCCCCCCCCATGCTTTTAGTATAATTGTTTTAAATTTATTGTTTTCATATTCAGTTGATTTTTCAATGGTAGGGTCAAATTATGCTTTTCAATTTTGCATAGATACTACTTCTTATATATAGAACCTCTACACGTAAATTGACTTGCAGTTTGTTCTTTTCCTTTCAGTTATTTTACCTCTGAGTTACCATGCCCATAGTAGTTAGTTGCAAATATCCCAGATAGCAAGCAACCTTATAGCAAACGTTGTATTTTCATTTTTATTTGATTTTCATTAAAAAAATTTATTAATTAATTTTTTTAAAGTTTAGTAGAAATATTAGTATGCAAAGCTTGTTTCCTTAAAGGTTGAATAAAGCTATGCAAAAACCTTTTCCAAAAAATCTCATTTTTTAGCTTTTATTTACAAGTATTATAAACCTTGCTTTTGTCGTTTCTAGCTTTATCTAGGCTCTGAAATGCAACAAATTTTGTTTGTTGTGAAGACTTAATGATCAGGTCAATCTTAACTTTTAAATTGTAAAAGAAAATACATAAAAGCCTACGCAAATACATAAAATAATCATAATCATAAAATCTGAATTATAATCATAATCTGAATAATCATAAAACATGAAATAAATCTTGAGAATGTGATTTTAGCATTGGTTTGACTTTGAGAACGCTTTCTACTCTTGATTTGGTTGTAATGCAAACATCATAGAGCGTAAACTAACATATTTAAATTTAACATTGTTTTAAGCTTGCATGGTTTATTTGCTAATCATTTATAAACCTTGTGGTGCTTTGTGATAAAGATTGTTGATCTTGAAAGCTTTGTGATGAAAGTTTGATGTCTTTGAGATATTGTGGATTCTATTCACTTGGGTGTAAGATAATTTTAAAATCATTGCATTGCCTCTGAAGGAAATACTATAAGACAATTCCTGGTACCCAAAATTTACCTTGATGTTATAGATTGATAAAAATGAAATAATTTTTTATTACAATTTCCGGTTGTTTCCTTGCTTAGAGCTACTAAGAATGAGATTGGTATAATATTAATTCTGACAGTGCTCATTAATTCTGCCTGGCTGCTAGCATCAAAAAGTCTCCAAAGTTGGCGAGATGTTTACATTTTTTGGGGTATTTAAGGGTATTTGTGTTTATAAATCCTTTAAAAGTATATTATAAAATAATGGTTAAGGCACTGAACAGTCATTTTATTTTATAACCGTCGTTGAAAAGCCGACCCAATTTTGAGTTTGCGACTACCAATGTTCACCTCCGTAGGCTTGTAGTTTTGAACCTAATCCAGAAGACATGGGAACTCCTAGATCAAGTGTTGGTAGAAATTTGCCTTCGCGGAGGATCTTTTGATGGAACTAATTCGCATTTGCGTTACACGGAGAGGAAAACCACGAAAACTCCCCCTTCCCTGTTAGCCTGATAGCAACGGGACTCTAACCCATGATTCTTCTACCAAAGAGAATATTTTACTTCAGCACTATGGTCGGTGCAAGCCGGATGTGGAATTCGTATCAACCAGTCATTGCTGGGATTCGACCCCGGTTCACCTCCCTGTAGGGCGAATGCTCTATCCCCTGAGCAATCATTGCTTTTACCAGTTATTTCATTTATTTTATTTTATTTTATTTTATAACCGTCTTTGAACAACCAACCCAATTTTTTGGGTTTACTTCTACTAATGTTCAACTTCGTAGCCTTGTTCTTTGATCCCAATCCAGAAGACGAGGAAACTCCTGGATCGAGTATCGCGAGAAATTTGCCTTCGTGGAGGACTTTTTGATGGAGCTAACCCACATTTGCGTTACATGGAGAAGAAGACCACGAGAACCTCCCACGGTTAGCCTGACGGCAAGGGGACTCTAACCCATGATCCGTCTACCTTTGAAGATATTTCACGTCAGCACTATGCGAAATTCGTATCGACTGGGATTCGAACCCGGTTCGCCTCATTGGAAGGCGACCGCTCTATCCCCTGAGCCATCGCGGCTCCTGGTCAGTCATTTTTTTAAGTTTTATAACCGTCGTTGAACAGCCGACCCAATTTCATGGGTTTACGACTACTTACGTTCAACTCCGTAGCCTTGTAATTTTGAACCAATCCAGAAGACAAGGAAACTCCTGGATCAGTACCCCCAGAGGTATTGATTTGTTGTGGAAACATGGAGGACTTTGAGACTCGACAGATTTAACGTGCATCAGTCACCATTTACTACACGGGGAGTCTTCGGCCGGCGAGGATCGAACCCACGACCTCTTGGATATGGGCCCGGCGCCCTACCGACCAGGCTATCCCGGCCCCTCTGGTCAGTCATTGTAAAGACTGGCGTTTGATACACAGAGGCGGTTTGATGCTCTCTCATCTTCAGATCGTTGGGTACTAGTTTGGGAAATAAAGGCGGCCTGTGCGCATTGATGTCAAAATCACCACAATCATGTTATTGTGAAATTGTGCATCGAAATAAATTGTGAAGCCTTAACCACCACGACCACCTAGATCACAATGAGCTGCTGCAGGTATGCTTTACAATACTGTTTCAACAAAACAATCCCTAGTATTTTTAAAAAAAAAATTATTTTAAGTAAAGCTTATGTTAAAGCTTCAAGGGTAGCTAATAAAAAATTGAAACACGCGAGGAGCAAAATGAAATCAGAATTAGAAATTAGAATGCCTCGTAACAATAAAAAATACTTACATATTCAGAATAAGCAATATAATTGTCATAATATCTTTAGACCCTATTTTATTGATTAAAATCTTAATTCGAAATTTTAAATTTAATTTCACATATTAAACAATGAGTAACGTTTAGAGAATTTATTACAGAACACCCTTTATAACCAGTTTCATTGCTTAGTTAATTACGTTTCATGACTAGGAAAATAATCATTACCTGCCAGTAGCCACGCTCCAGGCAGTGATAATATGTGCGTTTACTACTACATCTACTGGTATGACATCGAATATACAATCCCTGTCAGCGTGAATAACTTTAACGAACCCTTTTCCAACCTAGGAATAAAATTCAAAAAATTCCTATAAAATGTAATTTTTATCATAATATTTGTATTAAAAAAAATGATTTTTTTCTGCTTTAGATTTTTCAGCCTTAATCTATTAATGTTTAAGTCGCAATGTTTAATCATATTAAATGTAGTGAAATAAAAAAAATTACTTTAAACAAATCTTTTAACCTCTTGTTTAATTTGAAAAATCCGTAAAATTCTAAGACACGAATCAGGACACAAAGTATCAAAATGAGAACAAATCTAAAGGTAAAGGGTGTAGTGCAATATTTAAAGGAAAATTTTCATATCGCTCAGGAGAGCGTTTTTTGGTGAAAACATCAATATTTCCATATAGGCAAAGATGTTTTTGTGTATTTTGTTGCGATGCTGTGGAAAATTGTGAAGTACTGGAGAGTGGGGTTGATTGTAACAGGGTACGATTGTAACAGAGCAAAAATTTCGAGTGTCGGGTTCTAGATTTGGTTCCTAGGTGGCACACAAGGTGTATTTAATAAATCTACATGTACACCCTTGCTGGCAACCATTTTTAAGTACTTTTGAAAGAGATACATCACAAAAGATATTTTCACGCTACGTAAGTACTTTTTTTGGTATTAGAATATTATATTGTAACAAAGTAATTTTGTTTAAGCAAATAAAAATTACTAACCGAATATGTAAGTGGACACCTCAATTAACATTTCAATAAAAAAAATTAGTTTTGTTAATTAACTAGCATTATTTTTAACAAATGAAGATGAAATGGCTCCTTGGGGACGATTGTAACAGCTGAAAATAAATAATCTTATGTTTACAAACCATTACTTAACTCTTTAAGAACCACCAATAGTTTCCTATATCATTTATATTATGTTGCATGTGCATTATTTTATTTGTCACCTTTCACAGCAAAAATTAAAATTTTTAACCTCTTAAAGTTAAAAGTTTAATCCTTTAGGTCTCTGCTCATTATTATTTTTACTCCTAAAATATCACTATTTTGATGAATTAAAAAATATATCGCAACTATGATAATATGTATAATTAACTATGTTTTAGTTCAATTTATGAACTGTTACAATTGACCCCGTTAGTGGGGACAATTGTAACAAGTGCACGATTGTCAAAAATTGTTAATAACTAATATAATAACATTTATAATAAGGTATTAATTTTTTTTCTAGTAGAGGATAGTCTACTTTACTCGTCTGTCAATTAATACTAATAATATATTGGATTTTTTGTTAGTTAAAAATAGTTAAGTAAAAAATTTTACAATTGACGCCACTCTCCCCTACCTATCTGGAATAATGTTAAGGAGTAGTTTGATATAAAAAGCATCACCTTTGGAAAAATGTGATGTTATGTAGCTAATCTATATTTTACAATCTCTTCGTCTTCACGAGATTATAAGAAATAAAGTATTCTTAGAGTTTTTTATTCATTAACGTTTTTGCTCTATACAAATAAAATGTTAAAAAAGTTTTAATATAAAGCTTTAAAAATGTAGCATTTTTCTTCTTGACTATGCAAAACAATTCTCTAAATGTAGGACTTGAAAATAAGAAAAATATTAATAATTAGCTTTGTCATCCAAATAATTGATGCCTAAAATTTGAACGTGTCGAATAATTAGAAATAATTTATGCCGAAAAAATAATTTTTGGAAGCTTCTGGAAAAATATGACTTTCTGGCTCAAGCATCACAGAAAAGTAGAGATTGTTTCATTGCGATATTTTTTATTATTATAATATTGTATGATATTTCATCAAATATATAGTTATAAAATGAATATAACATCTAGAACATTAATTGAGACAGTATCAACTCGACTCTTATTTACATGTTATATTTCAACGTTTTATTTATTTGTTTTTCGTGCAAAATCAAAGAAGAGTTTTTTTTCTCCAACTTTACTAATTTTTTTCATATTAGTAATATATTCCTTAAACACAGAGAAATATATAAAAAGATTCAATTGTTATGTGTGACTATATAAAAAAGCGATAAGTATTTTTACTAAGTGAGGTAAAATGGTAACTCTCTTGCCTAAATAGTTTCAGCGCTACGCTACTGTAAAAAGCTTAACTACTAGTTAGATTGAAGAATTTAGCTTTATCTTTTATTATTTTTGATTGAATTTATGAAGATTGCTATAATCATTTGGTTATTTGTGTTAATTCGGTTCCATAAAATTCTTATTTGCTAATTAGTTAAGGAAGCTGGGTATAAATGAAAACAAAAGTACATTTTATGAGATAAATTGTTATTTATTTAATTTTTTATTATTTTTTTACAATTTTTATATTTTTTAAATTTTTTTCCATTTTTTTATAAAGACACATTTATATGGATTACATGTAACATCAAATTCATCTTTAAACTAGTCGAAGAATAAATTCAGAAAAACATTATTAATTAAGATTTTTTTCTTTTTTTAGTTTATGGTAGGATTTTTCATTTGACGGACGAAATAAACAGGTAAAAAAAATGTAATAGAAGCATTTTTTACAAATAATAGAACTACGATCTAAAAACAACAACATTTGGAATAGATTAGAAAATTATATGTTTCTATATTAATGCACAATGTAAAAAAAAAAATTGAAATACTCTCATAAATTCAATCAATCTTGTATTTATTTAATAATTTTTGTAGAACTGAAGCAAAAAATTCAACCATAGGGCTATAAAACATATGGAAACAAAGAAATTTTAAGAAAAGCGTCGTGATCACGTCAGAATGGATCGTCCTTAAGTATTCCTGTTCACGAAAACATCACTTCTCAAAATTAGCTGCTAACTTAAGGTCTCTTAAATTTAAAAAGAATAATTGAGTATTAAATACACAAGTGGGCGACCTTTGTGCTAAAATACAAACTAAGGTAAACAACGTTTAAGAGCACAAAAATATTTATAAATGCAGACAGCTGTTTCGGATGCTCAAAGGGCAACCTTCATCAGTGCAACAGAAAAAACCTTCATCAGTTTTCTGTTGCACTGATGAAGGTTGCCCTTTGAGTATCCGAAACAGCTGTCTGCATTTATAAATATTTTTGTGCTCTTAAACGTTGTTTACCTTAGTTTGTAATTGAGTATTGAGTATATTAAAGTGCGGCGAGCTCTCTGCTTATCGTTTATAGCTCTGCGTTTCAATAGGTAAGGCTTAATTTAGCCTATCAAGATTTATATGAGCTCTGAGGCTCTTCTTCAAATTCAACATGCTTCCACCGAGTCCAACAGGGAACTCCAAAGAATAATAATGCGTAAAGGGCACTCTTTTTCTTAATGTTGCCACTACTTTGTATTAATTTTAAGCAGCTTACATCTACTCTTATGTAGTATGATTTCGTAAGAGTTTCATAAATTTCAAGATTTTTTTTTTTTTTAATTGTTCAACACCGTAAATTTATAGACATTTGCATTCTTCTTTTGCTGCAGTTTGTTGTAAGTCAATGGGGACAATTTCACTCCTTAGTAAAATATTAATTAATTTATTCTTCCAAAGAGGGAAAAATGACTTCCGTCTTCCTAGTTATACTTTCCTTAATATCAGCAGAAAATTATTTACTCATCAAACAAACGTGTTATTGCTAAAAAAGAAAAATCATATAAAAATAACAGGAAACACTGATACGTTCCTGATGAAAGCACATGCATTTTTTAAGACGAAAATTATGAAACCCTTTGATAAAAAAATTTATGATTTTTACAAAATTTCCCATTCAGTTTAACATTTTTTTAGTTATTTCTTTTGTGTAGAATATAGTAAGACTTACCCCCATAGATAAATCAGTTATGCCAGTTCCAGTCTCTACACTACCCTAAAATAAGCAACATTAAAATTAAAGAAACGCTATGACTTCAGACTTGTACACAAATTTTTAATTTTTTTATTTAGTATGTTTAAAAGTATTACACTGCTTTGAAATTATTTATTTCTACCTTTAACCTTTAATTACATTGTGAACAATAACATTCTCAAAATAATAATAATAAAGATTGGGAAATTTTTAAAAATACCAATAAGATGAAATTAAGTTCCAATGATAATCCAGATACCACCAGATATAACCCAGATACTTCTAATAGGAAACATAAAATTGTCAAACAATTTAGTAAAATGGAATAAGATACAACTAAATAAGAAATTATTTTTTCAGCGTTTTCAAAAAATGTGGTAAAAGTAAGAAAATAATATTTTAAGCATTTGAGAAATAATGAAGCTTAGGGTTAAACTATAAAATGGCGGAGGAAATTTTTGTTACAAGGCACTTCTCAAGTTACGCGTTGCCAATAGGCAATAATGTTACCTATTGGTGACGTTATATTGACGACGTCAATAGAAGGGACAATAACGTTGACTTCTATTAATTGGAAATTCGATTAATGGTTTTTTTATAAGCACCAAATATTCACTACTTACAAAAAAAAGAAAAAAAAAAAGAATTTTCAAATAACACTAGGTTGCCTAAAGAAAGTCAGTTTGATTGCTTTTTAACTGCTTTTTCATTTGCAAAAAATGTACAAATAATAATGTATAAATAAATATTTCCTTCCCAAGTGAAGTAAATTTTTTTATTCCTAATATTTACTAATAACTTGTTATATACGTAACTGTAAATAATATAAAAAATATTAAAAATTAAATTAAACAAATTTCTTTACACATTAGTTATTCTTTCACAATGCAGTCATTTTGACTGCTTTTGGGCAATATAGGTATATACTAAGTTTCAGTCGTTCTAGTGTTAAGGAGAGAAAAAAACTAACATTGCATTAACTTATTTTACAAATAAGTGCAACTCGTATTATCACTGGATTAAAGAGCAGCAGCCCTTAGGATATGGCCCTTTTTGAAGTTGACTTGCAGCCTCTCCACATCAGAAGACAGAATATCCTTGTCAAATATTTGTAGTACATGCTTTTTTGAATGTCAACAAATTCTTAGAGCTGGTCTGAATCAGCAAGAACAACAACGTGATTCGTCAGATTTAAACGAATTTGCTTGAAATTGAATTTATTACTTGAATATTGATAAGGAAATAGATTTTATGACTTTATTTTTGACAAGGATTTTAAAAATACTCTGTAAAAATCATTACTGAATAACTTGTATGACTTACTTACAGGAATCGGACCTTTCCATGTCATTACAACAATTGATGGTCTAACTATTCCAACAGGTAAATCAGAGGCCTTTTCCAATAAAATATTTTCTGAGAGAAATTTGCTAAAACAATATGCGTTTATAAAATTTAAATTAGAGGATGACACAAGTTCTTCAAATGATTCATCAGTTCCATTCCTGAAATAAAATGTCAAAGATTAAATTTTTTTTATGTGTAAAATTTAAAAAAAAAAGCGGATTTTTATTTGACTTAAAATTGCAAATGTGTCAGAAAGTATTCGAAAATTGAAAGAATGTTGCAAAATTAATTAATATAACTAATAAACTTTATTGTACACTATGTGGCTGTGTACACTAGTGTTGAAAATTAAGGAAACTTTCAGATTTTGTCCACAATTTTCGAAACCACTAAATCGGTTTAATTAAAATTTGGTTTTAACAAAGGTTGATGTAATACAAAAATTAATAATAATAACCATTCAACAGTAGTGAACACGCATAATCGTGTGTTACATTCTCTGAATTTGATAAATAAGACATAATGGTTACAGATACCGAATCTAACCAAAAAGAAAAAAACGGTTAAATCCAACTGTCAGTTTAAACATTTCAGTATGAATCCAAATCCTTTGAAAGTGAAGAATAGAAAGATATTTACGGAAAATTGAAAAACAAATAATTTTGCTATATTTAACTACTTCTCAAAAAAGGGCGATTCGATCAATTTTGTCAGAAAAAATGAATTGAAAATCTAAAACACCGCGAGCTATATTTCTCAAATTCTCATTATAGGAAATCCTAGTATTTTTGATGTTTCAAAAGACCAAGCAAGCAACATCTTTTTCTTTTCCTTTCTTTTTTTGAAAATTAAACGAAATAATTAAAAGCATACTTAGAATATTACCTCCTTAGGTCATAAAATAGAGACCCCTCTTTAGAATAGAATAGAAAATAGATTAGTTGGAAATAGAATGGAAAAATGCATATAAAATGAAGTTTCCAGTGCCGATAGATTATAGCAGTTTGTTATTTGAATTAAGTTTACTTACTCCATCTCGTCTAAGAACCTTTGAGCTTTATGGGGCAATAAATAAATTTTTTCTTGTATGGTTGTGATATGAGAATTAGCGTAAGCAGTTGATGTGTAAACCAAAACCTATAAAAGGAAATTGCTGTGAAAGTAATCATAATTAAATTATAAAGCAATCTGAAATAATAGCAACTCTTAATTCAAAATTATTTCTAACTAAGGCTAAATCTTAAGGCAAACTAGTAATTTGATTTAGAAGTAAGGAATAATGCAAATAATTTTTTACCAAAAGTAAACCTTAAGGCTAATTTTGATTAACATTAAAGGTTGGACAAACTTGTTATTTATACAAACTTTATACAACTTAAAAAATATTATTTCATAATAAGTTGTGTGTACACTTATTAATTTTTGTCTTGTCTATATAAAAAGTAGTTACTTGAAGTTTAAAGAAATTAAGCACGCACACATTATTTTAAGCAATTAGCAGATTAAAGCACATTTTCTAAATTAGTAATTTTTATTTAATTTATTCATTTGGTGTTGTTGCTGTCTTTTTTTTTTTAAGCTAATGTTTTTGATGCTCACAGAATAAAATTAAAACAATATCAATATACGTTTTCAAACTGATTTCCAAATTCTCTTATTCTATATTTACAGATAACATGTTGCGAAATAGTTGTAAAGAAAACAGTGGTGAAAGAATGCAGGAATGCTGTTCCGGCAAAAGATGTGAAGACAGGAAATCAGGTCAATGAACAAAATTGTCTTATAATTATTATTGTAACTGCTCGAAATACTTTTTATTTTTTCCCAGATAAAGATTTTGGGAGCAACCGCAAACTGGTAAGAATCAAGTATATTATGTCTATGTAAAGAACTCCTACGGCTAAAGAGTTAAGGTTGTCTGCTGCTATGGAAACAAGAAAGAGTATATTTTAGAGAGGGGAGTTTTTGATACTTGTCTCGCCTTCCTCTATCAAATATTATCATATATGTTTACCCTTCACCCCTACATGAAATGCTTCTACCTCGTAACCATTTTCAAAGATTGTGCTCCAGACTACTGGCGAGGGGAGCTCTTCAGATAGACTGATTATACGAGGCTGTACCATGATGTTGTTCTTGTTGATGACTGATCGCAAACCATCACCATAAATTAATCTTTGTAAATCTGTAATGCATATTTGAGATATATTTTATAAATACTGCATGTTGCTGCAGAGTGTCTAGAACTTCGTGTTCAAACTTGGAGAGGAGTAGGTATGGCACATTGTAAGGATTGAGTATTGCACAGCAACCCATGGCCGGAAATGCCATTGTATGTCACTAAGGGAGCTTCCCTTTTATAGACTGTTTGTACATGGTAATTGAACTGGCACTTCAATTTGTCTAAATTATTTTAATTTTATGTTTTCTGATCATTATTGTCAAAAATTGCTTTCAGATGGGCTCAGATTTAGCTCTGTTAAATTTTAGTTCATTGTTTTGGTGACTAACTTTCAGAGTTCTCTAATTTGTCCACCAAATAAGTAAATTACGTTAAAACAGCTACTTCTAGGCTTAAGCAGTTTGTGTTTAAATTTGTTAGAAAACATGAAATACCATGATTTCAATAAATGAAATTACAGGTTCAAATGCCTCCCTTTTATGTCATTAGTATATAAAAGGCAAGCGCACATATTACGTGAGAACACTCGGTTGGTCATGCGTAGCTACTCAATTCTGAATCCTTCTAACGTGCCCTACTCCTTCCAAGATTGTAACCGAAGTTCCAAGACACCCTTTGAGTAACATGAAAAATATTTGCAGGATTTTGAATACGGAAAATTTTTGGGGCATTTAATTTCGAACTTTTTTTTGGTTTGAAGACTAATATACTATTTCAATCTATGCTAGTTGTTGTCATGTTTAAAGTAGTCACATTTGTAGTTATCATTCGAAGCGATCTTTTCTTTATGTGGGGGAATAAAACACGCAAAGTAAAGAGATGCCTAAGAAATGTTTAATTGCCATGTTTGCTTCAGTTTAAATGTTAATTTTGTGATGGTTTCGAATACACTTGTAATGACGATAAGCAGACATTACTGACACCTGCCTGATCGACACTATCGCAATTTAGATCCTTGAAGAGGGGAGCAAATGGATATTAGCAATCATCCTTTCTCCATTCCACACTACTCAACCACCCAATCTTGCTCAGACACTTCTGGTCCTGAGACCAATGGATACATTAGGGTAGATTCCGAATCCCTAAGACATAATTAGAGAAAGAAAAATCCAATTAGACATTAAGCCTTCAGGATGGGATATGGAACCCCGGTCCAGGCAGGGATAGGCGAATATTATGGCCAACATATCGAACGGGAGGTTTTAATTATCGGGAAATGAACGGAATTGTGTAGTCTCCTTTAAAAATATGGTGTAATTACAATAGTAAGATGCCAATCTTTACTTACGTCTAATTTTTTAAGTTTTCTGCAAACCTCGATTACATTATCTGTTCCTTTAGCATTTTGTAAGGATGAATCTCTGAAACAAAAAATTCGGATATTATTAACAGAAGAACTATGAAAACGAGAACAAACTGTCCCCTTTCAAGTTTTGATTTCCCCCCAAAAAATGTTGCTATTTTGATAAAAGTATGTGATTATGAGTGACTCCACGTCTTAGAAGAAATTATCAAAAATCAAAATCGAAGAATTATCGCCTGATAAGAAGTTATAATTATTCAAAAGTTTTTTTTTTGCGAATAAAATAATTTTCACGTATATTTGAATTAATATAATTATACGTTTGGTACTAAGATATTTATTCACAGTAACATATTTAAAAAATAATTTTTAACAAATATATTAATTAATTTCATGCATCATGTGCGAGATAAAACAGTAATAGCCCCTTTATTTTATTTATAATTCGATGATATCGAATTATATTTTATTTATAATTCGATGATTCGATTCTATTATCGTCTAACAATTAATAGAAGAAATCTATATTGATATTGTGAATTTTATAAAATATTGAGAATTGATCGTCTTTCTACTGCTAAAATGGACAATTCTGCGTATTGACGGACAAATTGAAGGCATAGTAGAAATACTTGGAAAAATTTTTATCTTTTAAAAAAAGTTATATATGTTGAGTTAATTTTCCTTACTTATATTAGTGAGGTAGGTATGAATTGATATCAGTATTAGTACATTACGAGTTATCAGTACATTACATGTTACTACAAAACCATTAATGTATCAATACATTAATGGTTTTGTAGTAGCATGCCACTTTTTTTAAAGGATCTACAATCGCTTTCATTTTGATTCGACTTTGGAAAATAGGCTACAGTAACAAGTGACGAAACAACAATTAATCTAATAAATAATTTGGAATTCGACAATTTAATGCATTTTTCAGAAAATTAATATTTCGAAAATCAAAGTAATAACTATCGTTTTGAAAACTTACAGATAGTTTCGCGTATTCCCTGTTCTTCCAAACTTGAAGTAAGGAAGTGGAGTTAGAGAGAAACCACTTAAAGTGTGGTAAGCCGGTATTGTTATTGTTCCGTTGTTGTTTGCAACCTCTATTTCGGAAAATTTCGAAGCTGTTGTAATATCTCGTTAACTTAAGTTAGATACAGTGACTCTAGGTAAAACTTATATTTTGAAATAAATGTATAGAGAAGCTAAAGATAAAATTTGTTTTTTAAAAACCCATTTTAAAGACTCTCCTTTATCTTATTACTGGCCAATTTAGGGTAATTTTTATTGTATAAATTAATTTAACCGATAAATTGTTAGAATCTTTTGCCTTTTTAGAAATGCTTACAAAACTACAGTTCGCATATTGTTCAAAGATAATGCTCTTACTTACAAAATGCCCTTGTTTTCTTCTTGGTGTAAAATAAAAAATAATAATCTCACAGTCAGTACAATTTAAAATCATTACTGTAATCGGACTAAAGTCGGACAGTCTTTGCTGCAACACGTTGCTCCAAAATTCAAACATGATTGTCCCGAATGCCAATAATCTAATATATATGATTCTCTTACGTGGCTCCCAAATTTTGACTGTATTTCTTTTCAGCCGGTGGCAACGTTTGCTTTGATGGCGAATCAACCAATGATTGCCGCTAAAAATGTCACATGTCAAATCTAGCTGAGGTGGCTCAACATATAGCGCTTTTAAAAACGGAAACTGAAATAACCAGAGAGCATCAGCTGCGGCAATCTCATACTATTAAGCTAGGCAGAAGTGAGTAGTCTTTGTCGATAGATCTCTATTTTAGTATTTTGTCGAAAGCGCTTTTTTTCACGAATTTATATATTATGAATCTATTAGACGATTTTTGATTTATATCACGAATTATACTATAGCACATTTCTAATAGGTTTAACGAATTACATGTCATTTATTTGAATTCAAATTTATTTTATTTACTTAGTATTTACCAAAAAGATGTAATTTTTTTATTTTTTAAAAAAAGTTTTTATATGGATTTGAATGATTGTTTTGAATTCTTTGAATTTTGTGCATTTGCAATGTACCTAAGTTAGTAGCGAGCGAAGCGAGCTTGGTTTGCGAAGCAAACCATATAAGATTGCGTAGCAATTTTCGGGGGTTGGCGAGCAGGGTGCGCAGCCCACTGGTTTACTCATAAAAACGCGTTTTAAAATATACTATTTTGAGCCCATATCTCAATTCCTGAATGCACAGGAAACTTCATCAAGAATAAGATGTTAATAGTTCCAAGTAAATCGAATGCCATTGTAATCGATGTAGACATTAGTGTCACAGAATTTATTTTATTAATTGTTTTTCGAACTTAGTTTAAAACATGTGCAGTTACATAACAATAAATGAAACACTTTTTATTTGCCTTCCCCTTCTCATCTTCAAAATACTGCCTTCGTTAAAAAGAAATGAGATTACCTTACCTAAAAGATTTTGAGAAGCTTATACCAGCCGCTCCATGGAATACAATTGTAACCTCCTCACAAAATTTTCTCAAATCCTCTTCACTCATTCCTAAGTTTGGCAAGGAAGTATCTCCAGGTATTACTTGAACTTTTTCCTTTAACTCTGGATGGTATTTTGATATTGATTTTAGTATCTATAGGACAATAAGTAAAAATGTTTAAAAAAAAGCAAGTATCTAAATAATTTTGGTCGTATGTGCATTCCTGCATTGAGAAATAAGTATCATGAGAATATATTTTCATTTCCGTTTTTTCAACTCACGCAGTTAAAGAATCTTTTATGTCTTGAATAAACAAGTCACGACAGCCTGTTTCTTATGAAACAGTGAAACTTAATTTCTCTGTTATATGGGTTTTTAAAGAAAAGATAGTTTTTAAGAATCAAGTCAGACAAATCTTCTTTGAGTATTTTAATTTAAAACATGTTTTATATATTAAATAATTTATGTTTTATATATTAGTTTTATATATTAGTTTAATATACGTTTTAAAATATGTTTTAATATTGTGTACATTATGGAGTCAGAGTTGCATGGACATATGGAGTTTTAAATTTCAAGCTAAAAAAAATTCCAAAAATCTAAAATGAATACATATATTGAACATATACCTATTTTTTTATATAATTTTCTTGGATTAAAAATAAGTACTTTTATGACCATTTCTTTGAAAATAATAAGATCGTTACGAGGTGAGGGAAAATGACATAGCTAGGATGAAGAAAGATATCAGTATGGATTCTTGATACGATGGTTAAAGGCGAGTTACAGGTGAGGTGATATCAATTGGGTGAATATCTTCTAGCTTTTTTTAACTCTTTGGATTATTGTTTTGGCCCCAAATCACTTTAGCAGTGCCTGTGATACATAAAATTTTCTACACAATTATCAAACGTACTTTTATTATTGAACTTTCTAAATCATTTGAATTTTCATGCATTTCTTTTTCATTTCCATTAAGTAGCACCCATTTATGAAGAGACTGTTTTCTTTACTTTTTTTCGAAACTTTTAAGATACTAGTATAAAAGATCTTGGCATTCGAAAAAAAAGCTATCTACTTATTTGAAATATATTTTTGCTTTTTCTCAAACTAATTGAATTACCTTAAAACATGAATTTTTTTTAACAAAGATATTAAAAGAAAACAGCGCTTGTTATTTATTTTCAATAAAAAATAAACAAACAAATCGCTGACGAATAGAAAGATAATTAAAATTGAACTTAAAATACTCAAAAGGCTAAAGCCAATAAATTTAAGTTTTATAAATACCTATTATTACATAAAATGATTTAAAAATTACACAAAAGTTAAAAAGCCCTTTATTTTGCATGGAATATAATTTCGCATAGATAATAATAAATAATAAACTGCAAATAGATAATAATAAATTGTAGTTCTTAATTTGGTTACTATTGAATAAATAATGCGCTCATTTAACCTTGGGAGCATTATAATTTTACTAAAATTATATATTTAAAATATTTCGATACAAAATTTACTCAGTCAATTTTTATGACAAACAAAATTCAAAAATATCGATACTCGTCCCATGGTCTATAATTTGTAAAATTTTGAATGACCTTTTGTGCAAAGGGTCAACAAAAGGATTTATACATTAATAGTTTGAGTGGAAATAGCAGAGCACAAAATGTCCTGTCAATACAACGGTTGACTATAGTTTGTCTAAAGTAAGAACTCCCCTCGCCATTCACCTGGACCCGTGGCGGTGACTATAGTAACGAGGTATAGCAATTTTATTTAGGAGTGTGGGGTCGGCGCGAGAGAGGGAATCTTTTTCTTCGGTTTATTGTGTTAGCCCCAGAGTGGAGAGAAACTACCCTCCATGAAATGCGCTATTCTTGTTTCCATAGCAGTAGACTGCCTGAGACTTTATGGCGGGGGGAGTTCTTACCGTAGACAAACTGTATGGATGACTGATTAAACAACAACAAGCTTCCTAAAATCGGAAGAAATATAGAAAACTACCGGTGTACCCCTTCGCTTACATTATGTTTACGCGACGGCCTGTTAAAAGGCTTGATATTCTGGGAGATTTTATTTTTGTGAAAGGTGTTAAAAATTTACGATTAATTTTTACCATTCATATGTTTTCATTCTCGAGTTTTCCGTAATTTGTAAATTCTAAGAAATTGTGGGTCGTATGTAAATTTGAGAAAAGTAATATCTTAGCATAAATAAAGCGTAAGATTACCCATATTTTCAGCGTTATCTTTTATTTGGCTATACAATTTGTGTAAAATATCGCCGCGTGTTATTTTTTTTGATAGCATCATAACATGCTTGAGGAGTTTTATGAATTCGCTTATTTGTTTCGTTGATAGTTAAATTGGAAAAAAAAAGTTATATTGTAAACAAATAATACAGGATAGTCAGTTTTTGCAGCTTAGGCGTATACTAAATCGGAAGTAGTAACCCGGAAGTCTTTAACGATTTTTAACTGTTGACGCCACCTGTGCTTAGCTTCATACGGCTATTGATCCAATGATATAGGAAGTATTGCCATTTGTAAAACGGCGTGTTTTTTGAAAATACAAGATAACTCCACTGAAGATTACTTCCACTGAAAATATTTTGCGTTTTTTGTGGCTTTCTGTGTTTTTTTCAGTTCTAAGGTGACATTAAGAGCAACGCCTTATTTTTTTCCTTCCCGTTGATGAGAAATTAGTAGACTGGTGGAAGCTAAATGAAACAAAATATCCTTAATTGTGATTCTAATTTATCATGAATGATTATTTTTCAAAACGCCTTCCTATTAATAATGCTACCTGCTTTTGATGATTAAGGAAACTAGGGTCCTTAACCTCGCTATAGCTTGCCTTCTCTAAAAAAAATTAATTAAAAAAGAAAACTAATTACCACATCAATAACATTTTTGTATGAGAATGTTTCTTAAATAATACCTGACAAATATGCGAAGATCCGTGTTATTTCAACCATTAGTTTTTGCGCTATGAGAGTGAGATTGCGAGAAGAGAAAATTTTCTAAAGAAGTAACAGCAACAATTATAACTTTAAAAAAAATAATACACATCAAAGGAAACTTGGTTCTTTAAGGCATTAAAATTATGGTTACTTTTGTTCTGAGCATTTGTCAACGCCATCTAGGGAATGTTTTTTTAACTGCTGTGGTATGAAGTGAACAGAAATGTGTCATCTCTGTTCTTTACCATGTGTAGTGAAAAATAATTAGTGTTTATAGAGTCATTTGATTCCATGTAATTACTGAAATAAAATATGAGGTATCGACATGAGCTGCGAGAAAAATCCAGTTTTATTAACCGTGTTGCCGTATTATCAGTCAACTAATCTAGAGTTCTGAATACTCTGCCAATCTCTCTGGCCTAATTTACAAATTATTAGGGACTTTGCAATATGAGTAGTAACATTATTATCATCATACTTCATATGTCCTGTAAGATTTTTTAAAGCAAAAAGATATTTTTCTCTCCTCTCGAAGATTGAGGTCCCAAATGACTTTTTGATAGACCACCCGTTCTCAGAAGTAAAATTCTATGCATGATTACTTGAAAGGTATTGTTCATAAAACTGGTTAAAAAAAACAGGTTGCGCATTAACTGAGTTTTATCGGAAGGGAAGTCAAAGCACGATAAAAAAAAATGCGATCAAAAATACAAATCTTAAAATCAACTTAGGGGAAACATTCGCTTTTTTTTCCACACTTCTTTCCTAACCATTAGATAATAATAAAAAAGTTTTACACAGCGTTAGCACTCTCACTGTAATGGTAACCTTATTCTCGCAGCGATATTGTAGTTAGTTGGGAAATTTCCGCTCATTCGCTATGAAGCCCAAAAAGTGGTTGAGTAAGATTAGAAGAAACCCTAAATCTTTAGGAAATATTTCTAATAAATCAAATATTTTCGCTGCTTAGTTATGATTGCCCCTAATCTATATTTTTAGAATTCCTGTCAAAAATTAAATAAAAGGAAACGTTTTTGAGTCACAAATTAATATTTAAGTGACACAAAAATCACCATTGAGAGAGGTGGGACTGAATATGGCAAAATCAGTTTGATTTATTGGGGGATCCAAGAGGTGTTTTTAATGATTAATCTTTGAACACCTCTCTGTTTCAAACGGTAATAAAATACGTTTTGATCGTTTTTCGTCTGATCTTCCACAATAGTAATTTGCCAGATTTTGAAGTAATTTAACATTATAACTTTATCGCTTAAACATTCAAAATAGCAAGAATTCTATATCTGCATACTATATGAGTTCGATTCGGGACACCCTTCATAAATATAACACAAGTTTCGGTTTCAACTTTTATCGAGAAAATTGACTGATTCGTAAACTGGTTTGCTTTTCATGTAAATGCTACAGAAACAACCTTTAACAAAGCGAGTACGTGCGTTGAACAAAGCTTTTCAGAAAGTGGTTAATCACCTAATATACAGTTTTAAAAGCATAATATTACATAAAACGGAACTGAAAATTGCTTTATGTACTCCAAATGCTTAGCAGACAAAATTAAGATTTAATAATTTTCTCTAACTAGTGGAACTTCATGGTATCTAAATGTAAAACAATTGTTCTCTTTCTGATTAATCTTGTTCTCTCCTGGTGATCTTTCTGATATTGTTCTCTTTCTGATTGTTCTGGTTCTCTCCTGGTGATCTTTCTGATATTGTTCTCTTTCTGATCTTCTATTATTGTTTGTACAAGATTAATAAATATTTTCTCTAACTAGTGGAACTTCATGGTATCTAAATGTAAAACAATTGTTCTCTTTCTGATTAATCTTGTTCTCTCCTGGTGATCTTTCTGATATTGTTCTCTTTCTGATCTTCTATTATTGTTTGTACAGCATGATAAGAACAGGATTTTAAGATATTGAGACACTTTATATTCCTCTTTCAAATGAGTTAAACTCTTTTAAATGGGTTTACATGAAAACTTTTATAACGTTTTAAATATTAATCTTACCAACTTTGTATTCACCACTATCGATTCAGAGTAAAAAGTGAAAGAGAAAACGATTATTTTCGCTTCTAGATAGGAACACAAAATGCAGAATTTGATATAAGTCAAAATTTGTTTGTTGTCTATTAAACCCTTGATAATTATTAAACTATTAACCCAATTGACGTGATTGGTTTCATTCGATTTAGTGTTAAAAAATGCATCGTAAACATTTGTCATTCTCATTTATCTAGACAACAATATTTAAATATATCCTTCCTTTTACTTGTTCTTCTTCACCCAATATTAGGAATAAAAAATGCTTCAATGTAGAAAAATCATGTTCGTAACATATATTACCAATGATTAAAATTTTATGATAACTTTTGTTTACTATAACAAAATTCAATAATTGATTTATTTTAGATTCATAAGAAATATAGTTTCTTTTTTGTTTTGTTTATCATAAACGAATTAAGAAGATAACTTACTCTTTTATTGAATATTTCTTCCTTTCTTTCAAGTGGCTGTACATTCTTTTTAGGTCTCAAAAGTATATAAATGCGGAGTATGTCTGGGAAGCATCTTAATAAAATTTCCAGAAAGTACTGAAAAAAATTTATAAAGAACTTATTGATGTTATGACATTGAAACTTTGAAGAAGAAGTTATAAAACATCGAGAAAAAAATAATATGGAAATAATAAAGTTGAGAAATTTAGGCTGTTCATAAGAAATGATGTATTAGTTATTCATATGCAAGGTGATTAGAAAATAGTTTTACCAACATATTATTACAATAGTTTTACCATCATAAAAAAATTAAATTTTGTACAAATATTATAAGGAATGCTCTCAAATATTAGGTAAAAAACGAGTATTCAGTTATTCTTATTACAATGACAATTTTTTTAAAAAGAATGTCAGATTTAAAGTGCTTTTAAAAAAATTTAAAATTTTTTATTTTCTTTTTATTAAAAATTAAAAATCAGGAAAGTAAAATAACAAAAATATATTATCTCGTCGTCAGCTCACACAATTATATCTGCGAAAAAGGAGTGCTTTCTAATATTGTATAAACAAAGACAAAACAATCAAAATATATCGCTAGAATAGTGTGAGGAGTACCAAAAAATTGTAACAGAAATAAAACATATTAAGAAAGAAATGTAAAATAAAAAATATTAAGCGAAAAATAGAAAATAAAAATTCAAGAAAAATGCAGAATAAGAAACAAAATATAACTTATAAAGTGACAAGAGAATTCAAATGTACTTCCACAAACCACTTGCAAAAATGATTTAAAATATTTTCGTAACAAGTTTGGCAGATTACAAAATATGAAAATAAAAGTGTTGAGGATAGTGGGGTGTATTTTATGGCTTTTATTTTCATATTTAAAATATTATATTTCGTATTTAAAATATTTCATATTATTTTGTTTTAATATTATAAATTCGCTATTCGATATATAAGTTACATTTTTGCCTTAAGTAATGTGTGTTACATATTTATATAATATTACATGATTCATATGTTTCATTTTGTATTTTTTGCTTAATATGTCTTATTTTCATTTCAATTTTTTGATGCTCCTCAGACTACTGCATTGTTATATTTTGCTTTGGCTGTATTAATTCTATATTAGAAAGCACACTTTTTTGCAATTATAATCGTGTGAGCTCACTACGAGGGTATATCTTTTCTTTCATTTTTTTCCAGGTTCTTAATTTTTTAAAAACATATTTTTTTGGAATTATATTATTATAGCATAGTACATATACCAGCTTACATATAATATTATTCTAGAATTATATTATATGAATCCAAGTACTTTTTTTAAAATAAAGTTCTGGAACGATGCAATATATATATATATATTCTGTGAAAGCTTTGATTTATAAATATTTCAATCGTTTTATATTGAATACGATTTTATTTTAATGCATGGAATATACATACATTGATCGAAAATATTACATTCAAAAGTAATGATTCATAGAATTTTTCTACATACACAATTATAAATTTCAGTGCTCAGGGGAAGCAACAGTTAATTTCGGTGTTCAAGGGACGTAACAGTTTTTAGTTATTTATTCTAACATATTCTCGTATGTATAAAAATTTGAAAAATAAGGTTAAATAAAAAGGAAGATAGCTAACTAATCTTAATTGATGAAACGCATCGTTTCCTGAATCGAAAAAACTGATTATTAATCCAGACTTCATAAGCGCATCTGTTTCATGAAACATTGTTAAAACTAAAATATACCTTTAAATTATTATTGAACCAACGTAAATCAAAAACCATAATTAAAAAGCAAAAAGAAAAAAAAATGAATTGTTTGCTTTTAAACTCTTTATTTCTGTTGAACTTATAGCTCAGCTTGTTTTAGTTTCCGTTACTCACTCGAAAATAGAAACATTCATTCAGGAATTTGTAAAAATAACTTTTAAGTAAGTATTCACGCGTATGATTGCTCATTTGTTTGACACATTCCAGCTTTCAGTTCCACCACCGCGAAAAAAAAAACATTATTTTTTACTTGCGCATGCATTAGATTTTTTTATCTAATTCCTAATTACCGCATGTATTTTTTTTTCTCGAAATTTTTTTTAAATGTAAGATAAAAACAATATTTGAAGAATAACAATATATAAATAAGAAGATGACTGCAGTTAATAAATTGGCTGTAAAAAGTGTTAAAAAGGTGTTTTCAACCTCATGCCTGTAGGCACCATTGCGCACGGCTATCCTTTTACGCGTAACCGCTGCTCGACAAAGATAAAAAAAATTTCTGTTTTCTATGAAATGCAGTGAAAAATTATAAATCTCAAATATAAATTTGCCATGAAAAATAAATGATAAAAGCTGTGCGACCGGTATTCTAGAATTTGTTTTTAGTTACAAAAGATTAGGAGCCCACTGGTCTAGAACAGGGGTTTCCAACTTTCATGAGGCCGGGGGCCACAATTAAAAACACAAATCAAATAATGGGCCGCAACTTTATCAAAATTTAATGTAGGACTCTTTGATGTTTGAAGGAACATTAAATATAACAGTCAGATTTTTATAAGTTGTACAAAACAAAAGTATTGAATTACAAATCAAAATTAGTAGATTTTTAAAAATATTTAATTGCATATTGAAAAATTTAGGCTACAATAACTTTAATGTGCACCCATGTATTAAACAAATAATGTGCAACAGATGTCTAATTGCTAAGATATAAAACTTTAAAAAGGTTGATATTAAAACTTACATAGTAGCACACAAAATGTTCAATGAGAAAATTGAGGTTTGTCTGCTGCAACCACCAGAGAATAGATATTTACATTTAAAATTTACAAATGAGTGCGTAAATATTTTCGTCCAAAATCAGTGGTTTCAAAAAGTTAAATCGGAGAATTTCTTCGAGAAAATTTCTGACACACACATGCTGAATTATATTCACAATATACAAAAAAAATGAAATAAAAAAGAGCAACATACACGATTATTTTTGTATTATTTTCTTGGATGTAAAACCCGAGAAATTAATTTTTTTCCCCGTTGGTTTGTTAAATTTCCCAGAAACGAAGAAATTAGGTTTCTTTTAACGAGAAAAATATTTTAAACCCATATAGATTTTTTACGAAAATTGTCCGCGAAATAAATAACAACTAATATATTTTAGTTCGCGGGCCACAAAAAATGGCTTCGCTGGGCGGATGCGGCTCCCGGGCTGCCAGTTGGAAACCCATGGGTGAAAGCCCTTATATAGCAAGACGGAAAAGAGAAAAACCTGGTACGTAAAACATTTCATTCCAGCATTTTTTCCGAAAAAAAAGAAATACCTGTAACTATCAAGATTTCTTTTATAATTCTGGCATATATATAAAACTGCTTCTTTTCCAAGCTAAAGTAGATATTGTTGAAAAATTTAAAAAAAGAATAAGTAAACTCCTCCCCAAAACTAGCTATAACTGAAATGGTTTTACTACCAGCCTTTCCTCTTTTCCGTCTCGCTTTCACCCCTGTGGAAACCCGTGCTCTAGAACATTCTCGGATTGGCATTATAGTCGCAAGAAAAATTTTGTATGTAACTTTCAGGGAAAGCAAGCTCGGATGACAAATGATGTATCTTTAATAAGAATTTCCTCGTTAAAAAACCTGTTTTTATGTTTATATCTTGTTTTCGTACTTTCTCGAAAGTCACGTAACACAGCACTCCACGTTCAACATCATTAGGCAGTCGTGGAATAAATAAACGCAGAATATTTAAATTTAAGATTCTATTATGAAAAACCCTTTTTCTAGAACATTCCTTTGATTGGATTAGAAATTATTTCTTATTTAAATGCATAGTTATTAAATTACGCATAAGAAATTTATTGTTACGTATTCCGCGTCCTTAAACAAGAATTTTATATTTATTTTAGTGCCAGAGTTTAATAAATTTAAATGTCTGGAAATGGAATTCACTTCTGGACGAATAAAAAAAATGTTAAGTCCAAAATTTTGATATTTAGTATTATAAAAATTACGACGTTTTCTTTTGAATAACCTGTGCATTATCACAGCATTTTGATAATTTTTTATAACTTATGTACAGTACTTAAACTGCGAGTTCACCGAACTTTAAGTTGGTATTTAACTTTTTCCAAGATTTCAAGAGCTATTTTTTTTTTTTTCAAAATTGAAACTGAAAAAAATATAGCTAAAAAATATTTTAAAATCGCAGTAACTTTCGAACAAATAAATAAATTTAGAAATTTAAAAAAAAAAAAGTTCGCGTTAAGGATATAAATGAATATTGCTCGTTCAGCACGTCAAATTTCAACTGTGTGATTGCATTTCTGAGGACTGAATAGGGGTTAACATGATTATTTTTAATTCTAAGTTTAAATCGAACAAGGAAAGTTTAATAAGGAAATAATAATAAATCTATTATTTCCTTGCCAAACGAAAGATACAAAAACAGTACGTTTATGTTGAGTTAAAAATTATCTGTTTTTCGCTATTAAGACAGAATAGTTAATAGAAGAATATATATTTTTGTTGCTTAAGTGAGCAACTATATAAGAAAAAAAGTTAAATTGAGGTCATTTTTGTTTATTTCTGGTATCAGTAAAGAAAAGCAAAAGCTACCACCATTTTCTTCGTAATACCCATTATTTTAATAAAGCAATGAATGTACGACCCCCGAGGGAGTTATCTTCTTCCCAATCGAAGAAAAATTCTTCTGCTATTCTTAAAATTCCTGCCGTGCACTTCAAAAAATTTTACAGAACACAAAAAATAACAGAAGATTAATGACGGGATCTTCAAGGACTCAATCTTAATGGTTCAAGGAGGTGTCCACAAATATGCTAATTAATTAGTGCAGAGAAAACGTTTAATACGTTTAAAGTTACACAAAAACGTATTTTCTATGAATATTTATATTTTTATTTTATTTCCAATGAGCTGCACAATCGGTCTTGCCGATGAGCAGACCTAGTGCGTTCTCCAGAGGTGGTATCCACTCTTTCAGGACCACCACAATGGGTGAGATACCGTTGGTCATGTTAATTTGGACGTCTAATTTCTGCCACACTAGATGGCAGCTCCGAGACTGTTTTCTATGAATATATATACATTTTTATCGACAGATTCGGATTTCTGAACCCCAAAATCTAGTGTATAGTCTCAATCTGGGAAATATAGTCAGCAGAGCGGTTCAAAGGTTGGACCCTTTAATGTTATTTTTACTTTTTGTGTAATTCCCCAGACGCTACCCTACAATAGTGAAAGAGACACATTCAGTTTTTGATATATTTTTCAAAATTTTTCACGAAATACTTAAAGGATTATTTGTTAACTTTAGAGTTATCTTAGTTCACGCGATTTTTCATACTTAGCAAGAAAAATTTAAAGCTTTCAGGGGGTTGAGAGACCTACAATAAATTGCGAATATTTCTGTACACCTAATGCCAGTAAATTATGCAATAAGCTTGTAACTTGCATCGATTACATTAGTTGTTATATTTTTAATAACTGCTTGAAGTTTCTTAAACCTAGGGTAAATATTCATGAAGATATGGACATTTGTATAAAAAATAAATTTTTTCGTCTTACGTTTTTGCATTATGACTTTATTGATATTCAAAGTAATGAAACAAAATTTTTGGAGCAATTTAAGATCATTTATGCAAAATTGTCGATTTAAAAATTTAAAAAAAATTGCTAATTTTCGCAACAAGTCGAAAATTTGTTATCAAAACATAATTCCATGCAAAATATAATTTCTAGTAAATATAATAAATATTTAATATTTTCTTTTAATAAACAATAGAAAAATTTTAATTGTAAGGTATACAATTCTTTACATGATTTTATTTGAAATGGCAAAATACAAAATTTAAGCGAAATCGGCTGAATAGTTCTTGAGAAATCAGATTCTGAAAAAGTCGTATTTTTAAATTTCGATTTCATAGGAACTCCATGTAATTTTGATACTGAATTGATTAAGATAAAGTAAGAATTGATATGATAAAAAAGTAAGAAGTTATAATGATTTTCTGTAAGAAAAAAGTACAATCTTGTACTAGTATTTATATAAGCATCTGTTGTTTGCTAAACAGACACGTGAGGTATTGTTTCTTGTGCAATTTTTCTAGCTTAATATAATGAATACAAACAGAGAAATATTTCGAAGGTTGCAATGGTTTCTTTTTATTTATAAAAAGTACTATTTTTGAATTGTACTTATTCTGAAAAATTATAATTTCAAAGCTATTTATCCTATAAACTTTTTCTCATTCAATTCTGTCTGCAAAATTACATCAGAAAATGTACCCTACAAGTTTTTGTAATGGAATATGTACAAATACAAATTTGTACATGAAACCCATATAGCTTCTAAACGATTGGTTCAATCATCTCGTAATTGATTTTATTCTATTCATCGTGAAAAAAATACCTAACTTGCCTGTCATGAAAAAATTCAATTCTCCCCTTTAAACCACCCCATTTCTCTCAAAAGAGGTAGTAGAAGCCGCGATGGCTCAGGGGATAGAGTCTTCCAATGAGGCCTACGTTTGCCTTCCAATGAGGTGAACCGGGGTTCGATCCCGGCGATGACTGGTCGATACGAATTCCGCAGCCGGCTTGCACCGACCACAGTGCTGACGTGAAATATCCTCCGTGGTAGACGGATCATGGGTTAGAGTCCCTATGCCGTCAGGCTAACCGTGGGAGGTTCTCGTGGTCTTCCTCTCCTTGTAACGCAAATGCGGGTTAGTTCCAACAAAAAATCCTCCACGAAGGCAAATTTCTCCCAATACTTGATCCAGGAGCTCCCTTGTCTTCTGGATTGAGTTCAAAATTACAAGGCTAAGGAGTAAAATATTGGTAGTTGTAAACCCATAAATTGGGTCGGCTGTTCAACGACGGTTATAAAATATAAACTAAAAAGAGGGAGTAGCGAACAGAGGAGAAAAGGGAAGTTTTCAGGTATCATTTATATTGACAAAACAGAGCTTTCTGACAAAAAATAATTTTGGTGTAAATTTTTCGGGTGAAATACCCTTTTGCTAGAATTACTGAACTATGATGTACTATTTTATCGAAACGAGTTGTGCCTAGACTAGTTTTGCCCACGAAGAGTTGTGCTCACGTTGCATTGTCACGTCACCATGATGCATTGTGTTCACGACGGATTATTCCACGAAAAATTGGGCATGCCAAATTGTGAACATCGAATTGACGCAAAATCTAATTGTCATACAGTTATAATTATCAACAAAATAGTCAAATTATCCGAAGAATTTTTCATTTTTGAAAACCTTTTTTCGTTCAATTATTTTTGTTTAAGCCGCGAAAACCAGCCCCTGGTTATGGCCTTGATTGCAAAAATTTTTTAAAATTATTTTCCAGCACAATAGCCTAACAGTAAGACAAGCCGTTCCAAGAAATCTCGAAACTCCAATAAATTATAAACAAAATAATTTAAAAATTATCACTACAATTAGATGCATTTCATTCAAAAAAAAAAAAAATAAAATAAAAAAAACAAATAATTAAAAAAAAATTTTTTTTTTCCTTCTAACTATTACGATTTGAGTCCCGAAAATCCAACTCTAGTTATGGCCTTGATTATAGATACAAATATAAATTATTTTCAAACAATTTATGCAAATAATAAGATAAAACATAAAGACTGACCGTTCCTATAAATCCAGCAGCACCAGTTATAAATATTGTTTTTCCACTATAAAACTTCGTCAGAGAATCATCCGCCATTCTTGATAGAAATCGGGGGCTGTCTTATTGCGGTAGAGAGTGAAATCATTTCAGATTCTTTATTAACAGAAGTGGTCTTAAGTATTTACGTAATCATCCAATGGAATAACAAATAGGCGTGTTTAATCGCTTTTTTGTTTTGTTTTTAGTTTCAGCTTTCCTTTTTTTGAAATTTCGAGAAAAAAAATTAAAAGCTAATTAACGGATCTTGCATTTTCTATTAAATAATGATAATATTTACAGCTATTAGAAATTAAAATAATGTGGATAGCAATTTTTTCTTAATTTATTTAAGGAGAACGAGGAGACAGAAAGAAAACATTTTAAAAAGAAAAATACGTTAAGCTTAATGTTTCCTTATATTAACAACTCTACTAGAAAAATACTTTTACTTGATATTTCCTGATGTTTTTGTCAGGTAACAGTATATTTACTGAATTTTTAAAACACAATTTTGCTTATTAATTGCCCTTGAAGACTGATAGATTCAACTTTTAATAGTTTATTTACTCGTTGCGTAGCTGATTTATGTTTTGACCCAGACCTGGTCCAACCTTGAGATATTTAAATAAGAACTAGTCTCGTGAATATTAATTTGCGTGTCTTCATTTATTACAGATTATTTTTCAGACAACAGATTATTTTTGAACGATTTAAAATTATGTGTATTGCAAGCTACTTTTACCCTCTCCACATTAAAAGTTACAAAAAAGTAGTTTTTTTTTACGAATATATGGTTATAGATGTATTTTTACATGCTTGTATATATTACGATTTGGAACTCTTGAATATTTTTTCCCGTGGCCTGATAATTGTTTGATAAAAGTTAGCACATTTAAACGGACATAATCCAAGAGATGCATTTGTAATAACGATTTAAAATTTTTGTCATCATTATTAAATTTAAATTATTAGCTTGTTTTTTTATTATTTATATATTTGTCACAAAGAATATTTCAGATTTTAAATATAAAGTCTCCCGAACAAGCATTGCATACATAATATAATTTTTTTTATTTCTTCATTAATCAAACATTCTTAGGTGACTTTTATTCTTTTTGCCTGATAACTGATTAACCACAGATTATCGATATATTATAAAAGGAAGATTAAAACACAACAAAAATAGTAACGATTTAAGTATTTTTCCATTATTGACAATTCCTTTTCTTTTTCGAGTATCATATTTTTATTATTGTTTATTTATTTGTAAAATACATTTAAAGGTCTTTTTCAGACAGAAAAGGGATTCTCCATGTGAACCTTCGGATAATTATATGTCTGGAATTTCACTTACTTATTCAGTTACTAATTAAGATTTCTGAATAATTTTTGCTTCATTTTATGTAATGGAATGTTTTATATTGAACAAATTTACAAAATTTTACTTTAGGGTTATAGGTATTATTGAAACATGAACTTTGAAAAACTTTAAACTCTGAAGCAACCTCACAATATGGTATATTCATTTTCTTTAAAAATATTAAATAAGTAAATGTATTTCCCATTTTTACGATTTCATAAAAAGTTGTTATTGGCTCATAAATAATGTTAAAAAAATTCTTTATTAGTTGCCTTTATTAAAAATTTAACAAATATAGATATCAGAATATATAGATAACAAATACAAGTAACAGAATACAATATGTAAAATAACAGAATACATTATATTGATAACAGAAGACTGGAAATTTTCACATAATTTCAGATTTTGATAATTCGCATTGAGTGTGGAGACAGAGTTGCATTTTATATTAATTTAGATGCCTTACATACATTTTTTTTCTTAGTAAAAAGCAGCTCCGTTGATAATATCGATGCATGTGTGGATAAATTGCTGACAAATGCAGCGAAAACCAATAATTTGGAATTATTTTCCATTTAAGGAAGAAAACTCCACTTTAAGAAGAAAGTCGCTTTTTTATCAATTCAAATGCTACGCCAACTTTACTGAGGGTCACATTAGAGGATTGGGCAATCTTCATTGAAAACGCGCGTGCTCCATATCTGTTCATAACAGAAGACAGAAAATTCTTACAGAAATCGAAACCAAACAAATTAATTTTAATTCTACAGGCTAAGTTTCAGTTATCGGTTCAACAGCTGGCGTCATGGTAGAACTGTTACCTCTCCTTTGAAAATCAAAATGGATTTTTCATTTAATGGCTCATCAGGAGAAGCTGGCAAGTTATTAGACAGCTACAGGCCTGCCGTTATATCGAACATGAATGTTTGGATGCTTTCTTCAAATTGACGTGTGAGGGGTGCAATTTATAAAAATCAAGCGCAATTCAAGAAATATATCGAAATATACTATGCCAAGTTATTAAATATGAGATATTGCAATCAGAATTAGATTTACAAATATATTATAATGCATTTACTGATAGTATTGCATTTATCATTGAATTTTTATTATCTTTATGGTGATTGAATTTTACAAATGTATGTAATTATAAATTTTGGAATAAAAGAATGGGTGAACTTATCCATTTGTGAACGTTGTGCTATTCTCTTTTAAACTTTGATTTATTGTGAATACAAATTTTCGATTAAGACACATTTAAACGCATTATTTTGTATAAATATATAGTACTCAGTGTTTTGTAGTTGAAATTGGGAAACAGTTCCAATCGTGAGATTGCTTAAGAGTAAAAATGAAATAATTTTTAAAAATTTTACAAAACAACAACTCTTTTATGGTTTTACTCGATAAAGTAAAAATTTAAATATTGAGTGTAACTTTCAAATTTTATGAAAATCGTATTAATATAGTCTCAGTTAATTTTTCTGATATTATTTCATTTTATATAAATTTTTATCTTAAAATGTGTTGCAAGATTTTCTTATTAACTTTAGAAAGAAAGCAGATAAAAAGACGGAGGTTTTCGATTACTAATAACAATATCAAATAAATTACCAACTTTAAAAAAAAATATACGAAATTCCTGCAACGCATTTTATGATGAAACTGATATAAAAAAAACATGTGTCTGGAAAATTAACTGAGACTATATCGACTCGACTCTCATAAGTTAGAAAGTTACATTCAGTATTTTAATTTTAACTTTTCCGAGCAAAACCTTAGAAAAACTGTTGTTTTTGAAGGTTTTTTTAAAACTATTTTATTTTATATTGTTTAACCTTATGATTTTTATCAAGTGATTAAAAAATTGCCTTCTTAAATTTTTTTTTTCAAATCGTTTCTTCTTTCTGTAAATTTGATACTGGCAGTAAAACTCGATGTAAGATCAGTGGTATTCATATTGCATATAACTATAGAGTAGAGCTTATATTTATCTGCTGATCTACTCAATTATCAACTGAGTAGATACAATAAAGATAGAGATTTTTTTATTACTACTAAAATATTAGAATAGCTGAATAGCAATCAAATTAGCTAAATAGTATTAGGTAACATTATAAAAAAATTATAAAAGATGATTTCTTCACAATGAATTTTTACCTGGAATTTGGTGGAAATTTTAATTGATTAATGATCGGAGTCAAGTTTACGGATAAGTCCGGAATCGAAGTTATTATGTGCATATTTTTTAAATAAAATGCAGAAGTTTGGGGTTAATATAGATTGGTTGAAAAATTCACTAAAATTAAAGTATTAAAGTAAGTTTCTTTCAAATTAATTATAATTTGATAATGCACCCAGAACTTTTACTTTCTAACCAACATAAAACGAGAAGTGGGTATCAAATATTTTTTTAAAAACTTTTTAACCAATATTCTTGAAAAAATTGCAACGGTCAAATTAAAATTTAGACCCCCTTTCACCTTAAAATGAACTGAAATTTTTCTTTCTCCATAGTTTAAAGATAGTTTGTGTTTTAAAATTACAGATGTATCAAAATTTATAACAAAATTCATTTAAAAATTAATGAATGCAATTTTCATTTAAAAAAATCCTTTTAAATGAAAATTGCTAAAAGATGGAGGAACACTAATTGACATATCCCCCCTCCCCCCACAGCACACTAACTTCTGGTGAACAACATTAGCGAGACGACGTTTTTATCAGAATTTGTTTTACTACATTGATTGAAGTAGGAGGGATTGTAATAAGGGTTGCCTTGAGCGCAGTACACTGATCTTATGGACCACCGGATAAGATGTTAGCAGCGCAGTTCACCATGTTTTAGAAAACCATTAGCGCGATCCGCTATCACCACCATTCAGCCTATTTATCAATAAATCCCAGATCTTTGGTATCTGGCTTCCTCTAATACTTACCCTTTTAAAATCTCCTTTCATTTACATCTACTAAGTCATTCTTGGTCTTTTTCTTATTTCTCTTACTGATTTCATCTTTTATTGCATGTTAGAATTGTTTCTTCTAATACTGTTCCGTTCTTAGTTTTAATAGACCAAGATATTTTGGCATTGTTGCCATGAGCATCACCTGATTCATCTAATCTTGTTTAGCCAGATATGTGGGACGCACCTATTCCATATAAACGTTGCAAACTAATTTTGTGACGTAACAAAGCTACATGTTAACTGACCATGTCGTCTGAATTTAAATATTTGTTTTAATCTCGATCAAAATAATATACTACTTTTTATATTTGTCCAGGGACTTATATTTCTTTCTTTCATACTCGAAAAAGCAAAACTCGTTACATAATAGAATGAGTAAAACTTTTTTTTTCCTCGCTTAGACGATAGAAGGAAATATTTAAGTTTTCATCAATTATAATTTTTTTAATTATATACCTCAATTTTTATCAATATATTTTCCATATAGATCTACTATTATCCCCCAGCATTATACTCTTTGTAAATACAGTAATCTTAAGGCTACGTGGTTTACAAATTCTCCACACTTTTCCCCTTTTCGTCACCATGGTGAAACCAATGAGAATCTTGTGTTTTCCCTACGGCGGTACATTTCAGTAAGGAAGTGAAATTCTCTAGCAAGGGGAAAGATTAATATTTACTAAGGAAGCCTATTTTACTTACAGTATAAGGCACTCAAATTACCTTTAAAATATCCATAATTTAGATACTATTTTTCCTTTAATAAAATCCTATTTTTCTCGTAATTAAAGAAGTATACACTATAGAAGATTATAATAGTTAGGGGAGAGTCGGGTAGCCCCGCTCACTTAAGGAGTATTGCTTATATTTCTGTATAATATTGAGTAATAATCAATATTTTTGTATGTTTCTATTGTTTGACCATATAAGCATACCATATTTGGCCATATTTGGCAAAGAGAATAAACCAAAAAAAGAATAGTTTAACTTAAAAAAATAGAAATTTAAAAAAGCATGTTTTTCAGCTCATTTCAAAATGCGTCGGGTAGCCCCGCCCAGCTACAAAATTATGTTTTTTGGCTGTTTTTTCAGGAGTAAATGAAAGTGACCAATGTATTGACAATAGATAAACCTCATTTATCATTTTTTATCAAAAAATTATTTTATTTATTACATATTTATGTACTTTTAATGAATTCTATCATTTAATAACAATCATTTAATAACAACAATATTTGTTGCTAAAAATGCATATAACATTCAAATTTGAAGCAATAAAATAATAATCTTTGCAACCGTACATTTATCAACGAAATAAAATTGGGCGGTGATACCTGACATTCATGTGAGCGGGGCTACCCGAAATTCAATTTTTTTGTAAATTTGTAATTACTCGAACAATTTTTCACATATAAACTTCTTTCTTTGTGCAAATTAAACTTAAGACTACATACTTTAATGCTGTATGTATAGAAAAAATTATTTTTTTAGTATTAAAATGAAGTTTAATCGAAACATTCAACCAATTTTTCTTAATTTCATGACTACTGTATTCAACATATTTTCAAAACTATTGTTTACCATGTTAACAGCTGCATAAATACTTGAAACTTTGAAAATAATCTCTTTTTAATATAACAATTAATGTCCGATGGCACATTGACTTGAGAAAATATTCTATACATATGAAATTGACGTTGGGCGGGGGTACCCGCTGGGCGGAGCTACCCGACTCTCCCCTACATGTACTTAGTTCTCGCCAATCATTTTTTGTTCAAATCTCCACATGGGAAGCAACTGTATTATACAGACATTTTTTTAAGTCAACATCATTAATTTCGTTTTTATACCGCAATACAGGGAAGGCTGAGAGCACCTATGATATTTATTTTATGAAATTTTTGACAAAAAATGAAATAAAAATTATAGTCATTCTAAGTTTTAAATTAAAGATAGGAAAAAGTTATCAAAATCTGACGAATCCGGAACGAGGGTAGCCAAGTTGAAAGCACCAAACCTTGCTTGATGACTGAAGAAAACAAAGAGGGAGTAAGCAATTGTAGAAACATCTTTGCATTTCGTACAGGAATACTTTAAATTTCGATAGCGTTTTTGTTTCTTAATTTAATGACATTATTTTAGATAAGAATTCTAAAAATATGGCTTAAGGGTGCAGATTTCAGGACACGCTGAGTGTGTAAATAAATTTGACCGAAGGCATCTCAAATTTCTTCTTCAAATTTTTGAATTGAGGGAATTGCAGGACCAGTTGGTGAGCGCTTGGTACCAGATACCTCAGACTACCTATCAGCACCTTGTGGAATCAATACCACGGCGGGGGCTAGCAGTTTTGAGGGCTTATTAGCAGGGTGGTCATAATTTAATGGCTCTGCGGTGTATATATATAATGAATTTCATTTAGCTTATTTCCTAAAGTTAATTTTATCTTTAAGACCATTTTTTGGTGGAAAGATGGGTAGGATTTTCAAAATTTCATTTACTGTAAAAAATTAGCCGTAGACTTGAAAGTATTTGCTTATTAAAAGAGTGATTTAGGGCATGTAGCTTTGAGGAGCCTCTTATAAATTTGTATGTAATTTTATTATAATAATGAATACATTTCTTTAAGTATTTTTCCCTCTTGTTAATTTTTCTGTGTTGCTGATCAAAATACATGGAAGATTTTAAAATGTTAAGTCGGTGAAAATTTTTTTTAATTACATTTTTTTTCGATTCTTTTTTAAACTATTATTCAATTCTTTTATAAGTTAATCGTTTATTCTTTATTTATTTTAATTTTCATGCAATGTACTTCAAATTAAAGAAATTAATTTTCGCAAAGCACTTTTCTGTTGAAAATATGGAAAATAACAAATGAAAATAATAGTTTTTAGAATGCTTACATTTTCAAAACAAGGGATTTTTCGGTATTTATTTTTAAATTTTGATAACAATTTTATTTGTTATTCAAATTTTGATTACAATTTATTTGTAGTTTCATGCATGCTGCAACCTCTGAAAAATATTTTAAGCTTCTTACATATATCTTTTTTCCATCTCATTTCAATTTTATTGATTTTTTTGGTTTTGTATAAATACTGTCAGAACACACAAACATACTGAAAAGGAAATTACCTAGATACATTTCTTTAAAAGGGCGGCCATAAATTTTTTTTTCAGAAATAGTGTAACCCGTCCACTTCTTTCAGTTCCTCCCTCACTACAACAGACCATCATTGATAACAAGTGTGTTTTTTGGGGTGGGATTATCTGTAGTTATCCTTTAGATGATATCAGTTAACGCCCTCACATGAACATTGATAAAATTGTGTTTGACTTTATTGAAATGAAATACTTTACAAGCAATTTACAGCAAACAAGATAGTAGTCCTATTATTCTATTACCTATCAATTCAATTCCAACTCTCAGCTAAGACACAAAACAAGTGGATTTATTGTGCTAGAAAAACTTTTTAACAAAGGTTTATCTACTGTCTTTTTTCAAAGAAGATTAATTTGAAATCTTCAATTTGTTACTTTCAGTCTCGTTTTCACATGCCTTATTATTAGAAAAGGAATCACATTGTTAGGTTCTCTTTTGTGCATTATACAGATAAGCATATTTTTCTCTTCAGTCACATCAGCTGGTTTCCTGTCCTCTATTGAATGCTTCTGGGACTTCTGTATGACAATGCTACCTTCATTTATCAATGTGCAGTATTTCACTAAATTTTTGACAATAAATTATGAGCACTTAGGAATTATGATAACAATTTAGTGCCTCTCACTTTTTTTTCATTCGAAGGTGATTCATAAGTATTTTACATTTATCATATGGTAATTGTATTTAATGAATATTATTATAACACTGCATTAGTGAACAGAAGATATTGAACTTAATGCATTGGTAGTCATAAAGAAACAGTCGCTGTAATGGGGGTTGTAAAAAGAGTGTAGACTGTATTGTTCTTGCCTTTTTCAAAATTGTGTAAAAAGTGTTCGGTGAAATAAAAAAAAAAATCGACAGTGATATCTTTCTCCCTTTAGACAACCATTCAGTAACTAAATTCATCAAGGCCACTTTAAATTTTAAGTTTAACTTCCCCTTATACGCGTGCGGTCTTTAAAACTTTTGGTCTTTGTAGTCAACGTTTGTTACTTATCCAAAATGGCAGATTCGAACCAGTATATTGTAGACAAAATGAGTCTTATCACTAAAATTGATTTTTTTAAATTTCAAATATTGATCTGAGATATTTTATTCGTATTTTTTTTTACCAGAATTTTTATTTTTATCATTAGAATCAGTATATCAATTGATTCTATTTGTTCCGTCATCAATAAACAGTTAGTTTGAATAATTGTTTTAAATCGTCTGCTGATATAATAACTGCAACTCTAGTTGGTTGCTAGGCAACCAAACGACTTTTTCTTGTTATTAATTCCTTTGTTTATCGTTCGTCTGTGTATGTCTGTGGAAATAAAAGAATGTAAAAGCTAACACTATTGATACAGATTATATTCGTTGAATAAAGCATATTACGTTATTATGTTGTATTACTTTTGCAGAACCAATAACAAAAGAGCTTAAATAACTTTGAATTTTAAAAGTTTCAACATTTATTCACAGTTACACATAACAGTATGTACATTGCACGATCCAGCAAAAGATATAAAATAGGAATTGCTTAAATTATACAGAAACAATTATTATGAGTAAAATATCTACATATGATACATAAAAGAGCTTAAAAAGAAAGACTAATAACTCATTCATGATAACACAGTGTAAGATATAATACGCAACTGTAAAGAAATGTTCATGATACTTTTTCAATGTTTGTAATGAAATGAATAAAAGAACATTTAATTTTTATTTAATATTTAAATTCTATCCTTTAATCATTTTAAATAAGTAAAACATAATTTATTTCCATATTTTGATGTTATCTATATAATCTCTATAATTGCTTTGTTGAATAAGAATCTGATATGAAAGTGTAAAAATAAACTACGATTAACAGGATTAATAATTGCAAAATATTGAATAAATCTGAATTTAAAAAAAAAATGCTTTTGTCCTTTAAAAATGCATTATTGTTATTACCTTTAGTTACAAGTCGAATACGTCTTCAGATTTTGCATGCTTTTATGATGTGAAAAACGAAACAATAAAATAATTTTAATTGAAATAAATCTTAAGTGAAATATTTTAGATGTGTTGTGACATCTTTAAAAATTATTTTAAAAGAATACTTTGGAAATTGTGAAATATAAAACTAGAATAAATAAGAGAAGAGTGAATCTTTTGATGAAAGTGATCACCATGGTACGCCTAAAAATTGAAAGAAAAAATAATATTAGTCAAATCTACTGATTATGATAAACACAAAAAAAATGTCTTACAAGAGTAAAGTGAAAATTCGAATTAAGGTTTTCTTATTGATTTAAATTGTGTACTAAACTGTTACTGTTAAACTTAGTTACAAACTGGTACTGATGTAACTAAGTATCAGTTACAAAAGCCTGACGCTTCATACATCAGATACATATTAATTTAAATTTAGATAGAAAAAAAAGATGAAAAATTTAGATGAGTGAAATGTTATTAAGTAAAATTTCTATTGCTTTTATTAAAACTAAATGTCTATAATATGAATTTGCAAGCTTATTTTTAATTTTAATTTCTTAAATTTAAATTTCAAACATGGTTTTCGTTCGAAAATATAACGAAAGTTGATAAAAATTGATTCCAAAATTACAAATATTTTACTAAAAAATTAACATATTTAATATGCATTCATTATTTATCTTTCCAAATAAAAAAATTGCAAAAATATAATAAATAGACGGATCTAACAGTCACAAAATCTTACGTTCGTAAAAAAGAAGAAAAGAAAAATACTTTAAACTTGGTTTAGTTACTTTCTGATAATTTAATTAGCTGGAAAAAAATTAACTTCCTCAGCTCTTATTTTGAATCAAATTTATAATAATTATTCCTATACACTTCATAGAAAAATAATTTAATTGTAATAAATTAAAAAAATAAAAATAAAAAGGCTTCGTAATTTTAGTCAAAATAGTTAGAGAAAAGCTAACTTGTAAATAATATTTCAAACAAACATTTGAAAATAATTATAAAATTTATCTTTATAATAAAGATTTATAGAAACTCTTTAATAATATTTTATTGTAGTTTGAAACAAATAAAAACATCTTATTATTAATTTAATATTGCCCAAAAAGTTAAAATGTAATCATTTTGAAGTTACAAATAGAATCTGTCTCAAATTGAAAATATGAACTTTCTTTCTTGTATATTTAAAAAAAAAAAAAAAAACGGTTTCAAACTAATAAATCCTTACCTACTGAATACTCCTTACCTACTGATTAGTTAAACTTTAGACGATTCTGGTTTTTTCCTTCTTTTTAATATTTTAAAGATAGCACATAAATGACAGTTGCAAGCTTACAGCTCTGTTTGACCAAAATCAAGTTTTATAGCACGTTCATAATTAATTAATAATATTTTATTCGTTATGTCACGTAAGCTTATGCTCTAGGATCAACGCGTACAGCATTCGAAGGCTACGTTACCAAATCAGTATTTTTAAAATTATCTGAGTGTGTACTCATTTATTTTGTATATATTTTAGCTTTTGTAACTTGCTTCTACAGAACTAAATAATTTAAAATCTGCAGTAATTAAAAAGATAATTAAGTTATGTACTAAAGAGTAAAATTGCAGGAAAATTGAAAAATTGCTTAATTGTAGTTGATAGTGACTATCACAAATCAGTTGCGATTTATATAAGTATGGTTTTTAGCCAGATTATACTGAATATAGTTAACTTAATTTTGAACTACTAAAAGCGCACTTTGCTAAATCTAATAATGTCAAATCGTCAAGAATGAGAACACGCATCAAATAACTATAAATTAATAAAAATCGGAATTATTTATGCTTTATTAATTTGGCTTTTAGTTTTGCGCATATTTTTGTAGTGTTTGTTTAATACTGATTTATTTATTATCTACTCTATTTTTTTACCCCTTAGGGGTCACTGTACCTTTGCGAAATTTTTTTTAAATAAAGGTATAATCATTCATTTTGTGGATGCTTTACATGCTCATTTAACTTATAATCAATAATTTATCTTCAGAAAGTAATTAAACTGTTTAAAGTTTTCAAAATATTTAAAAAAGTTGAAAAAATTCAAAATTTTTAAATTCCTAAGGCTGTTTTTATTCTAACATATTTTCAAAAAAATCCTTTTTCTTTGTGCTTACAATATTTATCTTAACAATTTTGTGCATTCATTTGTTGATATATCAATTAGAATATTTTTTATAGATTATTTTGTAAAAAAGTAGAAAAAAGGGTAAAAATTCCAGTTAGGTATATATAACATGCTGTGAAAATTGTAATACCTCATAAAATGCTTATTCCATGCACAGTTTGAATAAGTGTAATATACTTTAGATAAAAAAGTTTACTTCAGAGCTTTATCTTAAAAAGAAAAAATTCCTTAGGGATTTAATTAAGATTAAAGCACGAAATTATCATCTATGAGAAAAAGCACACTTTAAATTCTGACTGCTGAGCAAGTTTCTGTATTAGGACAATCTAAAATCATTCATAACTTTTTTAAAAATGTAGATAGAGAGATGATTTTTTTTTCAGTGCATTTGAAATAGTTTGAAGTTTTCTTAAGCAATTAAAAAAAAATTGGTATTTTTGTCATTTTTTGGGTACTGTGACCCAAAATCAATTGACGCTAATTGAAGAAACAATTAGCGTTAACGTTAGCTAGTATCAATGAAATGAAATCTAGCTCAAAATTTGTAAACAACAGATTATTTCAGGTTGCCCCTTTTACATGATGGACCCTACAAGATGAGGGTTCAAAGGAGAGAAGACCACCCATAATATCAGTGAGGTGGACTGAAAAAAAGGGAAGCCATAGCACCATGCAAAAATTCTCGATTAGCTTTGCCATAATAATACCATTAGTTAAAAACATTGAAAAATCATCTAGATAGTTTTATTATCATATATATAAGGAGAGATATCAACGATATGTGCTATTCAGTTTCAAGGTATAGTAATGGTTTTAACTTAAAGACAAATACTTACACATAAACTATCTTTTGCCTTTTTTTTTGAGGAAGTTTGTCTCTTTCCCAATCAAATATTTCGCTTCCAAATGGCATATTTTCAACCATAACCGCAAAACTGGCTCCTCCAAGGTCAAGGTAAAATAACTGTAAGAATTACATAAATATTATTACATGCATTACACATTATTATTACATAATACATGCATATTGTTACACAAATACCTTTTCAACGTTTTTTTAAAATTTAACTGTGCAAAATACACGAGAGTTCTTACAGTTAGACAAAGTTTAGAGAGTTGCAACATACGGTTAATAGTTTGTGATGGGTCAGAGCAAAAATTAACTGAAAAGAAACAAAGCTAAATTTGGTTGAGTTGCAACTCATTAGAATTAACTTAGAGGGCTTCAATAATATATTTTTATTCCAGCGGAATTTCAGAATCATAGGTGTATTTATTTTTTCCTCTCGCCATTGATAATAATTTAAATTTTCAAACTGTCTTCTGACCGTTTTTCCTAAGTATTTCAAAATTAATATTACTTATCCCAACTTTTTTGGAAATAATAAGATTTTAAAAATTAGGATAGTTAAGCTGAGCCCATATATTTTTATTTATTTATTTTTTGCCGAGATAATTCAAGGTGAAAAGTAAACTCTAAAATTTGCAGATAGTGACTAATACATCAATAATGATTGTTATTGCGAATCCGGTCTTAAACTTGCAGGTAGGGATTTTTGCAGCAAAATTATATTTTTTATAAAAATCTGATAATTTTGTTCCAATATCGCAACTGCATCCATAAATTTTTTTACACATTTTTATGCACTTTTTGGCTTTTGCTAAAATATTTTTCACCAAAAAATTCAAGAGAATTAGTAATATTTCAAGAGTATTAGTAATAGTGCGAAACATTTATTATTGATATCGCTTTAAATTTTTTTTTTTTCATTTTAGAATTTCGTAACCGTTATTTTAATTACATTGACTGAACTCAGTTTTACTGAAAATTTATAATAAAAGTAAAGATATACCGCATTTACCAATGATATCTTTTCAAAAAAAATTGCATTCAAGATAATATTATGCGATGTTTCATATCATAAAATTAATATAATGACAACAGCTAGGAACACTATTAGTTAATAATTATCTTTAGTAAAATAACCAAAAATAGAATTTTTTTATGTGATTTCATTTTGTTACTTATGTGTTGAAAAAAGGTAAGGTAAGAAATACTGTAAAAAGTATATTATTTCTTCTTGTGCTATTGAATGGTTGTAATGTTAGCAATTTCATTGAGAAAAAACTACATTTCATTTTTATTGCAACAATTAAAAATTACCGTATCAAATCATGCCACTTTTTTACTGATTTGTATCAAATATACATATAGCACTATTACTAAATGCATCATTAAATGCATGTACAACGTACTATATACAACATACTATATTTACAGATACAACTCCTCTTTATTCTTTTCATTGGATTACGGAAAAGCCCTTTATATTTTATTCATTACATGCAAAATATTAGTAATATAAAATTATTGAAAACATCAATTGTTTTTAAATAAATAATAAAGTACTAAAAAACAGCGTGTAGGGGAGAGTGGGGTCAATTGTAACAGGGTACGATTGTAACAGAGCAAAAATTTCGAGTGTCGTGTTCTAGATTTGGTTCCTAGGTGGCGCACAAGGTGTATTTAATAAATCTACATGTACACCCCTGCTGGTAGCCATTTTTATGTACTTTTGAAAGAGTTACATCACAAAAGATATTTTCACGCTACGTAAGTACTTTTTTTGGTATTAGAATATTATATTGTAACAAAGTAATTTTGTTTAAACAAATAAAAATTATTAACCGAATATGTAAGTGGACACCTTAATTAACATTTCAATAAAAAAAAATTTGTTTTGTTAATTAACTAGCATTGTTTTTAACAAATGAAGCTGAAATGGCGTCTTGGGGACGATTGTAACAATAAGTAAAGGGACGATTGTAACAGCTGAAAATAAATAATCTTATGTTTACAAACCATTACTTAACTCTTTAAGAACCACCAATAGTTTCCTATATCATTTATATTATGTTGCATGTGCATTATTTTATTTGTCACCTTTCACAGCATAAATTAAAATTTTTAACCCCTTAAAGTTAAAAGTTTAACCCTTTAGGTCTCTGCTCATTATTATTTTTACTCCTAAAATATCACTACTATTTTGATCAATAAAAAAATATATCACAACTATGATAATATGTATAATTAACTATGTTTTAGTTGAATTTATGAACTGTTACAATTGACCCCGTAAGTGGGGACAATTGTAACAAGTGCACGACTGTCAAAAATTGTTAATAACTAATATAATAACATTTAAAATAAGGTATTTTTTTTTCTAGTGGAGGATAGTCTACTTTACTTGTCTATCAATTAATACTAATAATATATTGGATTTTTTGCTAGTTAAAAATAGTTAAGTAAAAAATTTTGCAATTGACTCCACTCTCCCCTATTATTTTAAAAAACAATTATGCTTATTGAAATGAATTAAGAAAAAGAATATGCTTTCTCCACTTACACTGAGAAAAAAAATTATGACCAATTACGAAATAAATGGAAAAAATGAGTCTATTTTATCGTGTTCTAAATGGTTTTTATGACAAGCTCTAAATTAGAGCTTGTCATGAAAGCCATTTATTCGGTTAAATTTAATTTTCAGTTTAGTATTTTTATGAAATGCTTGCTAATAAGGACTATAGTTGTGAAAAACCGAATTTTCAGTAAACCGTTACTATATAATCGGAAAAACTACCAAATAAATAGCTTAATTAATGCATATTTTGGTATTTATTACTAAAATCACGCTGTTCTTTTTTTTTTCTTTCCAGAAATGTCATTACCTTAAAGTACGGTAATTTTATCATAATTTTTTTCCATGTACCTAAATATAAAAGGAGGTGTTAACGAATTGCAAAATATGTACTAAAGTCTAAGCATACAATAAAAAAATAAAATCCGGATGTGAAAGGTTTCTGGAAAAAACAGAGAAGGTATATTATACTCCATAGAAAACTTGGGAAAATGAGCATGAATTTTGTAAAATTATCAGTGGGAGGTAATCTATCAAAAACCGGTCCTTTGTCCAGGGAAAGGGGTTGGGATTTGAAGGGTTATATGGGGTTGTGATTGGATAGGGGGTGTTTACAGGTAAAGAGGGTAAGAGGCAAGAGATGTTACAAAATTAAGCCATCAAATCATTTACAGTACACCACGCTGTGGCTGAGGACCTCGTTTTCTTTCTAGCACTTCTATATATCAAAAGTTACTTTGTGTTGCTCATTCAGATCATTTTGGTAAGTTTAAATTCAACATTTGAATTCTTTTCCTATAAAATAATTGTAGCATTTATTATTAGATATAGAGCGAGAGCTTCGTGTTATCAGAATCACATTAACTTGTATTCAAAGTAATACACTTTAAAATTTATTAAAAGCAAAACAATGGGACACGTCTTTTCTTTGGAAGCTTAAAAGCTGCTGTTCTGTTAATTGGTGTTTATATATTTTATTAGAAACTATGTAAATATAAATAAGCTTTAAAAAACTTTGATTTTGGTTAATTATATTAGCAGGACTAAGATGTTGACTATAAAGACGTTTCTTTGCGTTTTTGTTTCTTTAATAATTCATTGCTCAGTCATTTTTTCTCCTTTTAGATATTGTTCTTTTTTAATTATTTTTAACGAGTTTTTAGTGACATTATTCAAATTGAGAATTTTTTTTTTTTTGAAGATTAAATTGCTTTTTTAATAAATTATTGCATGTTTCGCTTAGAATCTTATTATATATTTAAATATCCTCCAATAATCAGTGTTAATGTTGATCAGAGTTTTTCAAAGAAATAAGAGTTCACTCTTAAAAAAATGACATTATTTGAATTTGAAGAATATCAGAAAGCATTTAATAATACCTTGATGATACCTAATGTCCTTGAATGTCCCAAATTAAGGTATTAATTTAATTAAAAATTAAGGTATCTTTATAAGGCATTTATTTACATTTTGTATCATTCATAAATTACATATTTATTTTATCTAAATTATTACGTTATTTTTTAGTAACTTTTTTACTCGAATTAAGAATTCATAATTTTCTTCGTAAAATTGCGTTTTCGAGAATTTTTATTTTTCATTTTACGGTTATTTTTAATAATTAAAAAAAACGTCTTTTTTTTTAATAGAATTTTTAGTTTATGTAACAATTTTGTAATGTTATTATCCGCCTGTTATTCTGTTACCTCCGTCTCTTCTATTTACCAAAAGCAAATACACAAACTACAAATTACTGCTCTAAAATTTATTCTAAGCGTATAAATTTAATCAGTTGTAAACATTGATTATTTCACGTAACGTAGAAATATTGTTATTATAACTTGCAATATCAACACTTATTTGTTGTTGCGTATTTTATTTGTAACGTAGAAGTTGTTTCAGTGTATAATACATGATTTTGTGTACTGCCATCTTAAACAAGTACAAAACGCCTCAAAAATATTTAAGACCAATAATCCGACTTTCGAACAAATTATGTGGAGAAAACCTAGGAAACTCTTAAACAATTTGACCTAACAAAAATGATTTAATTTCAAATACTCTTCTAAAATGCATTGTTCTTTAAATCCTTCCATTTTTCAATCCTTTACCCCCGTTATAACAGAAAAACCTTCAAATTTGTTGGTAGATCTATTCTATAGCATTAGTTTTACGCTAGATATAACGAGCCCGGTTGTTCTTCAAAGGAAAAAAAAAATGGACGCTATAACGTGAACTCATTATATTGTGAGTATTCAAAAATATTTCAACTATTTACTTAAAACTGTTGAACTAATTTCAACAAGACAATGATGTACTTCGGAAACTAACTGAATAATTAATGTTAACTATTTTTTTCCTTCTCTTTGTTATTATACGTATAAGTGATAGTTTGAAACATAAACAATACACTGGAGGTGAAAAATGTAATCAAAATATTAATCTGGTTCATGGCAGTAATTTTCGATAAATAACATAGTACGTTTAGAAACATGTAACGATTAAGCTTTTTAACTCATTAATTAGGGGAAATTATTTCACAAAAAGAGTGAGTTTTCAAACATGAAGCGTGTAAGTGATCGATAATCACTTTCAAATGAAAAAAAAAAAACTATTACAAAGATTATGGATTGTATTTTAACCTAAGATATACATTCCGGTCTTCTTGCCGCTTTCCACGTGACCGAGCAATATAGACTTATTATTAATGTGAACTAATTAATTATTTTCCATTTAAGCAAAGATTTTTGAATTTTTTTTCTTCAAAAAGGTACCGTACTTTTAGCGTCTACGACAAGCTTTCAAAATTATATATACTTTAACCTTTGATATTTTAATTTCAAAATATTTTGACTCTCTGTGGATGGCCAATAACTAGTGCGGTTGTGATAAGTGTTAATTACTTGCTAAAGTAAACCATACCTCACAAGAAGCAATTTGATTGACATATCCTTTCATTCTCTGTAAAGAGAGTATTGCTATCTTAGGTAGTAAAAGCAAATTCCAAAGATATGTATTCATTCAAAATATAATATCAATGTCATTCTGCTTTCATTGAAGACAGACATTGATAGTTTTCTCCAAGGGCAAATATTCTTAGGTGGTCTAATAGGCATGGTGTTCTAAAGAAGCTTACAAGACCCGGTGACAATAAAAGGTTTGATTAATGATTTTTCATCTATCCATATGAAATGTGTGGATAATGCTGCAAAAGAGAAGGTCATAAAGATTAAATATTTATTCTCTTGCAGCGTAAAGTCTTCTCTTTTCGATGTTTTAATGAATCACAAATTACATCTAAATTAAATTTATGTATTGAATTTTTTTATGATAGCCAGAAATAATTCAGTTAAAAGATAAAGTATTTAAAAATGAAGGTTTATTTTACAATATTATTAACACGTCAACATAAAATAAAAAACTTGAATTTTTTTTTTTTTTTTGTAAGAAATAAAGTTAAAATCGATAAACATTGGGTTTCGCTTAAAAAAATTACAAGAATTTTTATCACATAATATAATGACATGACATTCCGGATTGCATATTGAAATTGTTTTTGTAATAAATTTAGGGCAGCCGGATAACTAGGTTAAGTAAAAACAGTAGTTTTTTTCCGTTTTTTGTGTACACTTTTAAAAAACACCATACAAAAAACAGTTTTAAAACATAATCAAAAAACAGAAATTTTAAAAAAGCCAACTTTTATTTAAATTAAATATTTTTCAAAAAATAAGATAACAAAAAAAAAAAAGCATAGTGCCGTTAATTAATTTCGGGTAGATGATTGAAGCAATATGGAATGGCAGTTTTGCACTCCTGAAACAGCTTTAGACTTTATAAAATATAAGAATAATTATTTTAAAATGTTAAATGATATTTAAACTGTTTCTCTTCATTTTAAAAACAATTTTACACTATAACCAATTTTTCTAATCATTCTGTTTAAGATTTTATTTCGAATTACTAAACTACTATAACAGGAACGTTGGACTTGTAAAAGTACTGATAAAAAAAATCTTCCTACTTACTTTGTAAAATTATGCAAAGAATAAATTAACGCTATACTTAATTGTGTATTTAAGCTACTTTACATATTAAATACAACAGAAAACTTTCAACTTATATTTTTCTGTTTTTCAGGTGTATTTCTAAACGAATTACTAAGATTATTTCAATACTGCCTCATAATTTCTTTTCAGTGGGTGATGTGCGTAAATAAAAACTGAAATTATTCATTATATTTCTAAAAGCCAAGTTTTACTTTTAAACTTCTGTAATTTAAAGACTAGAAAATACCTTTTAAATCATTGAGCCCTCAACATAACTTGTTTCGGTGATATTAACTGTTGTAAAACGTTGTTGCGCTTTGCTGAAGTAATATACACCTGATGCATCGTAATTTCATACAAATTCTAATTAGATTTTTTGCTAAATAGTAAATAATTGTTGAATTAAAATACACATATATTAATTTGGGAAAAAAATAAAAAAAAGCTAAAGAAAGGCCGGTCTTTTTAAATAAAAGCCGATCTTTTTAATAAAAAAACCTAGCCAGACAGGATAATTTTTTCTTCTTCATTCGAACCCCCTCCCCCCCCTGTTTTTTGTAACCCTGAATGAGTAAGTAAAAGTATTTCCTCGCTTTCTGTTACAAGCAAAAATAAAATCTCTCTATATTAAAGAATCGTAAGGGCCGTTGAAGCCGCCGCTGCTTTGGGTGTTGACCTTTATGCGGCATTTCGTTTTAATGCGTAAAAACTATGACAGTTAGGAACTTGAAATTACTAAGGTGTATAGAAAAATGTAAAAGAATTACGATGGAAAAAGAACTAACATTCCATAATTTGTTCTGGAATTATTAACAAAGAAATTTGATTAAAAAAATACCATACGAGCGGGTCTACAGGACGTTGAAATTTGGCATATTGAAAGGGATACATTTGTTTACGCATTTCAAACGGTTTTTTTCTGCTAATTTCCCATTTGTTTGAAAGGTACTGTAAATTAAAGCGATTTTCTTACAGATTTTTTTTCGTTTTAAATATTAACTATTTATTTATTGTTTTAGAAAAATGTTTTTCTTCACGAGATCTTTATTTTATGCACTCGATCGCGCTCGAGTTGATATGAATCAAAAGTAGCAAGTGAGAAGGAGATTACAAGTTAAAAATTTAATATTCATAGCAAAACATTTGAAGATAAAATTAAAAAAAAAACTTGAGCGAAAAAAACCATTATTTCCAATTAACAAAATGGTTTTACACGGAGCTAAAATAAATGTATGTTTTGAAACCAAAATATTATGCTTTTTTTATTTATTTATTTACTTTTTTTAAATTTTTTCTATGGAAGCTATTGAAGTTTAAGAAGAAATAAATGAGGGCGAATTATAATTAAGTTCAGTGGAGGGCGAGCGAAATGATCAGGAGGAAAAGCCGCGTAGTCTAATGAAAAAATATATTTAATGAACGTGAAATGCCTCTAGAGTATTAAAATACATTTAAACGCCGTTATGTAAACGATATCGAATAAGTTAAAGTTTTTAAATGTTTTAAGGTTCAATGTATATCTCTACTAATAAGCATTGTAACTTTTTTTTAAAAAAAAGTATTCATTTTAAGCTGTGGGTTCAAAACGGGAGATTTGGCGTCCTGTGGAGTTAACAATTAACTGACACAATCTTGTAATTTGAATGCTTGCTTTTTTCACCTTGATAAATAAAACTTACTTTATGAATAAAAAATGGCCCTCTTAGCAGGTCAAATTTCATTTCAGAAGTTGCATTTCTGCAGACTGCATAATAACCCACATGGTATTTTTTTACTATGACTTTAGCAGTTTACAAATTAGTTATCGAATGCTCGGTTTTGTTTGTTCCAATGGCTGTACATTTTCTGAAGCCTGCACAATTTTTCTAAACATTGTCTATTATTAAGTTTGTAAATCTTTGTTTCTACGTAAACTAAAAGTGGGACGTAAAGCTCCGTACAGGAAGAAAGTAATAAAAAAATTCAAGAAAAAAAAAATTAAAATCGAAATAACTACCGAACTAATTGGAATTTCGAGAAAAACTCAAGTAAGTTCAGAAACATAATATGGCTCTCAATTAGATTTCAATTTAGTAGCGACATTCTTGCAGGTTGCAAATTGGCCGGTATAGTATTTTTCACTTCAAAGTTTAACAGCTAATAATTCTCAAACTAATTATTAAATGTTAACTTTCTTTTTGGTTCATCGTACTCCCAGTGCATTTTTGCAGACTCTTCCAGATTTTCAAAATTCTATGTCTATAATTTTTGCGCTGCGTAACAAAACATAACGTTAAGTTTAATGCCTCTCAATAAATGGTAACTTAGGTGATTTTTTACTGTAGAGAGGTGATTCTGTTATAAATTAGTCTAGCAGATATCAGTTACGACTAATTTCTTTTATTCTTCCGCTTGGACTTCAGGTATTGTTAGATCGCGCGTCAAATGTATATAAATATATAAGCATTAGTAATTTAGGGTGAACATCTTAAGTTCTCACTATTTCCTTAGGTCCAGGTATTTATTTTCGGAAAACCGTGTATCAAAAAGTTATTTACCTTTTTTTCTTCTGGTTGGAGCTCGTTGGTAAGGCCATGGAGATTAACGGTTTGGAAATTGAATGAAGTTGACATGAAATAATACAATTTCTCTGTCATTTTATCAAAAAATCGATACAGCTTAACCAATCTGAAACGAATGTAGACCTCTATTAGCATTAAAAAAATAGAGCAATCTTTGTGATACATAGACTAAAGCAAAAAATAACATGAAAAAAGAAACCAATTGCAAATTTAAACGAAGAAAACAATGAAAATTACGAAAAATATAAAACTTGACTTAGGGATTACTTCGGATAAAAAGCTACTAGGTCAAATTTTATGTTTATTAGTTTATACATTATGTATTCTCTTTTTCTCTCTTCTTGCAAAACCTTTGGGGTTCAGAGAGAGCAAATTTTAGATATTTGTCGTGCTTCTCGATAGAAAAGGTTTTGTATTCTTATGCCTTACAGGGCTGGTACCCCCAGGAATTTCTGCTGCATGCGCAACTTTCCCTTGAGATTTTAGTTTTTATTTGTTTTTTATATGATTTTTGATTCCTTTTATTAATTGAAAAAGATGGTTCCCAATTAACTCATGCTAAGTATTACTGGACATATCTGAAGTGGCAACGTGAATTATAAAGCTGCGATCGAAAGTACCCAAAATTGAAAGTAAAAAGGTTCCTTTTTGTGAAGTTTTTTTAAAACTGCCTCTCTTATTTTCATTAAAAAAATATGTATTTTTTCTTTCTCATTAAAAACGTATTTATCTTTCCTTATTTCGAATTAATTTAATTTTAATTGCGCTCTTTAATATTGAGTAATTTTTCATGTTTTTGAATTAAGACTGGTTATTCCTAGACACGTTTTGTAGATCTCCGAACTTCAGATAGATGGGTATCAGCTCTTGCCTGAAATAAAAGTGGTCGGTGAGCAATGCTGATAACAATTCTATAATTTTGGCAACTAAACTATTTGTCTCTAAATCGGGGAGCTTTGGACTTCCTGAACCCTTCACAAACAACTGGTTGTTGCAGTGAAACTCGACCGGCTTAACACTTTGCGGATAAAAAATTTTTATTAGAATATTACTACAGAACTACCAACTCCGCTTTTTTTTTTGTCCAATCTCAAGACCATATGCCAAAGCATTTTCTTGACTTTCTTTTCCTACCAAGTTTATAATTCATTAACTAAGTAAGACTAATACTGATATTTTCGGATTAATAGTTCAACAGTTATGAGAATTTCAAGTACAACATTATACTTGTACCTATTTACTCATCTGACATTGTAAACGAAGCATTTTTTTTTTTTACGTCCACGAGAACGAAACTATTCATGAGACAATAAAACAAACCGTTAAAATGCAAGTATTTTCATAAATAAAATGTACTACATTTGATTATTTTTGACTTGCTTACATTTGATTACATTATTTTGATTTGATTACATTTGGTTTGCTTATATATGCTTTATAATTTGCTACATTGGGGCAATCAAGTTCAAAATTGCACTTTTTCTACACAAAGCCCATTTAACATCTTAACTATTTATCTCAAAGATGCCTACTTATTTCATACAATTTAGTATGAAAAAGTACAAAACTTCTTGAGGTAGTCAAGTTCAATATTAGATGCGTAAGTAGATACAAGTGCAAAATTGTACTTCTTGAACATATTTTTTATAACAAAAGCACTTGATTCTGTATCATTCGTCTATATGTAACCGAAATCTATGAGATGGGAGTCTTAAAAAAAATTCCAAAAATTATTAAACTGTAATAAACTTTGTAACAATAATGAAAAATACATTAAATTAAGGCGAATAAAACTTTACTGTCAACTGCCAATCTCTCTTGACTCCCAATAACAATTACAATTGTTTTTACAATTATTCTAATTGTCCTATATTACAATTTTATTTTATAACCTTCGTTGAACAGCAGACCCAATTTTTTGGGTTAACGACAGCTAGTATTCAACTCTGTAGCCTTGAACCTAATCCAGAAGACAAGGGAACTCCTGGATCAAGTATTGGGAGAAATTTGCTTTTATGATTTAAATTTACTTTTTGATGGAACTAACCGCCATTTGTGAGAGGAAGACCACGGTTAGCCTGGCCGCAAAGGAGCTCTAATTCATGATCTGACTACCACTGATGATATTACAAATATCAAAGAAAGACTCTTCGCTAGATGGTTTTTGGGAAAATTCTTGCAGATTTCGTGTGGATTATTTATCTCTCCAAGAATCTATACTAGGGTGGAATGAAGTGAAAATTTATGTAAGCGGAAAAAAAATTTTAGAGTGAGCTATTTTTCTATAATAAGCTATTTTATTATTGCAAAAAAAAATTTTTTCTTCCAAAACAAAAAGTGTTTTTTGAAATATTATTTTTGTTTTAGTATTAGCAATAAAAAGGAAATTGTTTTCAGTCAACTTTTCACGAAATTAACGGCAAGACCCTTTGCATTTTAATTGCACGGCAATATACAGCATTGACATTTATAATAGTCCCTTTAGCATTCTGTACAAACGTCTTTAGCATATAACCCTAAAATGGTTTTAATCAATTATACGTGAAAGAATACTTCTGAAACAATACCTCACTTACCTACCTAAAGGAAGTTTAGTCCCCCTCTCAATTCACCCCCATTTAACTTTGAAAAAAAGAGGGAAGCGTGTAGAGGAGGATCTGGGAGTTTTTAGGTATAATAAAGCTATATAGGACATAATAAAGCTAGGACATAATAAAGCTTTCTACGAAACAAATACTGAGTACAAATTTTTCTGATGAATATGCTTTGTTTCACTAGACTATAAAGCGATGGATGATTATTTTAAGAGTGATATCTTAATTCATTCCCCCTTTTTCACCAGGCGGCCGATTTCCTAGCAAAGAGGTAATATGAGAATAAGACTAAATAAATCTTGATAAAACCCTAAAAAATCTCATAACATCCGCGCAATACAGTTCTATCATGCAGTGTGGTTATTATTGTATTAATTTAGACTTTAGTGTTACATGTAATATTAATTACATAGTGAAGTTTTTATATCGACATTCTGTGTATGTAAAAAATTTTTTTAAACTTTGAACTAATTTTTTGCAATTGGATATGTTAAGTAATTTTATTGCTCTGAAGAGTCCATGTACATAATTTACCCGATTTTTCAACTATGTATGATGTTTTCAAGTTGTGTAATGTCCTCATCTAAGTATATCCGTTATATCAGAAACTCTAACTATATTATGTTTCTTGAAATTTGTGTTATTGATACAGTTTTACATCTTCATTTTTTTTTCCATTACAGAGTTTGAGTGATGTCTACTTCTTATTCAGATGTCGAACTTGATGATGAGAGTGATGATGGTGGATATTATGATTACTACGATTCTTCTGAAGTTGATGAAATATTAGAGACTGATCATCAGGAGAGTGATCCCGAATACTTTGAATTTAATTGTCTTGATAAAGAAGAAGTGAAAAGGATGCTCAATGAAAATGTAGAAAAACTTTGTGCCAAGATACCGGTGAAACCATCCTTGGCAAAACTACTTTTACATATCCATAAATGGGAAACTAATGATCTAATTACAAGTTACCAAAGTGATGCCTCTAAACTTTTAGCAGACTCTAGAATTGAACCATCACCCAAACCACAACAAACTAAAATTAATCTCAATTCAAGGACTCTCACGTGCGTAACATGTTTTTCAACGTACTCTCGAGAACATTTTAGTGCTCTAGCTTGTAATCATTACTTTTGTAAAGATTGCTGGTTTACTTATTTTGAAATGCAGATTACGCAAGGACTAACTACTGCAATAGAGTGCATGGCTCATGAATGCACAATTCTTGTTCCAGAAGATTTTGTTCTTCGCATGATAAACAAATCTCCCGTAAGGGAGAAATACCAACAATTCTCCTTCTGTGATTATGTTAAAAGTCATTTATTGCTGCGTTTTTGTCCCGGTGCAAACTGCAATGTTGTTGTTTTCGCAAAAGAATGCCAAGCGAAGCGCGCCACGTGTAAACAGTGCCAAACAAACTTTTGTTTTAAATGTGGTTCTGCGTATCACGCGCCATTAGATTGTAACACTGTAAAAAAGTGGGCGCAGAAATGTACTGATGATTCCGAGACTGCGAATTATATTTCCGTTAATACTAAAGATTGTCCATTCTGTCATGCATGTATAGAGAAAAATGGGGGGTGCAATCATATGAGTTGCTGGAATTGCAAAAGGCAATTCTGCTGGATTTGTCTAGGAGAATGGAATGGGCATGTGAAATGCAATGCATATGAAGAAAATACAAGGGATGCATCTCTTCAGTCTCAAGCTAGAGAAGCTCTTTCAAAATATCTTTTCTACTTTGAACGATGGGAGAATCATAATAAGAGTTTAAAGCTTGAAGAACTAAATATTCAAAAAATTAGAAATCAGATTAGTGCAAAAGTAATGGCTAAGGAAGGAAGCTGGATTGATTGGCAGTATTTATTGGATGCTGCTACCCTGTTAGCAAAGTGTCGCTATACGTTGCAATATACATATCCATACGCTTACTATATGGAAGTTGGTGCAAGAAAAAAATTGTTTGAATATCAACAAGCCGAGCTGGAGAAAGAAATTGAAAGTTTGTCTTGGAAAGTTGAAAACGTAGTATCAACCGACAGAGCAGACTTAGAAAATCAAATGAATATTGCTGAAATAAGGCGACTTACTCTGCTTAAAGATTTTTTGGTTGCTTGACAATACCTTTACCTCCAGTAAATAAAGCTTTCAATATGATTTTATTCCAATGTAATAAAAATTAAGCTTTTGATAATTGTAAACTGTTAAATTTAGCCTTGCTTTGAAAATATCTTGACTTTATTGTATCCTACTTAACTTTTGCTATTTGCATCTTTTTAGACATGTTTATTATTTAATTTCTATTTCCTACTTGTTTAAATAAAATGTTTACTATCTGAACTTTTTATTGTTAGTATTTTTTAAAATTAGACTCGTGAAATTGCATAGACTATATGTTATCCTATAGCAGTTCAGTTAAAATTTCACTTTTACTAATTATGTATTAAATCACACAATTAGATGCAGAAACAAGTTTTTTTTTCTTTTTAAATACGCATACTTATTTTTAAAAAAATTTTGAATCAGTACTTTCAAAATGACAGTAGATAGAAATTCGAGAAGTGGCATCGAATGAACTAGGTCGAACGAAAGTTCAAACTGTATAATATTGCCTTCTTTATTATTGTAACTAAGTAGTTAATTACAGATTTATTCTATACTTGGTTTCCAATCTCAATAACCTAAGGGATGTTTTAAGCTGATTTTTTTTAAAAATTTTGTGTGCAAATTTATAGTCGATAAAAAGAAGGCTATCAGATTAATTTAATTACAATATGAAGTTAAGGAAGTCAATAGAATAGTGCATTATTCATAATAATTTATAAAAACAATAAGAACATATACTCACTAAATACATAAGCAATTGTTAATTAGTAGAAAAACATTTTGTACTGTAAGAATCACTTATTGTAGTCAGATTTCAAGTTAAACTAGTAATGAAAATGAAGAAAAAACCTTTTTATTGTTAAGAATAAAGTTGTAGAATTTATATTTGCATATTTGATTGTACGAGGATAAAAGCTGCCTGTTTTTCAATTGGTTCTTGTGTCTTCGTAGAGCAATAGAACTTCTTGCCATTTTCAAATTTCTTAAGTCATGTAAAATTCCTAAATTTCAGATTTAGATTATTTATAATGTTTCAATTAAGATTTTGAGATAAAGGAATTTATGAGACTAGTAAAAAAAAAGTTTCATTTAGTCAGTTTATTTTTCACTTTATCATGTTCTCGCGTTTGCTCGGACTTTTTGCTTATTAATATTATGTCCTATATATAAATCTTGCCTCATAACCCTAGTGTGTATGAAAATTTTTTTGTCTTAATAAAGGACATCACAGAGGTATGTAGATACTTTGCTTTCTACTGCTTCGACCGGGAATCAATTCAACGAGGTGAAAGATTGGTGCCTGGTTCGATTTGGATTGCATTATCTCAGTCATGATTTATTTTCCCTTTATTTTTGCTTCAGGATCAGTTATCTTTTTTGGGAAAAAAGCTCATAATTTGCTTAATTGTATTGTCAAGAGTTCTGTATAAAACCAACTTATATATATAGGCCAAGCTTAAAAACTGCTCAATCCGAGAAAGATATTCTTTTGTAGTCAGAGCATTCCCATAACATAATACGATGGCCTTGTGTTTGGATTTTTCTATAATACGAGGGTTGTAAATTAAATAGGGGCAACTTAACCTTGAAACTCACAGAATGGCGGACATGCGCAAATAGGATATGGGAGCGGTGACGTGACGCTGTTGTCGATGTGCAGAGTGCAAAAAAACAGTCGATCTGCTTAGAAGGGTAGTTGTTATGTGGCGTTAAGGTGAAGAGTTTCGTTTTCATCGCTCTAAAGCATGTTTTCAGAAGCATGACGAAAAAAGACGAGATGCTTGAACCCATCGTGCTACTGTCCTAACCGGTAATGCATTTGCGCCACAGGCTTCCACTAATCCTCGATAGAATTCTGTTGCATTTTTGCCACGGACAACCTCGATTTTAAGCCACGACCGCTAATCACCTTTTGAAAACATGCTTTAGAGCGATGGAAACGAAAATCCTCACCTTAACGCCACACAACAATTACCCTTCTAAGCAGATCGACTGTTTTTTGCACTCTACACATCGACAACAGCGTCACGTCACCGCTCCCATATCCTATTTGCGCATGTCCACCCTTCTGTGATTTTCAAGGTTAAGTTGCCACTATTTAATTTACAACCCTCGTATTTACACTAAATATGATGAATGATTTTGATAGTTGAATGATGCAAATAGTGGGGAAAAAAAGCTTTTGAAATTTAATGTTAATTTTCTAAAAATATTTTTACAAAATTTCCCAACTATGATGTCTACTTAATCCGGAAGCGGGTTAAGTTGGCATAACATAATGATTTAATAAAATCAGTAAAAGAAACAGAGGCTAGCATTTAAAATCGAAGCAATTACTGATTATAAGCTAATTACAAATAGAATAAACAAGATAGTAATTATAATTTAAATTCAAACACTGGAAGTTTAAGGAAAATTCAATAAAATTCCTAGAAAAAATTTAATTAGTCATTCAGTAGAAAATAAATCGCGTTATCTGAAAGTAAATCGATGTTTAAAAAGAAATTGATAAAGAGTGACATTTCTACATGAATTTTCTTCTTCCTTACACCCTAGAAAGGCAAGAAAAAATCGTGAACATGAAATTTTTTCTTTGTGACATACTTTAAATGCGACATACTCTTTCTGACATACTCAGATAAATCTGAGCCATTTATTCAGATAAAACGATTTTTACATAAATATAATATTATTATAATGTTTTTCTAAAATGTATTTATAGAGATTTCATAGTATAAGATTATATTTTAGTATAAAAATTGGCGTTTATTTGTAGAATTTCTCATATCGTCGCTTTGAAACTAAACCGTGGTAACTCAAAAAAGCAAATTTTTCAGGAGAGCAATTTCTAACTTTCTGCGTTAATGCTGATCGCGCCAATGCGATAACGATTTATCTGCTCTCTTAATTAATTTTATTGAACTATGAAGATAATACTTTGTTTCTCTAAAAGGGTGATTTTTTTGCACAAAGTGACCCAAATATCTCATTTTTCGATTTTTTTGAGTTTTACGGTTTTGTTTCAAAGCGACGATATAAGCAATTCTACAAATCAATGCGAATTAGGCGGCCAAACAAAAATGAAATTTTTTTTTTTTTGGGGGGGGGGGCACGCTATTTCTACATGAATTTTCTTCTTTTTTATACCCTAAAAAAGCAAGAAAAAATATTAAACATGAAATTTTTTCTTTGTGTACTTTAAATGACAAAATACCAATTTTGAATTTTTCCCGATTTTTTCAATTTACGAACTTTGATTAAATTTTTTTATTTTTGTTTCTTATACTAAAATATAATCTTATACAGTGAACTCTCGCTACTACGATATCCGATACAACAATAACTCCCTCTATTACGATAATGTTCCGTGGTCCCGCCAAACTTGCATATGGATTAATGTTATCTTCCTCTCAATATAACGATATTCTCTGAAGCAGTAAACCTCTGTAAAACGATTTTTTTTCAAATTTCAACATTATTTTCTATTTTTTTTATTGGTTTTCAAATAATGTAAAATGCCTTTTTGTCATCTTTTACCATTTTTTTCATCTTTTCTGATAAAAGGGTCACTGCTGGTTATGATCTTTCACCCCACTGTTATTTCTTTTCACATCAGAGAATGGCTTTTGTATTCAAATTTCATTCCCCCACTGTTGAGGTACTTAGACCACCCTAAGAGCTTCATGTTTTAGAATTGCCTCCCTCAGTTCTTAAGAAATCACCATTGTAACATCATGAGTCATAAATGACCACACACATCACAGTAACACCTGCGACCCTGAGAAGGTACTGTTTCTGTAGAAGGTGGGTGGAGCACGTTTATTGAAATTGAGGAGGAGAAAAAAATGTATACTGACCATTGGTCATCGTTCATCACTGTCACTTAATCCCTGATTTAAACTACACCTGGTGTTTTCATGAGCTAGCGCAAATTCTACGATCAGAGCTTTTCGCATTTAGTGCTGCTAACATTTTCAGCTTGGTGAGTCTTCAG